TTCATCAGCATTGATATAGGTACATATTTTTGGTTAGTGAAACATAAAGAATCGGAAACTACCTCCAGGGTTTACTGTTATATATTCTATCTTTACTATCTATATAGATTGTATATATATACAATGCATGTTGGGCTTATTATTTTAACCTTTTTTCCTTGGAGCAACAGACAGTAGATACCTGGTTAAAATCTACTCCAAACAATTTTATTTTTCCGCCCATTGGAATTTGTTATAGTAATTAATGAAAGGAATATATGTATTGCCTGTACAAACCTATTTCAAATTTTATTCCCAGGTTATTCTCTAGAGTAACTGTTAAGGGGATCCAGGCTTCAGAAAGTGAAAAAATTGCCAAAATTCACTTCTTTTTTTTATAGTATTTTATTGTTATTTGGTTATTTATGTACAAGAAAATATAAGTTTTATAGATATCCTACACGTTTTTCATAACAAAAAATATATTTTCCCCAGATACTACATGCGCGCGTCTTAGTATTTTCTAGGACTTCGATCGCGATTCCCCGAAAGTTGTGGTTTTTAGTGTTTTGTAACAGAAAATTTGATATATCTCAGCCAATTTTTGTCCTATCATGTTGAAATTTTTACCAGATGTTCTTTATAGTATTTACAAACTTTTGGGTATAATTATTGATATAAGTCAAATAGTTAAAATAATAAAAAAAATTTTATTTGAAATATAGTATAAGAATTTTTTTTTTGTTTTTCAACCTTTATAAAATAAAAACTAATTATCCTACAAACAAAGTAATACCCAGGATTTCAGTAAGTGTACATAGCTACAAAAAGACACCTAGTTGAACAAAATTGATCAACTATTTTATGAGTTATATCAAAAATAAAAATGTGTTACGTTATGATACATAAAAATACATAAAATGGTACTGTGGTACATAGAGTAGCTACAACAAATAAAATAACAGTTTTTAGGCCCATTTGATATAATAAATATCTTAAAAAAATGATAAACATAAAAAATTTAAAAAATGTATTTTCTGAAGCCTGGATCCCCTTAAGGTTATTCCACTCGATAAAATCATAGATTAAACACTACAATTACGTGTCAAATTAAATGTTATGAAATTTAAAACAAAAGTTTTGAATAAATTTTCAACATATGTTTTGAAATAAAAACAAAACAGAAGTTTTCTAACTAATCTTGCATCGTTGATTATTTAGTCAATGGGGCTATTTCATGTTAAACATTCCTTCAGCACAACAATAACCTACTAATGTGAAGAAATGTAATCAAAGTAAAATAATTTTGTAAACTTCGTGAACATATGTTTAAAGAAACCAAATCTTAAATGTTTCAGCCATTCTACTTCCATTTACTTTGATTTTAACCATCTCCCACGATTCTACTAAATTTCATGCGCTTGGCTAATTTACATACAAATACACAAATTTGCAAATTGCACAGTAAAATTAATTTCAACATTCTAAGACATAACGACAAAAGTCTCAATTGTAGGTAACGTCATCCCTGGTTTTATATAGTATACAGTACATTGCAGAATTTACTGGCAAATGAGTTAAATCCAAATGTAATATTGCTTACTGGCTTAGATGAATCACGATCAGCTGTATTGAGGTAAACAAAAATCAACAGACAAATGGCTTCTAATGCTATTCTTATGGAGAACATTTTACGTTATATTATTGACTAAGTCAAAGGTTTTATCTAATTTTGTGTTAAAATTTGGGGAATTTCACTATTTTTCCGGGATCGAGACCTTTAATTTGAACCCTCTCCCGTCGTTCTACGACTACCCAGTCGCCCACAATTTTGACGCAAAGAATCGGCTTTCGTAATTAATATATAGATAGATATTTAATTTCCACAAAATCAGTTAATGTAACCAATGCGTTTCGTTGAATTGAAAAACAAAGAACACAATTAAATTAAACAGCTGATGTAAACAATATTATGTTCTTCGAAAGGATAACATGGGAACTTAAAAAGCCACTGTGGCAGAGGCCAAGGGACTTTTTCAAAAAATTTAGGCCAGTTTGCAAATCTACGCAACACGCTCTTTCCAATGAGACGTCAGTGGATAAAATCGGTTAAGAAATGGTGGAGGATTCAACCGACAAACTTCGTGTTCGCGTATTAATTATATAGATTTCATATGTGCATGAAATGTTGGTGTGAAACCAACTTGTATAACTTTAAGCTAAATGGTTTAAGTTACCTGGCTTCGTCAAGTGATCCTTCTTCAGTATCACACTACTATAGTTTCGGACTTGAAAATAAGTCCATCTTCAGAAAACGTCAATAGGTCATCTAACCAAATTGGTTAGATGACCTATTGACGTTTTTGTTAACCTGAAGATGGACTTCCAGAGGCTACCTCACCATGTATACCTTTGAAGTAGAGGCTATATTTATTCCCAAAAGGTATCAAACGCCAGATCCTCATCAAATCTTTTCTATCACTTTAAAGTTTGTTTCGTGTTTTTAGTCTTCACGTACAGAGACTTAAATCTTTGTATTAAATTGTTAGCAATCATAAATCGTGGACAGAATCTTCCACAAAAGATAAATACAATATAGTTCAACACCCTAGAACTCCTTAAAAAAAATATGTTTTGTTAAGGCTTCGTCATAATGTTAAAAATACTCAATACAACAAATTCATTAATTTTACATATGTAAACGTTGATAGTTGTGTGCGTATTGTATTTTAATATATCTTCTGTATACATATAGTCCTCTATATTTTCTGTGTACACAAATGCTTCTGTATACACGTTTTTGCAACTCACAGTAACTGAGAAATATTCTAAACTGGTGAACTGTTTTTATAAATTTTTGCCATTATTTCTCAACCCGTGCTTAAAAAATTAGTGACTCGTGGATAAATCCAGATACGAAATTTAATCTAAATCGGACCACAGGTTTTGTCTGTAGCTCTGTATCTGGATCATACAAGTGTGTATTATATAACCTGATATTAGTCAAAATATGTTTTATTCTATAACGTTTAATTTAATTAAACATAAAAGTCATGCTCCCTCCATTTTTAAAGTATTCAGTCCAAAAATGTAATAAATTTACTTGTGCATACATATTTATTTCGTTTTAATAAATAATTGAGGTGATGCAATACACTTATGTAGGCAGTCGCAGCAGTCGAATCCGGGCATAGCGCCTAAAGTTTCACGAACGCAAACCGCGCAACGAGTAGCTAAATGAGCCGTAGAGTAAGTGAGCCATCTAATATTTTGAAGAGGGTTCACTTACTCTACGGATCATAGTGCCAATGAACTGTAGAGTAAGTGAGCCATCTAATATTTTTCTGCAGGCTCGTATAGTATACGAGCCTATTCCTATAATTTATATTATTCATTATTTTGGCTCGTATACTATACGAGCCGATTCCTAAATTATCAAATAATTCGTAAGCTTGGCTCATAGTCACTATGATCTGTAGAGTAAGCGAACCTTCCTACAGTATTTTTAAATATAATACACGAGGCTCATAGGCACAATGATTCGTAGAGTAAGTGAACCCTCTTCATTTATTTTTTATTTTCGATAGGCTCGTATAGTATACGAGCCTGTAGTGCAAGTGAACCTTCAATATTATTTAAAAAGCTCGTATAGTCTATGATCTGTAGAGTAAGTGAGCTGTCCCCAATGTAAATGTTATAAAGAGCTGGGGCTAAGACGCTACCCTGATGCAATCCATTTCTTTGATTCCTCCATCTACTTTTCTTGCCTTGAAGGGACACGAAAAACCGCCTGTTATGAAGAAAAGTGCCTATCATTGAAGTCAGCTGATAGTCTTTGGTAATACTGTAAACTTTTCCCAAGAGTCTTCGATGGTTTACGGTATCGTAGGCAGCTGTTAAATCTACAAAAGCGACACCCGTGGATCTGTTTTCTCTCAAACCCATCCTCAATGTGCTGGGTCAGGTTTAAAACTTGGCCACAACAAGACTTGCCTGATCGAAAGCCTGCCTGTTGTGGAATGATCTTTTGTTCCAGAAAATCGCCGATTCGATTGAGTATCAGACGTTCTAATATTTTATCTGTGTGGCATAAGAGAGAATAAACAGGTCGAAAAGTTCTTAGGATCGTTTGGATCGGTATGATCGTATGTCTCTACTGACTTAAGGGTTGGTTTGACTATAACATACTCAGGAATTAATAACACAAGAATAACACTTGGAAGAAGTAGTACTTAGTTTATGACAATGGTTGGCACATGTTGGAAGTTGAAGTTCCACCATGGGTTGGCTCAGTGAAGCAAAAATGTAACGTGTAATTTTTACTTTAAATTTTTTTTATGCACCCAGAGTTAGCCTGTCAAAGCATGTAAAGACATTTTGGTCCAGCTCTTTCAAGATGTCTGTCGGAAAACTTACTGTTTGGCCTTAAAGTTTCAATAGCTGTATGAAGAAACTGTTTATAGAGGAGGCGTTTACTTTAATTGTAGTGCAGGTAGAGGAGTTCTATGAATTCATGGCCAAGTAAAAAAAACAAACTATTAAGCCAGCCACTTCGCCAAGCTAAGTAAACAAGTTTTTATTTTTTAAATGCATGTGTTTGCTCCTCAGTTTTAACTTTTAACACCCCCATTCCAGCATGTCAACGACTGTTTTAATCAAGGTTAAAATTTCAAAATAATGTGGGTAACTTTTGTTATGTTAACTTTTGTATGTAAGGAAAAACATTTTCCCTTCCAACATGAATTGCATGGGTGAACAAAATGCACTGGCGTCCCAATGACCGTCCTTATGCATTTTTTCATTCCCGTGGATTTAATACATTCTTTAATTAATTAATACATTCAAAAATTAATTATTATTATTTTCCGACCTATTTTAGGGGTTAAGAGTAGCTGCTGCATTTATGTACAAATGACAAATTTGTGAATTTTTTCATTTTGTGTCGTTGGCGTTGGCGTGCCTGGTTGAGTGTTTATAGTTAATGTTTTGTTTTTGTTTTGTTTTGCAAGCAAAAGAAAATGGATAGATGAAGATAGAATAATTATGCGTACCTATTAGAATAGAATGCACAATTGTTAAGGAGTATTAAATTGAAGTTTTAAAACAGTTTGTGAGCTAACAAGTAGTTTTTCCATTTTCTCTTAACTCATAATAGTTAGTGATCATTCTACTGAACTGAAGTGCAACTAACAGTGCATGCACACTTTTAGGCTGAACCAACATAGACCAAAAGTAAATAGAGTGATGTGGGTCATTGTTATTTTGTTCAAGTTTTGATAAATCCTTTATCGTATTCGTATTGTAAGTAGTGTTTTCATATTGTGTTTAGAAAGTGTTTTAAACTTTGAAATGAAATATCATGATGACACCATTAGAAACCCTAGATCAGTATATGACAACGTGTATTGCTGCTTGTGTAATGTATGCATTTTTCATGCTATTTCTCTTGATTTGTTTTCTAAGGAAGTTTAACAGTTCCGATAGCATTAATTCACTTGTGTGTCCTCCACCAATTGAGCTACATACCGTTGTGAACCCCTATCGATACTCATCTGTCAGCCAAAACCCTCAAATATCTTCATATATACAGCCTTCTCGCTCAAATAGAAGTTATTCTTCATCAAGAAATAGTGCACATGTGTACAAGATTCAGCTCAAGAAGGTGCCTTTTGGTGGAATAGATATGAGTCAGATGGAGAGATTAGCAACACTCTAAACCTAACCCTTAATTCGGATTTAAAAGCATACTCTTCCAAATGACTAGGTCGGTAAAGATGCCGTACTCTAAAACTCAAGATGGATGACCACTCCATAGACCATCCACATAATTCCATCTCACATAAACTTAACTGTAGTGGTAACAAAGTTTATACTTTGGGTAGTGCTACTAGAAATGTGGAAGCCCATAAAAGCAAATGTGGAAGTTCAAGTCTAATTTCTGGAACCTCTACCAATAAAAACTATGGTCACCAGGTAAGATTTCTATTCTTCTTATTTTTAACCTGTCCTCTTTTTAGGTAAGTGCACCTAGGCCTATAGGCCAATGATTTACAACAGTGGCCTAAAAAAGCCTCAAAAAACTTATCAATATTTAACATATTAATTTGATTAAAATTTATTGCCTTAAACTGAATGTTGTTAGAAATCATTATCAAAACTCCTCCACCGGAATTAGTATTTCTTAGCCAACAAAATAATTTCCCAATTTGTAGCCTTCAATTTGAAAGTTCAAAAGCTGTGTTAAATTTAATTTAAACGCTCTGTTAAAATGATTACGTAGGCCTTATATCTGGCTAAAGTTCCTCTAAAGTAATTAAAATAGAATCAATTCTGCTTGCCAAACACTGAATATTTTTGGTGGAATATTGATAATTCTTTTGCTTTAGGTAAATTATTATTTCTGGGACTTGATCTAACTAAATCTATGTTGTTTCTACAATTCTTCCGAACAACTCGTTTTTTTATATAGGCCTAGCTCCAGTTGATACAGGACTAGAATTTACCTCACACATACTCAATCTGGCACTCTCACTAAACACTTTTCTCTGCTTTTAAACTCACATCACTAGAATCTTGCGCTGCTGCTTCAGCATATGTGAGATGTCCTGGTGAGACTCGTGGCTGGCTGGGGCTGTTCTGTGGTGGTGGCAGAGGTGTAACTGTGGTGGTGGTGGAGGCTGATGTTTGTATGGTGTCTTGCATCTGTCTGTTGTGTTCGGCGTAGATAGCAGCTCCGAGTTGTTTCACAAACATATCTTGTGACAGTCCATTCCTCAAGGCTCTGTAAGAGTTTTGGTTGTATGTCACTATGATAACTTTTGCTTTTGTTTTCAGTTGGAAGTTGACAATATTTGAGGCAAATAAGTCTTTTGAAATGTTGTCTCTTATGCAACCCATTGTTGAACATACTAATGTCGTAAAGTTTCTCTTTCGAAAATCTATGATAAGCTCTTGAAATGCTGCATTATACTCATTCATCTGGCTTTGAGAAATACACAGGCTTAGTCACCAGGCTGTAAACTGACCCCTAGGGTTTCTTGAAACGTCAGGTGCACTTGTTATACAGTAGTTTCCATAGTCTGGCTTACCAAAATAGCTCTTGAATTTGACAGCCACTCCAGCACTCATATGCCTATCTGATGTAAAGTCTGCCGAGATAGGCTACAGTGGGGAAATGCTGCATTTTTGTCTTCACCATACTTTTTTAAAACTTCAGTCATTCCAGATTCAATAATTTGTATGCCCAATTTGTCTTCAGGTACCGTAATGTTGTTATGAGATGTGTCAGGTTATTGAGTGTCAATTTTTATTGATTTAACAATTTGTTCATACAACAGTTTTTTCCCAGTCCCATTAAGGTGCTGTCTATGTTGTGTAAAATGGTGTCGACGTAACAAAGAGCAGTCTACCAATTTGAAGTTCCTGGATTTTAAAATATGGTTTAGGCCTACTCGTCGAATTTCTCTATTGACCATATGCTGAGGAAAGAGGTCAAATCTGTGGAACAGAGTAACAAAAAGGATGCTAGTGTGACTATGTTTTTTATGAAATTTTCAAATTGTTCTGGAATTTCTTTCGATGGATTAAGATTTACGTTTATCATTTTTTCAACATTGTTAGCTCCAGCAATTATTACAGCAGTGTTTTTGCTGCATTGGTTTTTAATATTTCCATCCAGCATTTTGAAGAATGTACTCCACCGGTTTGACAAACAGTTTGCAGTTCAAATTGAGATTTGGTTGTAAAGTCTCATATAGTTTTCTACCATGACTGTCAGCATAAATATTAAGTCCCACCGACTGGATAACCCTTGGGAGGGGGGGTACTGGTTTCAAGTTTTAGGTACTTTATTCTTGTCAATATTATTACCATCTTGGCCAGCGATCTTGGCCTTTTTTATACTTCCACTGACATCTTTCTGTGTTCTCACATAACTAGTGTTACCACTCTTTGTGAGTGTGAGTGATTTTTCTTGAGTTTGGGTGTTTTTATCATGTTTGGCTTGTTTATGAGTATGGTTTGTATATTCTGTTATTAGCTCATACAATAGTCCGTCTGTCAAAAAGACATGATTCTTTAGAACGTATGCTAGTTCCTACTGATCTTTTCTTTATGAGTTCTAACTCACTAACCAGTACTTTTCCAACAGTCTGAAAATTTGGTGATGTTTTACTCATGAGATACAGAAGATTTTCAACAAAAAGACAAATGTAAATCCCACAGTCGTATGAATTTATCTGTCTTGATGATTCTATCGGTGTGAAATCACTTGGCGTTAGCTTGAGGTAGGCAGATATCTTATGAGCTATGACCTGGGAATGTGCAATATTTGCATTGGATAAGGAGTCGTAATAGTAGAAAGCATTATTGTATTCTTATACCTTACCATTTACACTCCAATGCCCTCCTTCAAAAGAGCTTTCAATAGCATCATTCACTGGAATTACTATTAGGTTTTGATTGTGAAGCTGCATTGGATCCAAAAAATGAGAGTAATCGTCTACGCTTTTTATAGCATTGAATTATCAATGGGTTCAGTTTGATACATGATTGAGATAGTAAAAATCGATTATTCAGTAGCTCAAAATAATGATTTAGAGATTGGTCTGTGAGAAAGCTTTTTTACCCAGCAGTTCATCAGCTAGCAAAGTGCTATTGTAGTCACTAGATGTTTGCGTTTGAACAGAGTTTACTTGAAAACTTCCTCCTTGAATCTTTTCTTGTTCATTGACATTATATGTTTCATCCTACTAATCCATCCTACTATTTATCGAGTTTAGAGTTGTATTGGAACCTGACACACTAGAATTTAGTATTACAGATTCACTCTGTTGCTTATTATTTCTATTCAATGTACTGAAATTGAAGTCGTTAATATTAATTGATAGGTTGTGAGCTTGAATATATTTTGACAATTCAGCTTTTAATCTTATTAACTTTCCTTTTGGAGAGTAAAAATATCCTACATCTTTCTTCCCTGCTGTAGCTCCTTTTTTGCGTAGAACTTCCTTCCTAGACCATCCTTGAGGAAGAAAATCATTTTGAGTACTCATCTTTTATCATTAAATTAGTAAAATAAAATAATTAATTTCCTGTTAACTTTAACTGTAAAAGTCCAATGTAAACAAACTCTCCTTTAAAACCCAAAGAAAATGTGTATGCAATTGTCAGTTTATTTCAACAGTAAAAATCCTGAGCAATTTAAAGATACAATTATTTTACTATTAAAAAAATAAATAAATAATGATAATAATGAGTTAAATTAATAAAAGTTCAGAAAACAATGTAAACAAACAGACGACACAACTACATTCCAAAAGTGCTGAACAGATAATGTCCTGGATTCTCACTATAACAAACGATTTCACTATTATGTTTATCTGAACGAGAAGAGGTATGTTAATAATTAATTTTTAACTCATTAAAAATATATTTTGTATGCTAAAAATAACTTATTTTGAAAGATTATCTCCATTGACCTGGCCTATTGTATGACATGTATACTTAATGGCAATAAACTATTTGAATTGAATTGAATTGAAAGATAAACGAGAGCACTTCTAAAGATTATTTTATCTATCCGCCATCTTGATGACGTACTTTTTTACTATTGTATGGATTTGTTACTATAGTATGGTTTGAAAAAAAACAGCTTTCAAATCCGTGCCTAGTTCAGTTTTAGAGTGTCACCTAATTACACTCATGACGCTTTGTCATCCAGCGTTAAACTGTTAGGTATAGATCTGGATTGTAATCTAAGCTGGTCAACACATATTTGTAACTTGAGTCGAAAACTGTCCAGAGTATTATTTTTAATTAGACGCCTCAGAGAATTTGTGCCCCATTTGTATGTAAGATCAGCCTATTTTGCCTTTTTTCAAAGTTTGTTAAAGTTTGGATTGTTACTTTGGGGAAACTCTAGTCATATCTCAATTGTACTGAAGCTCCAAAAGAAAGCAGTCAGAATATTAACTAATTCTAGGAGTAGGGCCCACTGTAAACCTCTATTTAAAACAACAGGTATTATGACAATTGTGAATCTTTACATTCTAGAATGTGTTATTTTTGTAAAACAAAATCCAGATTTGTTCAACACAAGAAGTGTCATACACACACATTGTACTAGGGGTAGAAACGCTTTGGACACTAGACGCCTTACACTAGACTTACTACAGTTCAAAGAAGTTTTGCTAGCATGTCCGTGAAAATTGTTAATTGCTTTGCATGTCAAATCTTAGACCTTCCTGTTAATCGCCTAAAACAAAGTTTGACTTCTTGGCTTAATGAACACCCATTTTACAGCTTGGATGATTTTTTTGAAGAGTATAACAGGCCTAATGAAATTGTTATCTAGTTTCTAAGTTTCACCTAGTCAATTGCTTGTTGCATCTTCAAATTTTTTATTAGTTTCTTTAAGTAGCCTAATTTGCTTGTTTTATCACTCAAATATTAATTTTAGGTTAGTCTTTTGCCTGAGCCACTGTGATTATCTTAATTATTTATGTACCTGATTTTTAAATTATACACCAGTTTTTATGTATTTATTTATTTAATAAGTTAACTTAGTTACCAAAATGATTTTTTACGAGGTGCATTTTGTCTGAACTGCTTATTTTTTACTTATTTTATTGTCTGGAAACCTTTAGGCCTAAACCAATTGTCTTTCATGCTGTAGGCCTAGTCATATTTTTGAGGTGCCTTAAAGGTTTTTACATTATACATTTTTGACGAAATCTATTGTAACTCATGTTTGATGAATAAAGATTTGATTTGATTTGATTACATTTGTACCTTTTTCAGATGTATGAAACACCAATGAATGCAAGTGGAAAATCTACACCTGCCCAATCAAAGACCCGTCTTCCATTAAATATGATTGTTTCTAAAACCGCTACAAGAAATACTCTTCAAGAGAATGAAGACGATGAAATACTGGATTTTGACTTAACTAATATGAGGTGATTTTCAGTCAGTGGCAAAGACAATAAGCCCAAAATTAGACCAAAATTACTTGAGTAATCATGTTCATGGACACATACATATAATATGTGCTGAGTTAACTTAATGCTTTAAGTTAACTGTTTAATAGGCTAAGTTCAGTATTGCTAATAAATATGTTATGTTTATCTACTTGTATCTGAAACTGTAGGCCCTACTTATGGTAAGAATGCTGCTAGTGTCACCCACACTCTCTGAAATAGTAACAGAAAGAATAAGTTATAGGTAATGCAGTTTTACAAACTTAACTAACAAACGATTGTAGGTAATAGCTATTTACATTACAAGTGTAGTAAGAGCGTTTTTACATCACGCTCGTTTGCATAATTTACCTAAGTGATGTAAACACGCTCTTGCGTAACGTGTAACGTACAAGATTTTACCTGACCCGACAATATACAGGAGGTTACGAACAATATTTTTCATTACCCATTTCACTCATCTTATAACAGTAAGGTTCATTTACAAACAAAAGCTAGGTTAGGGAAATTCTCCAAAACATAACAATAACAATAAAATTCAAGCACACAGCTGATTTCTAGCGTTAAACGTCGTTGGCTCCATAGAGTTAGGTATATTTTTTAAGTCATCCACTCAATGTTATTTAAATGGGTTTCATTACATCACCGAGTGAGTTTTTTGATACTTTACATCACTCGAGAAGTAAGGAAGTTGTATACATCACGCTTAGGATAGGGAAGTTTAACATGGCGGGTTAGGTAAAGTAGTGTAAGCAACTCGCATAATTAGCCTTTACGACACTCTTAATTTTGTGAAATAGATTAGTGCAAATTAGTTAGACTCAAGTGTTTAAATCAACTGTTTTTTGTCTTCATCAAACATTAAGGGGCCTATTCATTATTCTTTTAATTTAACATATTATTCAACCTAATTATAAAAAAAATACTGTATCTCGTTTTCACCAGCACAAATCTACTGAACTTGAAGGGTCTGGGAGCCAGATCCTTTTCACTCAGATCCCTCAGTTCAAATGTTGGTCTGACCCGACCCGAAACTTTCTGTGATCAGTAAAAGAGCCCTGCTGGATTTTCTGGGTACCTAGATTAGTTATTCAATCTCTCAGAGAGTTGATTTACTTTAATATTATATAGTAAATTAAAATTACTGTATGATGCTGACACATCATTGTGCCTAGTAGCTTAAGTGAAGATGAGAGAATAATCAATGTTGAATGTATGAGATAATAAAGCTCTTGTTTCTGACCAAAATAAGCTGGTTACCTGGATCATTCCTTAAAAATTGCTTGATCGAGGGTAGCCGTGTCCAATTTCTGTATTACTATTCCACCTGGGGTAGTAGCTTCTTCCCTATAGGAGAAGATTCACTTACATATTTACGGCATAGTTTGTCACCAAAAGTGGTTACATTACAAATTATAACAAATACAAATTAAGTTGTTGAAAGCTGGTTATCTAGTTATGTGCCGTAGGTATACTACTCAGTAGGCCTAGATAAAAATATAGTTTAGTTAGATAAAATGTAGTTTGGATTTCTGGAAATGTGTCTTTTAAAGATTCTCACATGTTCATGTAGGCCTACCTATGTAAGTAAACTTCTGGTAGTTTTTATAAGGCCTATTTATAAAACTGTTCTGATTTTAGGAAAACAAAAGTTCCAGCACCTTCGTGGAAAGGAAAAGAATGTTATAGAAAAAGACAACAATCTGCTGTATTGTACAACAAACGAAAGATTGAGGAGATTCAAGCCATGAAATCAAAATTGTAAGTCTATCACCAGTTGAAAAATATGAAATTGAACTCTTATGAGTCAAAATTTGTAATTTTGCCATAATAATAACATGGGAATTTTAAATTTACACTTTTTTTAATTTTCTCCGTAACCCTTAGGCATACAATAATGCTTCAATATACTAAATTATTTGTTTTTTAAGCTCAACAAAATGGTTGCGAAAAAAATTCCAAAATTTTATGTTTTTAGGGTCAAAAATGTTAAAATCCCCCACACCATGGGGGTTCGTTCCCATGGTCTGATCATGCTGGTTTGGGAACTCGTTTGAATAAATGTAGGTTTACTTGTTTATACCAAATTTCATTAAAATCAGATCATTTTTGTCCGACGTTAATCGTGCTAACGGACACATATATATATATAAATACCGGTATGTATATATATGAATTTGAACAGATGGTGTTTTTGGCCTCTGGGGACCTCAAGACGAAAAAGTAAATCGGTCCCGGGTCCAGGTCTTATTATGAGACCTACTGTAATAGCTTATTCCCTATATTTCCTATATGAAAAATATGCTAATATTCCCTATATGGGAAATTCGCTTATATTCCCTACATGGGAAATTCGCTGAAATGAAATAGGCCTATTACTTTTTAAGTATTATGGAAAATATTTATATTCAAGTGTAAGCTTCATGTATCACTGGAGCGAGCTGGGCTAGTGGTAGAGCGCAGGACTTCAGTCCCGGGCTCAATTCCCACCAATCATAAATGGATTTTATCCAAGTATAATATTGCAACACTCTAAGCCTAGCTTTATAGGTTGTTAATGTGGGACATGACAATAAATAATTTTAAAAATAGAATAATTTCCTATGATTTATTTCAGTGTACAACTGCAGACTTTCTGTACCTTTTCTTGCTGTTTTTCCATGTTATAGTATATTAAACAAGGAGTGTGTCACTTACTTTTTCTTAATTTTGAACATTGACGTTGTATTTTACAGGAAACATCATCGATATGACCCGAGAGCGTCTCTAGGAAGACCGAGGCTCAATGACAATCAGAATACATTATCTGAATATATGTCTGTCATTTCGAACAAAGAAAGATGTTCCCAGCCTTGCAACAATACAAGCGCTGTAGTACCAGGGTCAGATCCTATTCCGAACAAAGACAGAGATCAATTTGAAACGACCTATTCTTCAGTCAACAACGATCGCTCTTTTTTTACCTCCACACCAGCTGTAAAGCCAAAAGATGAGTTTGTTTGGAATCCCATTATAGTTCCAGTTGCAAATTCATCTGGTAGTGCAAAGGAGCTGTTTGAACATCATTATCCTCATCTTGAGAATAGTTGTAGTTGGTTGGACTCACCGGGAAACTATACCACTTCTTCAACGTCATCTGGACTCACCGTTGCTGAGGTTAGTCAATACTACTTTTTTAATATATCAGTCTTCGATGTGGGAGTTAATACAGATTAAGAAACAAATGTTCGCATATACCTCTCAGTAAGAAAATCTAACTCTGGAGGGTAAATAGTGGGATTGGGGTTTTGGGTGAGCTCACCACGCAGAGAGACACACAGTAGATCTTGAAGTTCTAATTCACTGCAAATCACTCCACACACTTCGAAAGGGAGAATTTAGTAATGTTAACTACTGTTTCAAAAAGAGAGTGGTTTAAGGTGGGAAAACTTCACCACGAGGTGGTCAAAAGACCAAGATTGCCATAACAGCGCGCCATAGGTCCGATGGAGAAAGGTTTTAGACGCTAACTGACCAAAATTAAGGTGGGGAAATTTCAGGTCCCCAGAGTTCAAAAACACCGCCATTCAAATTCATATAGGCCTATTTATTTATATGTGTCTGTTAGCGCGATAACTCGAGAAAAAACTATCCAATTTTGATGAAATTTGGTACAAACGTGTAAATCTACGTTTATTCGAACGAGTTTGCGAACCAGCATGATCGGACTATAGGAACGGGAGTTCATGGGGGGATTTATGGGGTGAAAATTGGTTATTCCCATTTTTAACAATTTCTTTCCAGGCCATTTTGTAGTGCTTAAAAAATAAATAATTTTGTATATTGAAGCGTTGTTGTATGTCTAACGATTTCCGGTACAGAGGTAATTTAAAAAAAACTTTAAATTTAAAATTACCATGTTATTCTTATAGATAAATAATAAATTGTTGTACTTTGCTTGTTTGTGGCCATATTTGAATCAAATTTGGCAATTTTGTTTATTTCATACCAAGCTATCAACATTTCAATAAAAAACACACCTCGATACCTTCCCTGTAGCAACAAACTTAGGTACTCATTAAAATAATGTTATTAAAATTAATAGGAAATAAATATGACAATTTTCAGGGAATATTTTAGTAGAAATCCAGCCAGGTAAATGGAAATTCTCTTAGTCTGCAGGTTTGCTGCGTCAGGTGTATTTATTCTTTTTCCTTAGAGTTAATTCATTGTTAGCAATTTAAATTGTACAATATATCAAATCTGATTGGTTACCAACAGGAAACTGTTCGACTCACCTACTACGCAGGAGGATCTGGATTCCCGCAAAACCACAGACAGAGAAAAAGAGATACTTACGATTTCATGAGTGAACCTTTTACAACATCGGAACCATCTTGGCTTTCTCAGAGTGGTCAAATTGACTTCCCAAATTATTTCGAGGAGTAAGTGAACAAGCCACCATTGTTTTTTTTTCATATTACTCATGTAACACATTAGTCTAAACAATTTTTAACTGACTGAATCAGTCATTCATCTGTCTAATCAAATGCCTTTAGTTTAATTAACAGTTTGGATTCTACAAAAGTATCTCTTCACAAAAAGGAAGAGCCTTGATGTATTTTACATGTTTTTTTTGCAGTATTTTACATTAAAGATAAAAGATGTATACGGTTATTTTAGGTAGATTTTATAGCCGATGGTTGATTTGTTTGTAAATAAATAAATCAAAATATAATAACCATGCAAGACTGTCAATGTTGAATTCAGGGTATTCTTTTTTTAGTATCTCTTGATATTTTACAAAGTATTATTTTACAATTTTATGTGACTGAACAGTATTAGAAAAAGCAATACAACAGTTGAACGATTTCTAGCATTAAGTTACTCGGTTACTAATAATAGTTAAGTACTCTTTAGCTGAAATTAGTACTAATTAATCACTTGTTTTGCTAGCACAATTTTGAATATTTGTTTAGGGTTTTCTAGTTTTAGTGGTTCAACAATTAGACAATTCAAACTATTAATTATTTATAAGATGTTTGTCATTTACAAAAAAAAAACTCTTCGTTTTAGTGAAAATGCTATATTTTTATCTTTAGACCGTGAGACAAAAACTTAAACTAATTTGGAAATTGACATAAGGGAGAAAACTAAAATTTCAGAAGAGTTTTGAAACAATGGCTTCTTATTTTTTTTTTAAAGATTGTTAAATACACAATTTTATCTTCTGAGTGAGATAGCTTTGTAGGTACTGTAAATATTTTAGATACACAAAATATGAATTTTATGTAGTATTGACAATCTTGAGATAAGTATTGTGAGGTTGTATTGTTATTTTTGTATTTGTTAACTAAACATGCCTACCTCATACTTCATTTTAAGTTATGAAAAAAGGTAAATGTACAAATGTAATGTTAAATGTAATTCTGCTAGCTTTATTAGTTAAGTAAACCCTTAAGCTTAGTTGACAATATGTAAATACTAAATAGTTTGTTATTAAGTTTGTAATATATTTTACTTATGACAATGTTCTGTAATTTTAACTATCTTTGTTGAGTAAACATGTTATTTCACAGATTTTTATTTCTATAGAACTGAAAGAACCAACAGTATTCTAACATCACATGACCAATTTCACATTTACTAAATAATAAAGGAACCCTATAAAGTGTTCTCCATGGCCCCTTTTATAGAATGTTTTTAGTCACAAAGTTAGAAAAAACACTATTTAATAGAAAAATTTCATGGGAAGTTATCACCATGTAGGTAATATATATAGTCATATGTCAGTATCTAAATTCACAACCAGCAGTAATATCAGAGGGAAATTACTTAGACTATTTGAATGACTAGAAAAAGGAGGATAGCAGCTAGCTTATCTTGAAAGTGTTGGTAGACCATAGAACAAGTAGAAAATGTAGAAAAACACTGTGCATAGGCCTACAATATTTCGTCCCATGAAGGACTTTTTCAAGTGTAGAGAAACAGTTTATAAATTAAAAAATGCTTTTTTTCATCATCATCTTCTTTAATATAATGGGTTGTATTGTCCCTATCAGAAATATAATATATGCAAATATAGCCTTAGCAGTTGTAAAAAACTTAATTTGGGGAGTCTACGCCCATATTCCTCATCTGCATTACAAGCATGAAACGCTTGTTCGTGCGTACACCTCTCAACATATTGCGACCTTCTTTCTTTTTCTCTTCTTTCTTTGGTCACCATATTCACAACAGACGATTTTTTTCCAACAATGATCAAAGCTTTTTCTTTTTTCACTGGCTTTCTGAAACCAAAGCGGTTGGTGTGCTGACACTGCTGTGATTGGTCTATTTCCAGTCGTCGACATGCAAGAGGCTACAGGAGTTCTCAACTTTGCAGCTAGCGAAGGTGCCACTTTTGTCATGGGATTTCTGTCTTTATTTCTACTGTTTTGTACTCAGCATAGCACACCTAGGCACTGAAGATTGCAGCAATACTTGAGCTCGAGTTTTCTGCTGCCCTGTTCTCACTGAGGGATTCCATGTTTTTGAAGAGCTGCTGATGAATCTTTTAAAAGTCCGACATCTTGCTGACTGGTCGTTTCCACTGAACCTGGTGTGCTCTTAGTTTGTTTCTTCTTCAATGTAGATCCTAGTTTAGATGAAAACTTTAAGGACTTGCGTTGTGGACTTTTGCCGCCTGATAAAATAAAAGTAGCATTTCTCAACAGTGCTGGTACCGGCATTTCATCGGTTTCTTGATCAGCGGAATTAGAAAAATAAAAGTTAAACTTCTGGTCAGACCTTGTATTTATTCTCCACCTGTTTCACATAAAATCATCCTTAAAAATGGGGCTCACGATGTTGCAACAGAAAGAAAGAAGAGCAAAAGAAAGAAGGTCGCTATATGTTGAGAGGTGTATGCACGAACAAGCGTTTCATGCTTTTAATGCAGATGAGGAATAGGGGCGTAGGCTCCCAAAGTTTTTTACGATTGCTCTATCAATAAAATAAAAATTTGTCTTTCTATGTTAGTGTGTGCTTTAGGTTATATTTGCATATATTATATTTCTGATAGGGACAATACAACCCACTATATTTAAGAAGATGATGATATTAAAGAATTTGTAAGAAAAAAAAGCATTTTGTAATTTATAAACTCTTCCTCTACACTTGAAAAAGTCCTTCATGGGACAAAATATTGTACGCACAGTGTTTTTCTACATGTTCTATGGCCTACCTACACTTTTAAGGTAAGCTAGCCGCTATCCTCCTTTTTCTACAATTCCAAATCCAGGCCTAGAGCCTTTCCTTGAACAAAACTATTTGAATAACTAATTAACTTTCATACTGAATTGCATTTAACAACTTAGACTATATATTTACAATCTCTAAGTCCCTCTGGAACTCACGTAGATTCAATCAAACAAAAACACAAGGCATTAGAAGCACCTTTATCACCTCAGTCTCTTGCTATAAGTTGGTACAGTATAATGGTTTACTTAATCCCCAAATTTTGCTTATTTATCTGTAACTTTTTGATGACACAGCATAGAGTTTTCCAATACCTTTTTTGATATGTCTAAAACATAAAATTAAATACAGTTAATTTTTAAGTAAAAGTAAACATTACAGTAGACTGCTTGTGGCCAAAGTAGTCTAGATAATATATTCTTAGTGTGTTGGTAACAGTTTTTCTGTAGCCTCGTCACTTGTGCAGTACTAAAATTACAGCTAATATTGTGTTTCTATCACTGTTTTAATGTTACTTGGGAACGGAGATAATGTGGTCCATTTGTGATTAATTTTATTTGGTCATTTTCTAAAAAGATAAATTATTGTATAATCATATTGTTGTTAACAATGTACCTGTGTAGTAGAAACTAAGTGATAATTGCTAATTAATAAATGCTCTCTTCTGCATTATCTCTATGCTTCATAAGACTGAGTTTTAACTATTGTTTCAGTGCATGTTTGTTGTATTTAGTATCAAATTGTTATTGATTAAAACCTGTTTGATATTGTGTCAGTGAAAATTTGTAAATATAACAGCCAGCTTAACAGAAGACAAAGTTGTGACTTCATTTCCTTTTTTATTGTGTCATATAATTCAATAAGGTGATTAAAATTTTTGATGATAAGTACTACCATGATGGATGAGGATGGGTCATCCTTTGTCACCATTACAAATAGGAACTATTATGAAAACCGTTTTGCATAATAATAATATAAAATTTATAAATAAAAATACTTCTTAAAAATGCCACGTTTTTAAACGCACTAAAAAGTATAAAATAATTTATAAAATGTTGAGAGAATAAATACTTGTAAGATTTAAAACGAAAAACATGGGGCGCATGCTGATTTACAATTAACTTCACCTATTGAACTACAGTATTATGATCTATTGCATGCGCCCCTCGTTTTAAATCTTACAAGTATTTATTCTCTCAACATTTTATAAATTATTTTATACTTTTTAGTGCGTTTAAAAACGTGGCATTTTTAAAAAGTATTTTTATTTATAAATTATTTTATAGTTTTTAATCTTTAATATGTAAATATGTTAAATCTATTTTATATAGCCTCTTATTACACAACCAAAACCCAAAACCTTATTATCTGTAATCAGATGTTTTATCTTTACATTGAAATGATTGGTTTATATTTTTACAATATCTTGGGAGCAGAACCTGTACCTCTTAACCTCTGCTCTTCTAACTGTCAAATTTAAGTGGTACTTTCCTGTTAAAGGGAACATTCATTATTATCGATGATTTTTTTTCGATATATCGATTTACATTACAAATTGACAACTGATGTTGTTAAGGCTAAAAGTCTATTATATGGATTAAGAAATGAAACTGTTGTAAGTTAAGCTAACCTAACATAACCAACCAAACTTGCTGTACTATTTAAAAATTCCGTTTGATAACAGTAAAGGCAAGTAAAACACGGAATTTTTAAATGTTACATTAAGTTTGGTTAGTTATGTTAGGTTATTTTTTTAGAACAGTTTCATTGTATTATTGTTTGTTGATACTGGACAAAATTTATCGTAGTTGTCAGCTGATATGTTTCAATTTGTTAATATAGATATATCGAAAAAAAAAAATCATCGATAATAATGAATGTTCCCTTTAACAGGAAAGTACCATTTAAGTATTTACAGCTGACTTAAATTAATTTATATGTTTACATTCTTTTAAAACGTAAACATAGAAAATTTGGAATCCAAAGGGGCGTAGCCCAAGAGAAATATGAAAATTAAAAGATATAATATTGCATTGTCATCCATTTATGAGCTATGTTTCAAATTTCAAGTCTCTAGCTCATCGGGAAGTATCAAAATTTGCAAGAAAGTGATTTAATAAAAACAAGCCCATGGGGCGTAGCCCAAGGGAAATATGAAAATTAAATTATATAATATTGCATTGTCTTCCATTTGTGAGCCATGTTTCAAGTTTCAAGTCTCTAGCTCGTCGGGAAGTTAGTATAAAATTGATTTCAAAATTTGTACCAGACAAGAAAGCGAGCTAATAAAAACGTTTTAAAATAAGTTAAATCTCTCCTCAGTATCAAAACATTACCAAATATGGGGAAAAACTTAACTATACTAAAGACATTTTCAAGAATTGCTATTAATGTCAATGTCCCAGTTTAATTTCTAACCCCCATTAAAATTGTTCCTTTTACTTTCTCCCCCTATACATAGTATATGGAGAAAGTATTGTATTCGTAAAAATTTTTGAGTTGGAGTTTTGAGTGGATGTATCCATTTTGGGTCCCCCTGAACCCAAAAAAGTGGTGTTCGAAGTGATGTCCGTACGTGTGGATGTGTACAGAGCTACAGACCACACCTGTAATCCGATTATGATCAAATTCGGTTTGGATGTACTAATCTTTGGTATCTCCAGGCTTTTTTCATTTTTTTAAATTTTGATTTTTAATGGGGATTTTCCTATAAAAACCCATAAAACAACGGAAAAAATAAGATTTTCTCGAAAATGGCCCGAACGATTTTGATAAAAATTTAGTATGGTATAGTCGTTTTAGATTCTGAACAAAATGGTACAAATCCCATTTCCGTAAAAATTTTGGTTCAAAAGTTATTGTAACTTATGTTATTTAAAAAAAAAAATCCTATAGGTTAAATTACAAAAAAATCGTAATTTGGAAAAAACCGGTTTTAAACTATACATTAATTATTCTATAGTGCAAAAACAAACAAAAAACAGCGTAATCTCTAGAAAAAGTCATCTTAACTGACTCCTGACCTTGAAAAGGGTTCAATTGATAGCATCTGCTCGCTCATTTACCAACTGCCCTCTCCACTCGCTGTGACAACAATGGCGTCAGACAACTTAACAGCTGTCTTGTACGATGTCAACGATATACGATTGGTAAGTTTACCAAGTAACCCTGTAACACGTATTTACAAAGGTACTTCAGCTTATATGGTTTACATAATTTTGTTTGTTTGTTTTCGAAATTAAAATGTACAGTACCTACAAGTACAAACTGCGTTGTGTTTTGAGAGAATAATAATAGTGATGTGTTGATTGCATTTCCTGTTTAATGAACTATATTATTTAAATTGAAACTTTTTAGTCTGAGTTCTTGATATAGGGTACTTGTATCCAATATCCAACTTGACCTGCGAAGTTAAGTTGTAAATTTTATGGTTATATGAGCACATCAGACACTGATAGTGTAAACATGATCTCTAGAGAGTTCACACCTGCTTTGAGTTGAGTATGCATATTAGCCTACAAATAACTCAACAAACAAGTTCAATAACCAAAATCGTGCTAAAATAAAGTTCTACAAAATAAAAATAAAATTACAATTTCTACAACAGCAATTTATAGGCATATAAAAATGTCTATAATTAATTAGTAACTTCCATGTAGTAACACTTTTTGTCATGATTAAATCTTAAATTAAGTAATTGGGTTTCCTTTGATTGATGAATATTATTTAGAAAATACACTAGATTCTTGCATGTGCTGTTAAATAAGTAAAAAAAGTGTATTTTGTACTTTTATTGACACACGCTTTTGGTTCTGTATAAGGCAAATTTATATTTTTTACTTTCATTTTATTTACTTTTCCAGATTTATTTTTTATTTTCTAGCTAGCACTATACACCAAATACAATATTTGTCTTAATTTTTATTTTTAATTAATATATAATGATTTGTCTATTTTACTCAATTACATTAAATTACTTCTCTATAACATTTCGTATGCCGAAACCGAAACTGCTCCTCAGAACAAATAAAGACGATGAAAATGATACTAGCAGAAGACTAGCTAGCCAATTGATGAATTTTGTTTGGGTGTCCGAAGTGATAACTTGCAGTGGCCGAGGCCAACGACACACATACAAGATAACCTTCTGATGTCACAAATTCTTGCTGAACATGAATGTCTCTCCAATAGATTTCACACTGAAGAACATTATTTAATACCAGAGTATTTATGCCTTGTAAAAATATTTATATTACGATTTATTTTCTGTTATTTTACACATAAAAATAATATTCGGTAGACCCCATAATGAATGCTTTTCTAGAATTTCTTTAACAAGCTCACATAATTATAGTCACTATCAGAATATTTCAATGATACAATGGATTAGTACCACATAATCAAAATCAGACCACAGATGTGGTCAGTAGTAGCTCTGAGCATAGACACAGACACACACAGTAGTAGCTCTGAGCATAGACACAGACACACACACAAACAGATAGACAGACAGAAATCACTTCAAAAAAACTTTTTGGGTTCTGGGAGACCAAAAACGGATACATCAACCCAAAACTCAACCCACAATTTTTATGAAAACAATACTTACCTACTTCATATTCTATGTATAACAAAAAGTAAAAAATAGGACTATACTTACTGCTACAATTGAAATAATTTGCATTGGCCTGTTTATTGTATTTTAGGAGCAGAGACCTGTCCCGGAGCCTGCAGATGATGGTAATTAAACACAAGTTGACTAAACATTTACTAATAAATCATTTATCTAAAATATTATTTGCTTTACAATGTTTTAATTTTATAAAATTAGTCTTTTGCAAATAATACTTTTTACAGTTCATAAACAAACGACCCGAAAAAAAACATATTTTTATTATTATTTAAATAATAATGCAACTGTCAAAAATTTGCAAAACAGATGTAGAGATTATTAGTATGAGATTCCATCCAGCTTCAATCAAATGTTAATGTAAAAAATTAAAAAATGGAAGATATGGTTAAAATGGAGCGGTTTTGAAAAAAGTTTATTTTTTTTATTTTCTCTTTATTTTTAACCATAGAACATAAAACCATATCCTAGAGTTTGGCTGTTTACTTACGAGACACCCTTATATACAATTATATTTTAATAAATTATATTATAATTATATTAAATTATATTTTCATAAACAATTATATTTTAAATTTACATAAATATTCTTTGACTATTTGTTAAAACAGAAAACCAATTCCTATGCTAAAGTTTTAGTTAGTTTGTTTGTTTTTTGTTTGTGATTGTTAGTTACTTAGCTTGAGAATAAAAATAAAGGAATTTTAACTAAATAGTAAGCTAATGTCAATCGCTGGTTTAGTGATTTATTTTGAATACCTACACCAACATTTTAACTAAGCCAATCCAAAAGGACAACTAATTCTAGACTATAGCATTTTTTACGTCACATAAAACTATCTAACATAAACTGAAGGATAAAATGAAAACATATTTTTGAACGAAGCACACCATGTGAGTGGTGTTGATCTTTCTGAAAAAAAATGCTGCAGTTGGTCCATATAGGCAAAAAAAAAAATGAAATTGTCTGAAATGGTCTATTTATATACACAAAAGTCAATAACATCAGAGCGTTCTCACAGTTCTGTAACTCTCACAGAGGTGCTACTGGAGATGTCCTGCGTGGGGATTTGCGGATCTGACATCCACTACTGGGTGCACGGCCGCTGCGCAGACTTCATACTCAAAGCTCCCATGGTCATGGGACATGAGGCTAGCGGCACCGTTGCAAAAATTGGAAAGAAAGTGAAACATTTGAAACCAGGTATTCATAGTATATAGTGTAAGTAACAATTAGGTGTATCCATAATCTAAGTCTAAAAATGTACATAATATTTTAAAATATAGCATAAAGGGTCTTTGAAAGTTGCCCAGGCTAATGAAATCGTTATTAAGATTTGATAATTTAAAACTAATTAAGTAGGCCAGTAGGGTGTTTCGTAATTGCGATATCGAGTTAAAATCCTCTCTGTGGAATCAATATTCTTAATTGGATGAAACTTATCTTGCAGTTACAAACAAAACAAAAAAGGGAGAATCATAAAGTTTTGATCGTTGATACTACAATGGTATGATTGTTTTTTCAAGCATCATTGGCATAAGTAATTGTGTGATTTTTATCTACTAACTTCGGTGTATAGACCAAATTCTCCTATGCGTTTTGTAGTGGTGGATCATGCGTTTTAGTGTGGGTTTCACCTATCTGACATTAATGTCAAATTACTGTTGATGGTTGAAAAGGAATTGTGTGTGTGTAATACTCCCTCGATTGAGAAACACGATTGAGTATTTTTCACCATTCATTCAAACCACATGAATAAGCAATGGAAAAACTGGTTATTGTCTAGATTTGTACCGAAAAAATGTAAGTTCCATATAACTATGAGTGTATTTTTTTGTGTGCAGGGGACAGAGTTGCAGTAGAACCTGGGGTCCCGTGCAGATATTGTGCACACTGTAAGCAAGGAAGATATAACCTGTGCGCAGACATTATCTTCTGCGCTACACCACCCTGCCATGGCAACCTTGCTCGATACTACACCCATGCTGCTGACTTTTGTTTTAAGTTAGTAATTATTCATTCCTAAGATATTGCGGTAGGAATCCAACTATCTGAATCGATTTAGAATTGGACATCATACAGATAATCAAAAATACAAATAGTTGAATTTTTAAGAAACTAGTTATATAAATTTGCTGAAGACAGTTGCAATAGGCAGATGATTCTCCCGCCAATCAATAGGACATTAAAATTGACTAGTCACATAAAGGACACAATTAACACACATTAAAATATGTAACAGATTACCAAAAATCACCATGAACACAATTTTTCTGTCAAATTTTGTTTATTTTTTCACCTTGAGGTAATATGGATAGGAATAGAAGTTCCGTATGATTGGAGTTTGTATAATTGGAGTTCTACTATATTATAACTTATTCCTTAAAACAGTGGATTAAAAAGTATATGAATTAACAGTTTACTACAATTAAATACCGCCTTAAAGTATATATCATTTTTACTACACTTCAAAAGAATTATTCAACTTCGTGGCGAAACATAATTTCCATATACTCAGCAAATAATTTAAAGTTTGAACTGAATTGAGTGATTTGACATATTATGAAAAGTTGCTTTTGCACTTCATAACATTAACGGTAAGTTATCATATTTATAACTAAATGAATTGTATAATTTACATTGAATGGTCATAATGTCATCTAGGATCCCAGACCAAGTTACACTAGAGGAAGCTGCTCTGTTAGAGCCGCTGTCAGTGGGCGTACATGCATGTCGTCGCGCAGGCGTCACTCTTGGCTCCAACGTTCTCATCACAGGCGCAGGACCCATCGGACTTGTCACATTACTTACAGCCAAATCATTTGGAGCTGGCAAAGTCGTCATCACTGGTATACAATTTTTTTTTCATAGTCTCTCTAAATAACTAGGTTACCTGCCAACGACATACTACCTTTACTTACTCCCATGGCTATTTACCAGGTATTTGACTTCACCAATTAATTACTTCCACCTCCTGCGATCCCTATGGCTTTTTCATCGGCGTTCACGAATCTCATATCTTTTGTTACATCATCTATCCACCTCATCTTTTGCTATTGGGGGTTTTCATTCCATGTCTGTTCATATAGCTTCATCTCCCCTCCTTATAAAATGTCTGGCCTGTTGCAGATGTTTGCTTTTTGCCTCACCAATCTCGTAATAAACTTACACATTCACCATACATACATCATTACACTTTTTAATTTATGAACAAACAGCAGTTACTGTATTAGGATTTATTCAAATACCCCTGCCGCAGCAAACCTGTAGACTAAGGGAATTTCCATTTGCCTGATTGGATTTACAATAAAATGTCTCCTTAAAAATATCAAATCTTTTCCCTATTTTAGTAGAATTAGTTTAACGAGTACCTACTTAGGTTTGCTGCACTGTGAGGGTAAAAAGAGGTTTTTTTTAAATTTTAATAGTTTAGTAAGAAATAGATGCGTTTTTCAAATTTGATCAAAATATGTTCATGAACAAGAAAACTACAACAGTTTACTTATTCCCCATAAGGATAACATGGGAATTTTAAATTTACAATTTTTTGGAATTTTCTTCGTAACCATTAGGGGTGTAAGAACGCTTCAATGTACTAAATTTTTTTTAAGCTCTACAAAATGGTTTGGAAAGAAATTGCTAAATTTTATGTTTTTTTTTGCGTATTTTCATTTAAAGCGCGGGTCCCCCTGAGGTTCAGGGCCCTGTGCAGCACCTTTCGCACATGCCTAACAGAATGCATTATGCTCAGGGTATTAGATAATTTGCCACAAGTTTGGGGACCTTGTTACTACAGGATTCAATTGACTTGATGATACCATGAAATATTTTCCAGATGTGATAGATCACAGGCTGGGAGTAGCCAAGCAACTAGGAGCTGATTACACAGTCCGCATTGATCCCAAAGCGTCAGAGAAGCAGACAGCAGCAGAAATCATTGATTTGCTAGGAGACAGACCTGACATCACCATTGACTGTACAGGCTTTGAAGGGACTATTCGGCTAGCCATAGAGGTAAGGTGCAGCTTCGGGGATTATTACAAGCTAAACCCCCCCCCTTCCCAGCAAACCTGCAGACTAAGCAAATTTCCATTTTCCTAGTTGGATTTTTACAAAAATATTTCTTTAAGCTTGACATTTATTCCCTACTTCAATAAAATTAGGTTTTACGAGTACTTAGGTTTGCTGTCAGTGCTCGATTTGCGGGGGGAATGGAGTTCCGGTACCTCTTTTTCGGAAAGATAAAAATAATGGCATAAGTAGATTTGCACACATGAAATAGGTTACAGTTCCGACACCTCAATCGAGCACTGTTTGCTGTTACAGGGAAGGTAGGTTTTTAGGTTGTAAGGTGGTTTTTAGCAATATGTTATTAGCATGGTAAAAAATAAATACACTATCCAAATTTGATCAAAATATTCCCATAAAGAAGCAAACAACAAATTTCATAATGTAGTTGTTTTTCTAAACCACGTTAGCTAATCAAATACGTACGTAATCCTACTGGATTAACAAAACCCACAAGGCAGTCTGCAGGTATTGTAACCTTTTATTGATTAAACAACAAATGTTACAAATGTTAACTTTTCTCTCCAGTAGAGCGAGGGATTTGAAATTTACAGATTTATTTTTATTTTTATCTATTAAGTGCACAAAACATTTTTAATTTTTAGTAATGCCGCCTAAATGTTGTAAACTGATTTCAGTAGGCCTACATAAGATTTAACATTTGCACAAAGAACAATAAGACTTAAACAAACTACATGGAGTAGAATTATGTTCCTTTTCTACTAACATCACCCAATTTATTATTTCTTTTTCTTTCTCAAACTTCACTTGTGTATAAAATATTTGATAACATATAATTCCGCTAAATTCCAGGCAACAGCAAGCGGAGGAGTTGTAACCATTGTGGGTATGGGCTCCAATGAGGTCACAGTTCCGTTGTGTGCAGCGGCTGCCCGAGAGATTGACATCAGAGGAGTGTTCCGTTATGCTAACGAGTGAGTTGCAAAATTCGTATTTAATTTTTAAGTTTTAGTTTGGGTATTTAAAAAGTCCTTTGCAGAACCTTAACCAAGCATTCAAATAAAACTTAATATTTTGAATAATTAACAATAACAGTTTGTGTAATGTACTTTCAGCTAATTTCTACGATATCATGTTCTTATTAGTTCTGTTCGAAAATGTATTAGATATATAAATGTGTAGACGATATAGCTGTCTTTCGCGATTGCGACAATATTCTGATTATCTCCCTTCTTCTTTTACTTTTTCAGCTACCCAACTGCACTGGCCATGGTGACTTCTGGGAAAGTAGATGTAAAGAAAATTATAACCCACCACTTTACAATCGAAGACACTGTAAAGGCTTTTGAGACAGCCAAGTCTGGAGTTGGCAACCCTATTAAGATCATGATCCACTGTGATAACTCAGGAAATGCAAAAAAGTAGTCTTTAAACTCTTAACAGGATGAGGCTGATTCTTGGTAAAGTGACACACCAGTAAAGCTAACTGCACTATTTAGCTTACTGCTTGCTATAAAGCTAACTGATCTGGCAAATCTTAGCATCTGTGTGTGTATGATTGTATACTTAAAATAAAACAGAGCTTGAGAAACATTGTAAAATTAAAATTACCTACACATCTTCTTTATTTTTAAAATTTTTGATAACTTGTTAATTAATGAACACTTTTTAAAAATTGTGAAATCTTGCTCGATGATGTAAAACTTAAGTTGACAATTACTAAAATAAAACTATTTTTTTGGTTTAAGTTAACCAGGCATAAAACATTGTAAGTGGTCATAATCTTATCAGTACGGTTTTGAAAAAGATAAAACTATAATACTATAAAAACACTTATACAGGGTGTTTTTTTAAAAACTTGCATCTTTATTTATGTAAAAAACGCAATAGATAGAAATATGCAGTTTGCGGGAATCATCTATTGATGTAGGGGGCCCAATTGTTTTGAATTCAACGTTACATTCACATTCCCCCCCACTCCCCCCCTGCCACCAACTTTTATTTGATATGTAACAAGGGGTACCTTGCTATTAAAAAAAAAAATATAAGTTCCGGGGAAAGGGGGGGGATATCTCACAAATTTATGAGCCAATTTTAAAATTTTATTCACTAAACATTTTATTTTTCATGCTCTTTCATTTGATTGCTATTAAAAAAAAAATAAGTTGGGGGCAGGGGGAATGTGAATGTAACGTTGAATTCAAAACAATTGGGCCCCCTACGTCAATAGATGATTCCCGCAAACTGCATATTTCTATCTATTGCGGTTTTTACATAAATAAAGATGCAAGTTTAAAAAAAAACACTCTGTATACTATAAAATACTTGTATACTATAAAACTATAATTCCATGAAAGGGTTTGGTAGGATAAAATAAAAAAAGTAAAATGTATTAATTTGGGTTAAAACAAAAAATTTGCACAGCAAAATAATTATTCAACTTCACATTCACAATCCCAGATTAAGTGATCAAGGTTGATAAATAAAGTACCAAGTTATATGAAAGAATAATTTATTGTAAACAAAAGTATAGCATTTTTGTGGATAGAAATTTGCTAGGATAAAATGTTGTTATCTGACGTTGACCTGTTGTATTAACTATTAACACAATAACCCCTTGAATCAAGGAAACATGAGATAGAAAACGTTATTTCTATGATAATGTAATATCTGTACAATTATAATACATAATTTGACTACTATAGTAGTTAATACTTAGTTTTACAATAGCTTGTGAATTCATATCTCTAGCAAAAATATATAGTTGAAATGAAAACTATGCGTAAAATACAACATAGATGAGAAGAGAAAATAAAAATATACAACAAAAACATGACTAGCCTTGTCTAGGCTGGGAGATGCAGACGACGTATGAACGATACATTTGCTACGATTATTATAATATATATGTACACGAGGCTAAGGCATTTCAATCCGCAAACTCAACAACAAGCGCAGACCGGGAATGAGAGCTGCAAACAAACTTCTTGATGCCAAGATTCATAACATTTGTGCAAAATAATGTTAAGCCGCTCAGCCAGTCATGTACAATCACAAACACAGGAAACATTAACTAACAACGTTATGTTTTATAGCTAAAAACAAACCATCGCTTGTGTTCAATATCAACATATTAAATACGTAGGTTTCAGAATACACCCCCAAACTTAATAGAATGATTGAAAAATTGAATGAGGAAAATAAATTTGAAATTTAAGGAATACCTCTGGTAATTACCATGTTCAATACAAGCTGTGTAATTTGTGGAACACAAATAAAATATTTTATTTAAGTTACCAAAGTATAACAATAGTAAGTATCTTAGAATAAAGTTAAGGTTGTCTACACACTCTTAAATAGTAAATATTTTAACAAAATAAATATTACAAGTGAACAATAGACAGTGTGCTGCTAAATTAACAGGTATGCGGTAGGAAAGGATAATAGGTTAGAACATACCAGTAGTAGTATATTTTATGTGTCTCTATGGACTTATTTAAAGGTAAGCCTGCTTTGCTGTCAATTTCCCTAATAATTCCTGGCAGATGCCCAATTTTTTTATCAGATAAACTTTATGTGATGAGAAAGTTACCATGGTTTGCTCAAGATTAAGCAGGGCAGCAAACCTTCACTAACCTAAAAAAATTTATTCAAATCTGGACAATTTTTTGTCAGGAGTTTATGAACATTTCATACATCACATCTAAAGTTAGCCTACAAGTTCACCCTGCTAACTACACCATTTAGTAACGTGGCATGCTGTTTAGTAGGTAGTGTTTGTACTGTTGTAGATTCAACATATTTTAGCAATATTTTTTGTTGGCCTAATATAACTTAAGACAAAATAGCCACATAATAGAATTGTTATAATTTTTTTTCCTAATAGGTACATCAAATTTGAAAATTCTTCTTTTACATTACCTTGTACATTTTACCACACCTAAACTTACATTTTAAAGAGTAGAATTGATTATTAAGGCTTTAACCTACAAGAGGTGTTACCTTTAATTTAGTCCAAACTTTAACCAATGTTCGTTTGGATTTACCCATTGACGCTGTGTTGCGAGTGTAGCTTGATTGAGAAGTCATGAAACAATTCTTGTGTCAATGGGTAAATGTAATGTAATCTTGTTTATCAATATTGATGTGTTTGGTACGGTTTTTCCACCACATTAAACACTGCTGAAAAAGTTTAGACTAAAAGAACCCTAAGTAAAATTGTAGCCTAGTTTTTTAAGTTTAGTGTGATATAGTTAGCTATCTTCTCTAACCATCCTTGAATTTATACAACTAAAGTGTCGGTTCTTAAAAAAGAAAAACACATTGTTTAAATGCACATCAGTAATCATTGTGAACTTTCACTTTTTTTGCATAAAAACTATTCTGCAAAACAAACACAAATTGTGGTAAACCGAGACTATACAACTATTTGTGTTAAAAATTTCCTATTACCTTATTTTCTTCAAGTATCATCAAGAAATACAAAATGAAACTAGCAGTTTCTCTCTGAATAAAAAACAGACAGTTTAGACACTAAAGAATCTGTCCTATCTTAACATTAAAAACAAATCAGGACAAAATGGCCACACACAGCCAATGACATAAAATACCATGAACGAGTTGACAATTTAATTTTGAAATGTGGTGTACAACTTAAATCGATGAAAAATTTAAAAGTCCATGTTAAATTTAGAAAATCTTGGCATCACAAGTTTAATCTAAGAACTCAAAATAATTACAATGAGTAGATGTTCTGTACATGTTAATCTGGACATTACTCGTTGTAGTCCCACCACTCTTTCTCGTATCCTTCGTGAACGTGTTCTAGGAGTGCCTTTCGTCGGCTCTCACAGTATCTGCAAGCCAACAATATTGTTAAGAATTATTAAAATTCACTTTCTCGTGATAAATATTTAGGAAAGAAAACAATTGGCTGATAAAGAGTGTTTTTGGAAAGGGATGGTGTTCAGGTTCCACAGTGAAACACAATAAAAGACAACAATTGTCTGATATGAGTGTTTTTGGAAAGGGATGGTGTTTAGGTTCTATGGTGAAACAAGATAAAATATAACAATTGTCTGATATGAGTGTTTTTGGAAAGGGATTGTGTTTAGGTTCCATGCTGAAACACAACAAAAGATAACAATTGGCTGAGATGTAGTGTTTATGGAAAGGGACGGTGTTCAGGTTCTATGGCGAAACACAATAAAAGATAACAATTGTCTGATATGAGTGTTTTTGGAAAGGGATGATGTTCAGGTTCCATGGTGAAACACAATAAAAGATAACAATTGGATGAGATGTAGTGTTTTTGGAAAGGGATGGTGTTCAGGTACCATGGTGAAACACAATAACAATTGGCTGATGATGAAGTGTTTTTGGAAAGGGACTGGTGTTCAGTTTCTATAGTGAAACACAATAAAAGATAACAATATTGGCTGATGAAGGAGTGTTTTTTGAAAGGGATGGTGTTCAGGTTCCACGGTGAAACACAATAAAAGAAAACACTATTGGCTGATGAAGGAGTGTTTTTTGAAAAGTTATGGTGTTCAGGTTCCACAGTGAAATACAATAAAAAATAACAATTGTCTGATATGAGTGTTTTTGGAAAGGGATGGTGTTCAGGTTCCACGGTGAAACACAATAAAAGATAAAAATATTGGCTTTGGCTTATGAAGTAGTGTTTTTTGAAAAGTTATGGTGTTCAGGTTCCACAGTGAAATACAATAAAAAATAACAATTGTCTGATATGAGTGTTTTTGGAAAGGGATGGTGTTCAGGTTCCACGGTGAAACACAATAAAAGATAAAAATATTGGCTTTGGCTTATGAAGTAGTGTTTTTTGAAAAGTTATGGTGTTCAGGTTCCACGGTGAAACACAACAAAAGATAACAATTGGCTGATATGAGTGTTTTTGGATAGGGATGGTGTTCAGGTTCCACGGTGAAACACAATGAAAGAAAACAATATTGGCTGATGAAGGAGTGTTTTTGGAAAGGGATCGTGTTCAGGTTCCATGCTGAAACACAACAAAAGATAACAATTGGCTGAGATGTAGTGTTTTTGGAAAGGGATGGTGTTCAGGTTCCATGGTGGAACACAATAAAAGAAAACAATATTGGCTGATGAAGGAGTGTTTTTGGAAAGGGATCGTGTTTAGGTTCCATGCTGAAACACAACAAAAGATAACAATTGGCTGAGATGTAGTGTTTTTGGAAAGGTATGGTGTTCAGGTTCCATGGTGGAACACAATAAAAGAAAACAATATTGGCTGATGAAGGAGTGTTTTTGGAAAGGGATCGTGTTTAGGTTCCATGCTGAAACACAACAAAAGATAACAATTGGCTGAGATGTAGTGTTTTTGGAAAGGGATGGTGTTCAGGTTCCATGGTGGAACACAATAAAAGATAACAATATTGGCTGATGAAGGAGTGTTTTTGGAAGGGATCGTGTTTAGGTTCCATGCTGAAACACAACAAAAGATAACAATTGGCTGAGATGTAGTGTTTTTGGAAAGGGATGGTGTTCAGGTTCCATGGTGGAACACAATAAAAGATAACAATTGGCTGATGATGTAGTGTTTTTGGAAAGGGATGGTGTTCAGGTTCCATGGTGAAACACAACAAAAGATAACAATATTGGCTGAGATGTAGTATTTTTGGAAAGGGATGGTGTTCAGGTTCCATGGTGAAACACAACAAAAGATAACAATATTGGCTGAGATGTAGTATTTTTGGAAAGGGATGGTGTTCAGGTTCCATGGTGAAACACAACAAAAGATAACAATTGGCTGAGATGTAGTGTTTTTGGAAAGGGGTGGTGTTCAGGTTCCATGGTAAAACACAATAGACCAAAACAATTGGCTTGTGAAGTAGTATTTTAGTTAGTTGATAAGTTAAATCTTTTAGGTAATTGCAAAACAATCAGTTATTTGCATTTGCATTTTGCTGATTCTTGCGTTGTCAATTCTCTCGACATTATTTAAGACTACTGTGCTAACAAAATGTATTAGTTTCCTATTATAACAAGAAGGAATCCCTCTCTTTGAATTATAGGGTTTAGCCAACCAAACCTTGAATTACAGTGTACATTCCAAATGGACTTGACCTCTGCTTGGACTTTGAAACACCAAATGTATCAAAATGCATGGTAAACTTAGAAATATTAAAAGATTCTCTACAGACTCAGCTTTTAATTTTTGATTCGGTGAGTGTTTGAATTACTAAGGAGTATATGCCTACTGTACTTAAATTATTTCTTAAACTGATATAACTTTGAACTCTTTCAGCTTATAAAACACTTGAAGTAAATTTCAAACAGTTGGGCCATTGCATGATTAAAGGCTATGTAGGACAAATGATCACAAACTTAACGAGTAGAATCACTCTTCCAATTCATTTATTTAAATTAAAGCCATTAATCCTTCAAATCAACTTCAAACAACCCAACAATTTATAATATAGACTCCCATAAAAGCACCTTATGAAGTTTTCAAACTCTGCATCTATACCCCAACTCAGAACGAAATGGCAGTTGATTTTGACCAAATTGTAATTGATTGCACAAGGTAGATGTGGTTGGATACACCCTGATAACTCTTCTATTGATATTTCTACAAATTGTTAGCTAAGCATGTTCCAGTTACATCAATGTTGACTACTGCTATACCGACCTGTACTTGTCTTGCACTTTCTGTTTAATGTCTGCCAAGTTCTCAGATGTTATGTCTCGCTCAAGGTATTCTGACAGGGTTTCGGTCGCGCTCTCCAAATCCCTTTGGTTATCCTTGAAAGGAAAAAACAGAACTAATTAAATCAAATCGGATTCCAGTAAGCCAGTAAGTGTATGAGCAATAGGTAAAGACAACAGAAAAATATAAATGCTATTAGCTTGTCACCAATGGCCATAACCTGCACATTAATTTTTAATTTTTTGAGATGATCTGTGTAGCTTTAAAGTTATTGACTGAGATTAGCTCTGCCCTGCTAATAAAGAAGGCAGTACGGTAAGTGCAAAATTTTCGATTTTCAGGTTTTGTTGTAATTTAAGGTTTTTGGGGTCAGGGATTCTGAAAAACACACTTAAAAAGCCGCATCTACAACCGTTTCTGAGATATGGCAGGTGTATATTGCAGTATATACATCATTTTTCAACAGAAACTAAGCTAAAAGGCAGTATCTATAAAAGCTAAGCAAGAAAGGCAGTATCTGCGATGTAGATACTGCCTTTATGCTTAGTGATGTACATCACGTACTGCCTTTTTGCTTAGCATTATGGGTACAAATGAGGAACTAAAAGCAGTTTTTACCAGCTGAGATTATGTTGTTGTGTTTGTGTTTACACTGTTGTTTGTAAATATGAAAATGGCTAGTAGTAGTTAGATACTGCTTTTTAGCTTAGGGTCCTCCTATTAGCACTTACTAGCTAAACAAAATGGCAGTATGAGCAGATGCTGCCTTTTGGCTTAGCATGAACACAAATATTTCTAAGGACAAAAGCAGTATGTGCATTTTTATATTGATCCAGTTTAAAAAATTTATTTTTTATAGTGTCAATTGAATATTTAGGCCTAAGCATTACCGAAGATAACAAAAAATATTAGTTTAGTCTTCACATGTGTTAGGGCAATGGCGGCAAAGTTGAGGTCATTTTCTGAAAATATTCACTTTTGCACATACTGCCTTCTTTCTTAGCAGGGCAGAGCTGTTTCATCAGTCAGGATAATTTATTTAAAGCCCAATGTTCAGGGACAGCTGGGTCCAATTTCAAACCATCAAAAAGCTACTGACATTTTCTCAGGATCGAACTGGCGACCTTTGGGTTACTAGGCGAGCAAACCAAATAGGGCTGTTTAAGACGTAGCCCTTAGTTCTATTACAAAAGAAAATCTCAAAAGTCTTAGAAAAATAAATGGTCACTAGTAGCTTATTGGAAAAATATACTTTTTGCCTTTTCCAAAAGTTTCTTGTATCCTACACTATGCTAAATTCAGTGATTTAATACCAAAGAATCTATCTGGTATATAAAATGACTATAAACGAAAGCGTAACATTGAAAAGTGAATTACCTCAAAGAGAACTGACTGGTTGTTCTTGCGGAGGTAGAAGGCAAACACATAAGTGTACATGAGCGTCTGCCTGCACTGACACAGGATGTCAACGGCTTTCCTCAGGAACTGAACCTTAAATCAAAGGAAACCAGGATGGTTTATCATGCCAATCATCTAGCAAAACATATTCTATTTCACCCTTTTTTAAACAGCTTAAGATTTGTTGAATTACTTTAGTTAATAATAAATAATTATATAGGATGCAGAGGACACAGCTAACTCACCTGATGAAAGATTTCAGACAAGTCAAAGAACAGATAATAATATGTGTGTTTTTATGTGTTCTTTCTGCTCGTCTGCAACCTTTCCTCAGGTGAGTTAGCTGTGTCCTCTCCATCTTATATATTTACTTAATCCAAGCTAAATGCTTTTTTTCCTAACAACATAACATAACCTTTAGGTTAGTAATACAAATTTATGAAAAATCTAATTTGGATTTAAATATATGTGGAAAACAGAACACTAATATGATATCAAGTTACTAGAATTTCATCAAATACATTTTCCCCCAAATAGCCAAAGTTAAGAGAGCAAGGTGGTTTCAGATGACATATTTTTCAAAAGCTATATTTTTGTTAACAATATCAAAAAAATCTACTTCTTAAAATAATCAATTGTTTTTTAACTTAATACCTTTATGGTCTTCTTCATCTAGAAGATATTTTTTCTCCTCTACTCCATTACATTCTGTTAGCTGTGTTCATCTTATCAGCCATGTAAAACAATTCCAATTTCCAATAAAATTTTCCAATTGATTATAATTTTCATTATGGTTTCAAGTTTTGCTTTAAAGCTGGGTTTTCCTAGACGCGGAGTCGGCCAGCGGAGAGCGGACAACAGAGAGCGGAATTGAAATTAACATGGCATTCCGCTCCGCTGCTAGGAAAACAGTAACATTAAATTACCTAAGACAAGCTGAGTCCGCTCTCCGTTGTCCGCTCTCCGCTGGCCGACTCCGCGTCTAGGAAAACCCAGCTTAACGGAGTGGGGTCAAAAGTGGCTTTACTGTGAGCTTTACTGTCGCTTTCTTTCTTTTGAGAGCATTGAGTTCATCAAGGCCATCTGAGACGATAAAACTTCTATAGATTTAAATAAAGCCATGCATGAAACTGATGTTTTTTATTGGATTACTTTGTCATAATATTTTTTTTTAATCCCAATTAGCCAAAGGTCCAAATGACCCTCTGGACAACTCTAAAAAATCACACAAACCTCGATCCAAGACATGTTGTGTTGTTGCATCTCCTCCATTTTCTCTTTGACGGACGCGTAGAGTTTGTGCTCAAACTTGAGTGACTGCATGTGGTTCATATAACGGTTGCAATAGAAGAGATACCGCTGGAGTGAGGCTCTACTTTTCTCCTGAGCGTCTCTTGCTGCTCTTGCCTCCTCTTCGTCATATCTGTTGCAATTGTACCTGAAACACAACAGCCACAATTTGGTGTAGATGGAGCGAGAACGCAGCAGTGACGAGTGGAATCTGAAACTCAAAATCACTGAAACATGATAAGTTTATGTTTCAATCGGTGAGTTTATATCAAAGTAGATTGCGTTATAAGTCTTGTCTCGCATATTGTTGTACCAATTCCTGCAGTACACTGCTGAAATCTGGGAGAAAAATTATGAGGTTGTTTATTAGTGTAAGATGTGTAACTGTATGGTGTAGAACAGGAAAAATCTGAGTAATATTGCTGAAGTCTTGCTCTGCGATATATCTTCTACTGTGATTTACAAGGTGTAGACAATCAAGTATATTAAACAAAGAAACATCTTCCAGTTATTAAACACTTGGATATGTAAACTACATATTTGATAAAAAAATCCTGCTGTAGAGTGTTTAACTGGTGGATTGTTAATTGCTTGAGTATTCAATTTCCATTTGTTGCATTGGGCCGAGTGTATGCAATTGAAAAGTGTTTTTTACGATATAGAAACCGGACTACTTTCCATGTAGCCAGCTTTAGAATAAAATTATGTGTGCTTAAATTGACCCGCCGATAGAGCGGGAAAATATAAATCAATGATACATGCCAAATATGAACATTTTTCTAACCAAGCCAAATTGAAAAGAAAACTAATTTTAAACTGAGACATATATTAGATCACATCAAATATAGGCTTATAGTGCAATAAAAACTAAGGGAGAATTTACAAATTTCACTCAATGAGGGAGTGGCTTATTCAACTAAGCTCTCGAGTGTATTCTAAACTTTGTTTTAGAATTATTAGAATAAAAATTAACTACAGTCCAAACAGATGAGATGTTTACTTACATATCCATCCAAAGTCAATGGTACTTACCAAGAGGACCCATGGGGTTCCCACGGTCCCAAACAAACCCAACAGAAGTCTGTCTTGCAGTTCTGGTTCTTGCACACCATGTGGTTACATCCACCGTCCTTCTCAATCGTAACATTGCACTTGGGACATTCCTGCCAAACAGAAGACTGTATCATCATATGACAGTGCAACCTCGATATAAAAAAAACCCCAGGAACTTAATCAAGATTCAATTACACTGAGATATTGAATTAAAATTAGGTTTACTACAATGAAGTTTGTTTCGCTTTTTTCAATCTCATCATGGCTCATGATTCTTTTTATATTTTTGACACTAAAAAACTGACTAAATACCAAAATATGAACCTTTCTTGTAAACTAAAAAATCTTTTCTACCAACCAGAGTGCTATAACTGAGCATCTATCTATCTACATATTAATAGGCAAGCATGTTTCTTTAAAACCTTTTTTCTCTGCTCGTGTGCATCGCAGGGAAAATCTACGCATACTGTTGGAAAGATATTTTCCTGTAGATGTGCAGAATCCCTTTATAAATTAAAATAGGCTCAAAAATAAGCACAAAAAATGTGTTTAAAAATTTTGAAAGAATTAACATGGATCTTATGGGTTGTCATGCTGGTGACGAAATAACAACGAAATATAAACAGAAAATCTAAACAAATGGAAGAAACTTCAATCACATGTTTTATTTACAGTGTGGGGTGAAAATAGAGAAGTCTGTACATTACATATTTTTGGTCGCGTTTCGACCACTGGACGACCTCTAGTACAAATTAATATTGAGATGCAAATTTTTACATTTGTTATAAAGTACAGACATATAGAGGTGAAATTCACTAATTTTATATTGAGGAATTTGTTATTGCGAGGTTCATAAAATTGAGAATGCAATGTAATATTTTCTCTTGTGTGACCACACAATTAATTATCACTTATCAGCTGAGAGGTTATGACTACTGTAAAATGTCACAAATTCTACGGTTATTGCATTTATTGTGCTTTTGTAGCAGACTTGAATAAAAATATAGGGAAAACAATAGTTTTTGATTTAACATTAGTAAATAATTTAAGTCATTCGCAAATTCAACAAAGATGTTTTAAAACATGTAACACATCATTAGCCAAGTAGCAGGTTTATCTATAATGGATTTTGCAACATTAGTCATTGAGTCTATGACTCAGCCTAAGGCTGGAATTATCTCAAGCCTTTATCAGTCCAAGGTTCAGTTCCAGTACTTTGACCTAATGATTGTTATCTAGGATCTTATCTCATTTCCATAAACAATATTGATGATTTAAACTTAAAAACAAAATGGTTTGCATAGTAATAAACAATCTACTCATTATTTAAGGTACGTTTTGCTTGGAGCGACATTTGCGACTGTCACTCAGCGACGGTCACCGAACAGCAGTCGCGGGACACTGCTCTTGCGGGTTTTGGATAGTCGTGTTTGGAAGGGGTTATTTTGTAAACCAAACTCTTTCTAGTTGATTTTTATCTTTTTTGTGTCATTTTGAAGAGCTCACTCTCAACTAAGTTATGGTTTTTTTTTATTGAGACAATATTAAATTTATATAACCAAAAGTAATATTCTTTAACATGTCTTTAAAAAAACACACAAGAACACACAGCTTGAACAACAGTAAAATCGTACCTTGGTGTTGGCCGCAATCCAGTTGGAGGTCTCCGAGTCGTCGTCACACTTCTTGATCCAGCGCTTGAGCAGGTTACAGCGCACAGGGTCGTGCCAGTTTTCTCCGCATTGGAAGCAGAACGTGTGCTGGCACTTGCATGTCACTGGCCGAGACTCCACGTGTTGCACCTTGATTGCGTTGTTGCAGTCGGGACTCGGACACCACCTCAGCAGCCGGTTGCACTACAAAATCACACTCACATTGATTAACAAACTTCAAACAAACCATTTTAGGACATTTTCTGTTAATTTACTGCCACCAAGTTTTATGAGGTTTATATAGGTCCGGTTAAATAATTGTCTTCAAATCCAGTTCAGGATTAAGTTGGGTCCAGTTAGGTTAGGTTAGACCCAAAACATAGCCTAAAACTTCTGGAATAGTGTATTAATGTATAGACATGTAATAGGCCTAGGCTAATTGGAATAAGTGGTGGTAAATTAATTTAAAAGCTCCAAATCATTAAAAGTAGCCTAACTCATGGCCTCAGTAACAAACAAAGTTCAAACTCTAAAGAATCATTGTTAGGTGCAGTGTCCTACATTGCCATTTTACCAGGGGCTACTTAAAGTTATTTAAAATTACACAGTCAACTCTGGCTAATGTGACACTCACAGCACCGAAAGACTGATATATTTCCAAAAACATTGCATTACTGAAATAAATAAAAAACTTAACCATAATATTAGTTGTGCACTATAAAACTTATGAAACTTAAATGTGCACTCTTCGGCTAGGGATTATTTAAAAAAAAGGAATGTTGGTTGAATACAGGAAAACTAGGCCTGTTTTGATAATAATTACCTAAAAGTATTACCCAAGATTTGGGTTCATAACAAACATTCCAATGGATAATGTTCACTAACCTCGACAAAGCTGTTGGTGATGAGGTGTTGGTATTTGAGTTTGACTCGTGAGTCGCGCACCAGTCGCATGACTGTTGCGTCGTCCACCAGTATGTCACAGCCGTGAGCCGCACACGCAATGGTCTGCCCGACACCTTCCTCCATGATCTTAGTAGTGAGATACTCGGCCCAGCACTGCGTACAGAACCGGTGGCCGCACTCTAGGCCAGTCATCAGCTGTCCGACAACATAGTTTAATTGGTTGTACCTCATTACCTTCTCTTTTGCTTGAGACCAATGTATTGGATAAGCAGCGTCAAAAGAATAATTTAGTTCCTAACCTACTTTCTTTATATTCAATGTGGGAATATTTATCTTAATTTTTAATTCGTTCAGATTACATATGATAAGAGCAAACTTCGTCAAACAGATTTTGTAATGTATTTTATACTGTAATATGTCATAGGCCTAACTAATAATATAATATACAAACACCTTAGAATACATTAGAACAAAATATTTCACTGTTTGATAAAAAAAAAACAGTAAACTATGTCTCTTGTAAGCGTATATCAACTACTCACATTGGTTGGTAAGACGGCAAAACAAATCTCACATTCCTCTGTTCCTGAAGATGACTGCTTGCGAGTTGGCTGTAAAAAGAAGAGAAATAATTAAAAAGAAGAAAAAAATGTTAATAGCAAGCAAATTATTATATTGATATCATACAATACAACCGAAAAAGGATCTTCTCCAATTTATGACTGATACCAATAAAAAAAACTAGTATCTGTTTGTGTGTTATTTGTAATACAGTAGACTCTCGCTCATCCGGACTAATGTGACAGATGTTCAGTCCGCATTACGAAAAAATCCGGACTATCGAGAGTCAAGCAAATACAGTACAAAGAAAACACAATAGAGGATGAGCTCATAGATAGGATGCTGAAGTTCATTAAGCAACTCAGGTTTGACGGACTCTGATGTACCATGTGTGGAGCACAAAAAGCCCATCAGTGGCTGACATGCAACAGGACAAAGTCCGCCCCTACAGAATCAATCAATCAATCAATACAGTACTGTATATAGCTGTTTTTTCAATTTTGTTCCAGGTCCACAGTATTGATAGCCGGGTAAATGCAGTTCCACCAGTAATAATATTTACCGCTTTGTTATCTGAGTTTTTGATTATCCAAGGTAGTCTCGGTCCTGTTTAGCTCTGATAACCGGACTTCTACTGTACTGTGCAGCTAAAAAAATCACAATTGCCGATCCGGACTAGCAGGAGTCCGGACAAGGCCGATCCGCATAAGCGAGAGTCTACTGTATATAAGAGTTTTAACTAGGAATTTCAGTCACACAAAGTAGTTTTTATTGGATATTTTAGCTGTTATTTGCTTTACTATAGGTACAGTTTAAGTGAATCTTATAAAAATTTAATCATATAGGCCTAACTTCGTTACAGTATTTTCATATGTGCATCATTCCCTTTTTAAGTTTTTTTATTAGGTTACATAATGATTTTTAACCACTTAAAAATGAATAAAAAAGTAGAAAAACTTAGTAAAAAAATATGTTGTCTAGTTAAAATTTATTTCTAAAACCAATGGCGGATGTGTAACTGTACAGATTTATAGAACATATGTCTCATTCGAATACTTCCTCGTTGTGAAGCACGGGTACAGAAGTTAGTTATTTATTATGTTTACTCTAAATAAGTGCTTGTGTAGATTTAAAGTTTGTGTTATTCAAATATTAGAAAATATTAACAAACTTTAATAGGCCTAACTTGAATTTAAACAAGTAAACCTAATAGGATTTCTATTCTAGGGGTAAGATTCCAGATCGTACAAATTGGTTTGCTGGCTTGGGGGTAAATTTCCGAGGTGTTAAAATTCCGGGCTGTACACTCTTGGTTTTCTGATTTGATTTGTTCTGATTAAATTAACAACCGTGATAAAAAATTATTCAAATCCCCCATAGTTTCAGATTTTCATTATTTCACTGTATCGGCCTAATATACTATCCATCTTTCCATCAGCAAATTATAGTTATTATTTATAGTGGTTATTGAATTTTAGGATTAATATTCTAGCCAAGCCTATTCAAATTTAGCAGCTATTTTAAGTATTAGGCCTACTGTCTCTTCTTGTAGACTTAAAACTTATACCTAAGCCAGGTACTTTCCTTTTTACTCAATTGTTGGATTACTAAAACAAATCAGCAAGCTAAAATATTCGTAACAATCAAGGTTATTTTTTAAAGAATGTTCATAATTTTCAAATCTTTCTTCAAAGTATCTTGCTATGCCCCAAGTATTTCTCCCTTATTCATATTAGGTGTACAACTCAGTTTTGAGGGTATCACCTGGACCACACTTATGGGTTATCTATTTGCCACCCAATTAAATTTGATGCTTACTGTTAATTGACTTATTTACACTAGGCACTATTGTGCATATATAATTTACTAACAAGAACAAGGCTCATGTTAGGCCTACCTACTTTTGCTACAAAAAATTTTGCTTAGGTAGGATTAAAAGCTACAAAATTGTTAAATTAATTGTATTTTAATACCACTGATTTGAGTTCATCAAATATTTTTTTCTTGCCTCTTGGTCTGTAAGTGACTTCTTCTTGTTTAGGTCTTTTCCCCACTGGTCCCTGATATAAACTCAAATGTTAATATAGGCTAAGAAGTTAGAGGGGTTTAATTATTAAAAGTATAAAAAGTTCTACCAGATTTCATGAAGTAGGCTACAACTAACTAAAAAAATAAAATGTTTAGGCCTATTTTTTTTTTTTTTTTCATTGGTGAATTTAACACTTAATTGATTACCCAGACATGAGTCTCCCTACAACTTCTACTTTTGTTCTTGACAGTTGGATATCTTATTTTCAAATTTTATGCTGCGGATACAAAATTGTTCAATAAGGCTATACTGCAAAAGTAGGTACCTAATTTTATATTCTTTATAAGAAGTTGTCAGCGTTAACCTTCGCCCACATAGGCATTAAGCCTGTGCGTAGAACGTGCGTACAAGGCAAGGGGTGAGCTGGTATGCAGTAGGCCTACATACCAGAGTGAAATGACAATAAAACTTTGTGGTTCCACCAGGAATCAACAACATTGCTGCCATGGATCCACTTAGTCCAATCTGAATGAACCACTGACTCAGTTCATGTACCGACAGCTTCTTGTGAGATGTTTGGTATAAAAAAGTGAAATCTTAAGTTTAATCTTAAAGCAGGAAAAAGTTAAATAAATTAAGGGACTACGGTACGTCAAAGGAATGGAGTTTGTTCAAGACACAGTCCTCAAATCAACACACTACACATGAAATAAGGGTACCTATTCAGTTGCTTTGTAAAAATTTAACTTAAACTTACAACACTTACTTTTGGGCGAGTGATGACGGAGGCTTTAAAAGGGTTGACGACTCGAGCCTCAGCAAACATTTGGTCTTGATCTCCATCGTAAAACCTTTCATACAGTTTCTCTCGGTCCCACTTAAAATGGTTTAACAGAATTCTTGTGGTTGTTGCAGGAATCTAAAAGGAAATTATTTTAGTAACAAAATTTATGATCAACCAAATTGATGAAAGATTACTAATAACTACTGTACAGGTCAAGGACACAGTTCCACAGAAAACCTACCATTATTGTAGGATAAAATTTTCACACGAGGCCTACGGTATTTAATTTTATAGATTAGGCCTAAGTAAAGCCTAAATAAAACTTGTATAATCAACCTCCACAATCCCCATAGCCGGGCAACGCTCTCCGTTTTATTATTTTAAGACATTTTATTTTAATACACAAAACTTCAGTTTCCAACATAGGCTAACACAACATTTTATTACATAGTATCTACCAACAAGAAATAGGCCTATTTAATGTAAATACATTTAATAGGTACTGTAGTTACCTACTTAAAACATTTTAATTGAATACCGGTACATAATACCCCCACTCACACTGTATGGGCCAGTTTAACAGAAATACTGGAATACACGGAAGACCAATAGGAATTGCACAGTATAGTTACGGGCGGGAAGGTTAGTTGCTTTGATTACTAATAACTCAAAAACTATCTTAAGTACCCAAAATCCAATTTGTTGAGACTTACTATTCAACAATAAACTCTAAGTTAACTGTCAAGAACACAGACAATCTAGATTACATTTTTATAGGGTCCAAACACTCGCAACAATTGAGGTTAATCTGGTTTCTCTAACACGGCAGACGGTCTAACAGCAAATTGGTACGTAGTAATTTCACGCCAAAACTGGAAACAAATATTGCTTAGAAATGAAGCAACCAGGAATATTTCACAAAATTGCATGATTAAATACATATAAGTATAGGCCTAAATGTACAGTTTTTTTTATAGACTCCACTTTCACAAGACGATTTTTCTCCAGAGAGAAGTTGTAGTTTTTTTTGTCATCGCAGTAACTTTTTTTAAGCGTTAAGCCAAAACAAAAAAAGATTCCCTGACTTTTTATTAAAAAAACATGTTTTTCCTGACTTTCGGCATTATTTTCAAGTGTTCCCTCACCTTTTTCTATCTCCCTGACTTTCCAGAAAGTGTACACTCTGCAATAACGGGTGTTGCGGCCATCACGGGATACAATTACCGATGTTGTGGAGACTGCAAGTTAAACGCTCACGGGTCTTACCGCGGTCGCGGGAGAAGATTACCGATGTCGCGGAGACTGCAAGTGCTCACAGGTGAAGTCGCGGGAGACGAATACCGAAGTCGCAGAGACTGAAAGTTACGCTCACAGGTGTTGCCGCGGTCGCGGGTTACGATTACCGAAGTCGCAGAGACAGCTATTTAAAGCTCACGGGTGTTGTCGCAGTCGTGGATGACGATTATCGAGAGACTGCAGATCATGCTACTCCCGATTTCAGACCATTTAGCCGTTCCAACCATTGAATGGTCCCATCATGGTCGGTTATTAGGGGTTCTACTGTAAGTTTGCCTACCTGGCTGGATTAGCCTACTACTAAAATATTCCCTTAAAGTTGTCAGATTTATTTCCAATTTAAATAACATTAATTTTAGTGAGTAGGTAGACTACCTTTAGTTTAACTTAGCTGCTAACTTAAAAGGTCACGGGTATTGAGGTGTTTATTTTATTTTTGCCTAAATGTTTGATAGCCTAGCTTAGTATCCTGTTAAATAAACAATATTGCCATAATTTATAAAAATACTGTAGGTAAGTTATATTCATAAAAAAGCAAACTAGAACAGTTTATTTACTCTCCAAAAGAATAACATGGGAATTTTAAATGTGGGCCTATACAAAATTGTTTAAGTGCTAAGTTATCTTTGTTAATTGTTAGGTAACCTAGGCATAAACTTATACTTACACTTACAATAATAACAAAATTATTTTTCTTTTCTTAAGCTCTACAAAACCGTTTGGAAAGAAATTGTTTTATTTTAAGTTTTAAGAATCAAAAATGGGAAAACCCAATTTTTACCCTGTAGAACCCCCCGTTTCCATAAGTAAGTCCGATCATGCTGGTTCGCGAACTTGTTTGAATAACCATAGGCCTACAGTTAGAGTACTACTAACCTCTAGGCACCTCAAAACGAAATAAGTAAATCAGAGTTAGTTAGTGGAAACTATCTGCATACCATGATAATAGGCCTAAGTTAGACCTGTATCATAGGTTCTATGCGGAGCAGTACCCTGGTCCAGGGAGAGTAATTTGGTTGGTTCCACTAAATTCTTTTAATTTCCTAGGTAATACAGGCAGTATACGAGTTGCTATTTCTACCGGTTAAAACTTTGCTAAAGCTAATTATTTCAACCTAGGGCCTATCCATCCTATGTAAGCAATTCATTTTCTTATTTTAGATGTGCCTTTGAATTTAGTAACTTAGGCCTAGCCTTTGAATATATTTGGCTTGGTTTTTAGTAAGTTCACAGATAAATCCTCAAGTAAGGATAGTCTAGCCTATAAGTTATAACTAGCCATGAAGAAAAGAGGTAGGGCCTAGGCCTACAAGGAACAGAAAAGACACAAGTAGGCCTAGGGCCTAAGCCTAAGTACTTAGTGTTACTTAAATATTAAATCTGATAAAACTTAATAGGCATATTAAAACCAAGCAGTATCCTTGTTCTACTTTATTTTTAACTGAACACAATAACCTAGTTCAAGGACGTGCAATTTGACAGTTGCAGCATTAAAATCTAAACAAAGACCATAGCCTACCTCTACGACGGTGTTAACTTCACGAATGGAATCAACCATATGTTGCACGATTTCTTCAGTGGACAAGACCTCATAAGGGTATTCGTCAACATCAATTTGTCTTTCCTTGGGGTTGTTAGCCTCAACATCTAACATTGGAAAATCTTCGTCCCCTGAGCTCTCATTTCCCGAGTCGATGTCATCGTCAGGTCTCTCCTCATCAGAATCCATTTCTGAGGGAGTAATAAATTGGATAAACTCTTAAATGTACAATAATACACCAAAATCTCTTTGATTTGTACAATTTTCAATTAAATTGAAAAGTATTATAAATCACAACAAACTTAAGAAACACTTAACTACTGTGCAATATTCTCCGTTCTCTTCTCTCTTCTCTCTCCTCTCCACTCCTCTCCTCTTCAATTCCATCCTTTTTTTTGTGAATACTCATATGACGTCAGCTTCTGCACTCCATACCTTTGGATTTTGGTTAGATACGAAATATCTAAAGTACAGTATAAAATGAAATTCATGCAGTTATTAGCATAGACTTGTGTTGGATAGTCTATGGCATAGACTAAGGAACACAAGGGATAATGTTTTATCTATGTTATTAGCTAAAGAAATCAAAATTTTCTAAAATTTAGTGTTAGTACATCAAGTTAGAATAATACAAATTACGTCTTTTGTATATTTTTATTTATTTTATTTTTATTTTTATTTTCCATTGCAATGCCATTTACAATAATAACAATCAGTTAAGATTATAAATAAGATTATATAAACTCCAAGACTGACTTAGAAACTATACAACAAAACAACATTTCATCAAAAATTACATCAATACAATCAATTAGGTAACAATAATATAAAAAACTTCAGTACTGTAGTTTATTTTATTATTTCCCAATGGCATGGTCCCTTTGCTGTGAATATTACATTGACAACAATTACAAACAAATAAGAAAACTACCAATGCGAATGGTTAACAAAAATAAATACTTACAAATAAAAATAATATGACAATTATATTCACTCTTTAGGGCGTGCAGATCATTCCTTTTACAAGGGATTCATTGAAAAGTATCAGAATAGGCCTAAATCGTCACAGTTCACAGTGTCGGAGGACAGACAGAGCACAGACGGAGGGATGTTGCACGGCCCCTTTAAATCCAAGGGGCCCATTTCATAATAAACTACAAGTTACAACTTGAAACTTGTATTTTCCATTAGATTTGCATTGGGCGATAAAACCCAATGCAAACTCAAACAATCTTAGTGTTTTTTTTTTTGTGGTCTTAGTGTATTTTTGATTTACTAATAAATATTAGTTTGTACTTTATTATGAAATGGGCCCCAGGCCGTGGCCTTCGAAGAGGCAACGTCGCAAGTAGTGTTGTGACAGCTGTTTAGTTTGGAGGCAGCTAAAATTGTATTTGTGTATTTTTTAAGGATACGAAAGATTGGTTACTGGTCCATGAAGATATTGACTCCATTTAAATATACAGAAATCGATTTTCAGTTTATAGTCCTATTGATTTGTTGTTTAATTATATTGGTTTTATTTGAAATCTTTTAATAAATGCATATTCATACATTTTAATTTAAATTAATAATATGCAATTTAATGATCTGTTGTCACGTGTCTGCCATAATATCTTAATAGACGTCTGGTGCTGGAAAATACATAGGGGTGATAAAATTCGGGTCTGACTTAGGGGAGGTACGAATGAGGCATTTAGTTCAAAATTCCTCCGCGAACAGCGCTGTAGTAGAGAGCACTTTGTCAATGAAGGTTTACTATTCGCAGAAATAGTTCTGCTCATAAAATAAAATTATAAATGCCTCAAACTCAATTTTATAATTTTTTAATTATAAAATTAAACTATTATAACCTAACCAAACTAACCAAACTTGCTGATAATTAAATAAAATAAAAAAGATTAGTAATAGAAAAAATAATAATGTTTATTAAATAAAACTAGAAATTGCTCGATTAAAATTTTATAATGACTTAATAATAAAATTAAACTGTCATAACCGAACCAAACCAACCAAACTTGCTGATAATGAAAAAATCTGAGACAAAAAGTTAATGTAACCAGCGAGATTCGAACCCGGGACCTTTGGCACTCCAGCCCGGCACGCTAACCACTAGACCACCTAAGCCGTTGTCCACAAACCGTATTGTTACGGTAATAGCGTTCCCTCAGCTAATAAGAAGCCCACAGCTGTCATCGTAGCCTCTTCCGTACCTCCCCTGAGTAAATACCATAAAATTCCCATCATATATGCTGACGTCACCCAGATTGAAAACAAAAGATCAACTGATTGAAGTGCCATATAAGTATATTTGTTTTGATTTGATTGTTATTTTTTTTATTATTTTTTTATAAATGGTGAAATTAAATATTGAAATTAGTGTTTGCAATCTGGGCGCTAAACAACCACGGCCAACTTTTGGCCGTGTAAACAACACTAAAGTACGGCCGCTTAGAAAGACCTATTAGTTTGTCCAATATATTATTTATCACAATCATCTCGGTAGTGAGTCGGTGGCTCAGTCGGTAGCGTCACGGACTTCGGACCCAAGGCAGCGATGTCGTGGGTTCGGATCCTGGTCACTGCCGATAACATTTTATCAGTACAGTTCACCTTTGTACTGTACCAGCTCACTCCTTGCTTTGCTGCAAACGATCCACGCACGGGCGCTTAGTCTATGTGGACGGGCAAATGCAAGGTTAAAAGAGGCCGCCAACCTCTTAAAAAAAAATCTCCATCATTACATTTAATACGATAAACCCCCTTGTCTATGCTATGTTTTTCTTTTTGTTTCATACCAATATTCTTGTTTATTTTATATCCCGGCATGTAAGCAAACTTCTTAAAAATATTACCTACGTGAAGCACCTGAAAGACACACCTGAAAGAACATCCTTCCCACAATATAAGTTTTGATAAATCGCTAAATAAATGTGCTAAAAGCCTGTGATAACACTCAAAGGTCGAAAATATGGGAGGAGTATTTTATTTTCAAAAAGGTCACTTCAATGGGTAAACATAGCTTATTATACCAGAGGTTACCAGAGACCTGTGACAGCGACTGAAGATGCATTGTAATTAATGCGAAACGCGTCTCGCAGGAGATAAGAATTTTGGACACCTTAGGCTACCAAAAAGGTAAAAATATTGATAATAAATAGGTGTCTAGGCTAATATCTACAAAAAAAGTAATATTTCTGTAGAAGTACACATCTGCATGGTAACAATTTTAAACTAGCCAGCTTTCTCATTTCCATCATGTCTCGTCTCATTTCCAGGTTCTTCTTCTTATCACTGAATCAACAGAAAAAAGTTCTCGTTTGTTTTTGTTGTTTTTGTTATAATAATGAATGTTACTATGTTTTTAGATAGAATTAAGTTTCAGTGCAAGAGAAACAACTGTATTTGAAAATTAAATTAAGTAAGATTCTGGAATCAAGGCTAATATAATTCAGCGCAGATCAAGGTGAAGATAAATACTATTACTTACAACGTGTTAATATGATTCTTTGGTCAGATCAGAACTAAGTTAGGCCTACCCCTCGCCTCTCAGACTAAGCGAATTCAATCAATTAATTATTATCAGTTATTTCGTTTGATTTGGATTTTTACTCAAATATTTCCATAAAGAAGACATATTTATCCTCCATTTAATAAACAGGTCGTCTGAACTGAACTAATTTAATTTCATCTTGTTCCTTGTTGATAGCCTAGACTAGGCCTTGGCCAATTAACTTAATTTACTAGGCCTAGAGCTCTAACAAGGAATGAGTTCTTCAACCCTGTAGGCCTACGCTTCCAGTTGAATTTTTTTAGGCTTCAGTTTCTTCTAAGTTAATGAGTGCTCACACGGTTGCTCTAGAAAGATATTGTTTTTTGGTTGAGCAAACACTTCCGCCTACATTTCTTGCACTCCGCCAAATTGCTGAGAGCACCATGCCATACAAGGAGATCCAGCTCATCTTTACTCATTTGTATTTAATCTTTTAATTAACTCAACATGCACAAATTGTATGGCACAGGCACCTCCATGGCATTGTTCAATTATAGAACCTACAAGAGAATGATTGAAAAGATCATCGTAACTTAGTCACACACTGAGCCGCTGTTCCTCCGTCATATCCCCTATCTTTCACTGGCACGTACTATAACACAAGCTTATCAGTATCTACCTTAGCTAATTGAAATGAAAAAAAAAATCTTTATTTTTTAAGGCAAAGTTAGGGCCTAATGACCCTTTCTTACCCTTAACCTACGTATGGAAATACCTAAAAACTCATTTCCTTTAAAGAGCGATGTTAAAAAAATTACAATAGGTATGATCTAGAGTAATTCTTGTAATTTTACAACATAACATTTTTTTAGTAAAATCCCAATTGGTACTAATCTATTAATAGGTAATACAAAATATTGGTACATGTACACATAATTGTATACCGGTACCTTCTCAATTATAAATTAGGTACCTTACATTTTATCAACCCTGAAAAAAGTTGATCTAGCATCGATTTTTGCGGTTGAATATTAAGAAAATAGCCCTCAATAGGGTTAAATGAACAAATTCTCCATTGTGGCATCTGAGTGCCAAACATTTTAGGTTAGATCTTCTCTCTTAAATGAACTTGATCTCTTCTGTCAATGTTGTCTAAATAGCAGGTCTAATTTCGTAGGTATTTTGAAATGGCAAAGCCAGAGCCAGACTCATCAAAGAAGTCCTCACCCCACCAACATAGCATTGATGGATATGCCATCGTTGAAAAAATTGGGGCTGGAAGTTACTCCACAGTATACAAAGGATTTAGAACTGTAAGTATAACCTTTTGTAATTGGGCCTAAATTGTTTAATTTGTTCATTTTTGGCAGTACGGTAGTATATAAAGTAGGCCTACATAAATGTTTGTATGGTATTATTTTTTTCAAGGGCGAACATGTTCCATCACAATTAATTAGAAAAAAACAAGATTTTCTTAAGTTTCAAAGATTTTCTTTCAGTCTTGCTTGATATCCACTATATTTGTCTACCCTCTATCTTGTACTCATTGTTTTTTCAGGATTTATTATTTATTGTTTTGATTACTAGATACAGTTCTCTTTGAGGTCCCTCTTTTGTGATTTTACAGCATTGGCAGGGTTTGTGTTGTAATATTGTTACCGTCCATGCTAATTATTTTGTTTGATCTGTTACCACTCAAAGATGGGATTAGATACCAAATCCCAAAACATTGTGAAAACTGTTTTTTTTTTCCAATCGTGATAGCAAAATCACACAATAATTCTATTATTAGCATTATCTATTACTTAAAAACTCTCATTTATATCTACACCTACCTAAACTATTGGTCGACCCATTGGCATATTTCTTCATGCTCTAGGCTATGTACAATAAAATGTTTGCTACTACTTTGTAAGAAGAGTGAAATGGGGTACTTGTTTTGTGTATTTTCTGTTTGAAAAAATGTCAAATTTTGTATAAAAAGGGTTTTTATTGAAATAAAAATATTTCAATTAGGCTAATTTAATACAAATTGAAATAAAATTAATTTGGTGACTTTCTATAACATTAAGTTGAATTTTTTTATTGATTTTACACATTGACCGTCTGTTTTGACAAATATTACAAAGTCGTATGAATTTTGTTGTCTTAATTTTTTTCCTATGTTAAACATGATGTCTTTTCCAGATTGGACCGAGGGAAACTGTTGCTATAAAATGTGTAGAGAAAAGCAAACTGTCAACTACTGGAAGAGAAAACATCATTACAGAAATAAGAATGTTAAAAATGTTAAAACATGAATATATTGTTCAAATGAAAGACTTCCAATGGGACGACAGGTACGTAAAGTTTAAGGGGTAAAGAGAGAGAGAGAGAGAGAAATTCTTTATTTATAATAATAATTATTTTGCAGCAATACATGCAACAATAAAAATATCACATGGGTCACAGTGACCTTTTACATATTGAGTAAACAATCTTCAAAGAAATATAGAATACAGTACTAGCTGTACCCGCGGGCTTTGCCCCGTTTAATTTCATAAGTATTTGCATGGCTCAATCACGTCCTGGATGAAGTTCGTTCGCTACGCTAACATGCCTCCGGGCTGAAAATTAGCTGTTGTCATAAATTAAAAAAAAAGATAATAGTGCTGCACCCTGTTGGTAATCCTTGTAACTTTAATGCTATTGAACATCTTAGAACAGGACCAACTTGTTTAATTGAAACAGCTGTTAAGATTCATTAATTCCTTTTAAATATGAAAAATCACAAAGTTAACATAGGAAACTCCAGAGCCACTGGGGCGGAGCCCGAAAGCCCGATCAGAATAAAAACTATTTAGTTTTCCTATTTAATGCCCAAAGAATCGGTGTACCGAATATCAGCCTCCTAGGTAAATGGGAAGTGGGAGAATTAGTGATCAGTGAGAGCTTTGCCTTTTATATATTTAGACTAGCTGTACCCGCGGGCTTTGTCCCGTATAACTTCATAAGTGAGCTCGTTCGCATGGCTCAATCTCGTCCTGGTTGAAGTTCGTTCGCTACGCTCACTCACCTTTGGGTTGGAGCTCGTTCGCTGCGCTCACTTGCCTACAGGTTAGCTCGTTCGCTACGCTAACTCGCCTCCAGGTTGAAGTTCGTTCGCTGCGTTCACTCACCTTTTGGTTGCAAATTAGCTGTTGTCATGAATAAAAAATAATAATAGTGCTGCACCCTGTTGGTAGTCCTTGTAACTTTAATGCTATTGAACATCATAGAACAGAACCAACTTGTTTAATTGAAACAGCTGTTAAGATTCGTTAATTCCTTTTTAATATGGAAAATCATAAGGTTAACATGGGAAACTCCAGAGCCACTGGGGCGGAGCCCGAAAGCCCAATCAGAATAAAAACTACGGTACTTAGTTTTCCTATTTATTGCCCAAAGAATCGGTGTACTGAATTTCAGCTTCCTAGGTACATGGGAAGTGGGAGAATTAGTGATGAGTGAGTCAGTCAGTGAGGGCTTTGCCTTTTATATATTTAGATTCAAATATTATATAGAATATTCAACAATTAAGTAAAACTAAATGTTCTGAAAACTTGCATGTGCCCTGTCAGCTGTTGAATGTCGAGTTACCGAGTGTCGAGTTAGTGAGGTTTTACTGCACTTAAAATTTATTTTTGCAAGGGGATGGATTTAAGTTTATACATATTTCAATTACTAATGACTGCTTTCAGGTTAATGCCAGGGAATTCTAATCAAACAAACAAAATATTAACTATTTGAATTTGTTCTAGATCATAATAAAAACAGCTGGTCCTAGTCAGTAAGCATAGTAACCTAAGTAGTACATTCCACCCCCTTCCTTACACCCTTTCTACAAAGGCCCCACTAGAAAAATCAGGCCATGCTGCAGGATCCATGACGTCATACTAGTGGATAGATTTCATTGATAAATTCATTGCCATTGCCATTCCCATATGTTTTAGGTAAACAAACAAGCTGGCTGTTTGTAAGATTTTAATGGTATGAGTTTAGTACAACTATCCACCACTGTGACGTAGTGTTGCGCTGCCCCTGCTGCAGCATGGCCTGTTTTTCCAGTGGGGCCTTCTTTCTACCCTCATATTTGGGTTTATGTTTAGCTATATTAAACAAGCTGCATCCCATCCCAATCGGCAATACAATTTACAACTCTCATCCCATCGCTGCAGTAACAATGCATTGTTTCTTTAAATCGTTATCATACTCGCTACATGTGATTTTATTGACTTTTTTGTGTTTTAACTTTAGATAGCTTTATACACAATCCAGTGAAACATTAAAAATTAAATTAAAATTCTGAAATGTATATGAACTGTCAATTAGCCTTTTACAAACTAAGAACTTAAGCCTTGTTTACATAAAGCCAGTTGCCAGGCAGGTTACCTGCCTCAGGTAATTTGAAATACACTAGAGGCAGGTAACCTGCCCCTTAACCTGCCTGCCTCTTATAAATACGGCTTTAGTGATGTAATTTATGTTAAATCCTTTTAATCCACTGATGTATCCATTTTAATATTCCCATTTTAATTTGTCGTAACTATGGAAATCCAACAGGAATTTTGATTTAGTTTAGATATACTGTAAATTTGACAAATTAAGTCTTGTTGAAAAATAAGCAATTTAAAAGCATTCTTAATTTCCAAAATTTAAAAATACAGCTAGACTACATCTGTTCTGTCGTCTTAAAAAACTGATTTGTTACTTGTAGAACAACATTACTCTTCTCTGCTTTATATTTGTACTAACTGTGAAATCTCAAAATAAGCTAAATAACCATCTAAATGAGTATGGTTAGTCTTCACTCACCTCGTTTTCGTTTCATTTTGCATCAAATGTTCAATAATTTGTTTAGGCTGAGTTTACAGGTGTCAGGTTCGATTAATGACTTTTACAATGGATTTGGCATAGCATAAAGCATTGAAGCAAAATATGTCGCCATAGGAACCTGACAATATTTATAATATTATTTTTGACCAAAGATAGTTTTGATTTCATCTGCTTATTAAAAATGTAGCCAGTTATAGGTTTAAAAAAATGTACTGTAGTTTAATTTTACCCCTGATATTAAAGTGCAGATTTAAATATCAACTGCATTGTTAATTATGTTTTACTCAAAACCACTGTATTAACTAACTTTCCAATCATTTTTTTTATGTTTGGCATTCATGCAAACTTACTTTATAGCATGTTTTATTTACCCCTCAAATACTATTGTATAGAAACTAAAAAAGAAGATTTAACTTTGGTAGTAAACTACTTAAAAGGCTCCTTCGACTATGTTTCTCTGAGTAAATGACTGACTACAGCTGATCCATATTACGAGGGTTGTACATAAGTTAAAGTCTGCATCAGGCTCTCTTCGCAGCCAAGCAAGCTTGTTCAAATCTGACACCGACACGTTCCTTACTCAATCCACTAGTTGGTTCCTACCCTTATGGGACGATTAGTCATGTCATAGTATTCGAAAATGCTATGAAAGAAAATTTGCACTCCTGCCAAGTACAAATCATGTCCTGAAAAAAAACCTCAAAACATAAAGAAGTTAGCAAAAAGTACCAAACAGAAACAATACATCTAATGTAAATTATTAAAACTAGGTCACACAATGACGGTACATATAAGATTTTTAGAGAAATAGAAGGAATGTCAAATAAATGTAGCCTATAGTACAAAGGAAGGGAATTCATCTCACTGCAGCCTTTTTTTGTTTCCGTCTATGACTTTCAGACTATCGAGTATTACAACTGTAATGTGTTTTATTATGTAACTTTTTGAATTTAGGTTACCATACAAATAAAATATACAAGATTTTTGATACAAGATTGGATAGCCTGTAACCTTTGGAAATCCTTGTTTAAACGGCCTATTTAACAGGTCTAAAGAATTTGGGAATTCGTTTAGAGACAGAAAGTCACTTATTTAGTTATTTTCATCAACAGATTCATCTACATAGTGATGGAGTATTGCGATGGAGGAGACCTTTCAGCGTTCATTCGGAAACGCCACAAGTTGCCCGAGACAGTGTGTCGCAAGTTTATGCAACAACTTGCGACTGCTCTGAAATTCTTGCGACAAAACAATGTTGTACATCTAGATCTCAAACCACAAAATCTGTTGCTCACTACTCAACCTAGGCTCTCACTTAAAGTTGGAGGTAAGGAAATTTACCTCAACTAGTCATTAGTAAATGTTGGTAAATTAGTCACTCACTCAGATTTTTTTCTAGTATTTTTCTACGCCAATGGTATATTTAATTGAAGTCAGAGTTAGTTAAGTGCAAACGCTTTTAAGGGAAAGCGGTCGAAACCCATTAAGGTTTTGTGGGTTGCGTTTGGAATTGAACCCGTCCCTCCTGCACCGAAGTCTGGGATGCTAACCACTAGGCTTGTAACACACGCAACTTAACAGTGTGTGTGCTGAAAGTAAAATGAGTCAAAGTGGTAATAGTTATATGATTTAATCTGTTCGAGTATTTTTTTCATCTTGGATTTTGTGCTCAATGCTTAGCAGTGTGTTCATAAATCATAATTATTATTAATCATAATAATCTTAAATACCTTTTGAAAACATAATGCTATTACAAAAAATGTATGTAGGTAAGCTTTCTGTGGACTCTTGAAATAAAAATAAACATGATTATGCCTTCTGCAGTTTTAAGTAAGAATTTTAGTTTCGATTGGAATCAGTCTACATAAAAAAAAATAAAACTAAGTGCGTGATAACTTTGCATCTTGTAAATTTTCTCTTCCTGTGTTTTGTTTTGAAAACTAACAGAACAGGCTCGCCATACACCCTAGCATGAATTAATATATTCTGTTATTTGGTCTAGTTTATCATCTTAGTCTTGTAGAAAGTTGTTTGGTTTTAATCTTATCTCCACCTTTCAGACTTTGGTTTTGCCCAGTTCCTGTCCAATGAGGCATATCATTGCTCTCTGCGGGGTTCTCCACTGTATATGGCTCCAGAGATGCTGATTAAAAGACACTACGATGCTAAGGTATTTCCACCATTTAGTTGTTAAAGAAAAACAAAATAAGACGGTTAATTATTTACACTAAGTTAGTGAAATTAGCAAACATTTTTTTTTTATGTGATACCTTCCGTATTATTTCACAAATTATATAGCCTACAAGAAATTACCTTTATTCTGCCCAAGTAAGTTCTGTAAGTCGTCTGTATGGCAACCGTTTTCGAAGTCTATGGCATGATTGTCAAGCTGGATATATGTTGTTGGATTTGTTTGCGATTGCGGAAGACATTGATGATGTTCCTATGACTGCAGGAGATGTTCATTATTTTGCTACGATTGTCGGAGACTATAACATGTCCGTGATCAAGGGAGATGGGGTTGATGTCTAGATACGATTGTGGAAGATAGTTATGATTTGGCCGTAATTGTGGAGACGATGATGATGATGGGTGATATTTAGGATTTTGCGAAAAAAAAGAGGATTAGTGTGTAACAAACTTGGTAATTATTTTGACTTGAATAGTACAAATCTTTTATAACAAGGAAAAGATTCTGGATTTTTGTGACGCCATTGTATTTCTTAACGAAATTACAAATAAAGGAAACTGTCTATTGTCTATTGTCTACTACTGTCTACATTATTATTACACTTTGCCCCAACAGGTGGACTTGTGGAGTGTTGGTGTGATAGCTTACGAGTGCTTGTTTGGCCGGGCTCCGTACTCCTCTGCCTCCATCAAACAGCTGCACGCAAAGATTGCAGCTCAGGCCCCCATAGAGGTAATGTTGTGATTCTGATTGGTCTGTGGCAGTTACATAAGTCACTGAATTTCAATTTAAAGGAATAATTTTAAAGGAAAGTCATGAGGCTGATCAGGAGTTATTTTGAAAAAGGGTAGATCCTTGTGTATGTAATAAGATACACAAGTAAAAGATTACAAAATATAGCACAGATATTTTGTTCTAGTAGGCCTATGATATTTATTCTGATATGGTTGCACCTCTAAGAAGTTTTATTTTAAGACACTGACATTTTGTCTTAATATAGAACTTCTTCAGAGGATAGCACCCTACATCTAAAGAAATCCTATATCACGATAAAATATCAGTGTTATTGTTTTGTGATAATTTATTTGTATATCTATTAAACCCTATTCTATTTTTCCCAGGTAAGCTAGCTAAATGAAACACCTTTTAAAAAATTCCTTTAACTCCCATAAAAATAAAGATCTAATATATAAAATTCTCGTGTCACAGTGTTTGTCTGCAAACTCCTCCGGAACGACTTCACCGATCGTAATGAAATTTGGTGTGTAAATTCTGTAGGTATGCGAATCGGACGTAAACTATTTCCCGTTTCGAAATTCTTAAAAGGGCTCCGCCCCAGTGGCTCTGGAGTTTCCCATGTTAACCTTATGAGAAATGGAATTAATGAATCTTAACAGCTGTTTCAATTAAACAAGTTGGTTCTGTTCTATGATGTTCAATAGCATTAAAGTTACAAGGATTACCAACAGGGTGCAGCACTATTATTTCTTTTACATTTATGACAACAGCTAATTTGCAACCAAAAGGTGAGTGAGCGTAGCGAACGAACTTCAACCTGGAGGCGAGTTAGCGTAGCGAACGAGCTAACCTGAAGGCAAGTGAGCGCAGCGAACGAGCTCTTACCTAAAGGTGAGTGAGCGTAGCGAACGAGCTCCAACCCAAAGGTGAGTGAGCGTAGCGAACGAACTTCAACCTGGAGGCGAGTTAGCGTAGCGAACGAGCTAACCTGAAGGCAAGTGAGCGCAGCGAACGAGCTCTTACCTAAAGGTGAGTGAGCGCAGCGAACGAGCTCCAACCCAAAGGTGAGTGAGTGTAGCGAACGAACTTCAACCAGGACGTGATTGAGCGATGCGAACGAGATCATCTTGAAAATTAAACGTAACGGTACTTTCTTTCCATCGGTCTGTCTTAGGGGAAACCTATAACTTAGGCGATACGAAGTTCGCCGGGTCAGCTAGTAATTTTATAAAATTAAGTGGTACAGTTGAGCTTTGTTTCTAGTATCAAAGGTGGATCTGTAACTATTGCTATTAAGAGCAGCTTTTAGGAACAACAATAACCATCTTTCCGTCCTCAACTTGTAACAAACCACAGGTAAAGTGAATAGAGAGATATGGTCGATATTTTGTATAGTGTTGTTTTTCACCATAAAGAAAGTAGGGTGAATACAGCCGAGTGTTCTTATCCACATGTCGTACACTGTGCAGGTACCTGAGGGCTGTGTGTCGCGAGACTGCCAGGATCTGTTGTGCAGACTGTTGAAGCATGACCCTCAGGAGCGGATGTCCTACGAGGAGTTTTTCGCTCACCCCTTCCTCGACCTGGAGCATCTGCCGAGCGAGGACAGCTTTAAAGAGGGCGTGAAGCTCATCCACGAGGCAGTCAATAAGGATGCCAACAAGGAGTTCAAGCAGGCCTTTATGCTGTACTGTCAAGCCCTCCAGTACTTTGTGCCTTATATTCAAGGTTTGGATTTAGTAATTTTGCTGATTTTGAGTTGGATTTTTATTGTTTTGTATATAATAATTAAATTTTATCTCTGGATCTCATTTAAAAAAATAAAAGGTCGAAGAGGGATCTCATACACCCTTGAAGCGTCATCGACCGTTTCCAGCTTATAGGTTCATTCTCAAGCAGAATACCAAAATTTAAAAATACCCCTGCCGCAGCAAACCTGCCGACTAAGCCAATTTCCATTTGTCTAACATTAGGTTTATTGTAGGGATGGACGAGATTGGATTTTTAGTTCGAGACGAGACGAGACGAGATTTTTTACTTCTCATAAAATTTCGAGACGAGATTGAGACGGGATTTCCCTTCTCATACACAACGGGAAATGCACGTTCAAAATTTTTACCTGATTTTGTAACATTGTTAGATGACTGTTTAAATACAAAAATAATGATAATAGGCAAGAATATTTACAATCTTTTATTAAAAAAACATCAGCATAACATTTTTTTATTAATCACGCCTAACTTATTAAAAATGCCTACGATTAGGAAACATAGTGATATCAGTTAGGATAGAGTTAAACTTATCCTAAAATAAAATAAATCATAAAATAAAAGCAATAATAATTTCTATAAAATAGTTACTTGTTTTGACTTTTTATAGTAATAAAAAATTCCTCACACTGCTTACACTTAACATAACTTCTCAAATGTTATTAAAGTAATATTATTAAAATAATTAAAGTAATATTTACATTTAAAGAATTAATTAAATAAGAACGCCTTCGCAAAGGAAACGCAACTACAACACGCTCCTGTATTGCGGGTATTGCATTGACTTTCTGCAGGCGTTTTTAATTTTTTTTTTTTTTTTTTTATATTCTCGTCTCGATAAAAATCTCGGTCAAAAAGAAATCTCGTCTCGTGTAACGAGATTTAAAATTTCCCGAAAATTTCTCGAAATTTCGAGACTTGACCATCCCTAGTTTATTGAGTACCTGGGTTTGCTGCTACAAGGAAATTAATAGTGTGGTTTTTAGTAAAATATTAATAGTTTAGTATAAAATAAATACATTTGCCAAGTTTGATCAAAATATATATCCATAAACAAACAAGCAAACTCCAAAATTTTACAATATTCTCAACAAGAATAGGCTAACATGTGAATTTAAAATTTGAATTTTTTGAATTTTCTCCGTTACCAATAACCGTACAAAAACATGATATAGGCTACTAAAATATTAGTTTTTTAAGCTCTTTAAAAAATTCTTGAGAAAAATTGGAAAATTTTGTGTTTTTTGAGGGTCAAAAATTAGAAAAACCAATTTTTACCCCATAAAACCCCGTTTCCATGGTCCGATCATGCTGGTTCGTGAACTCATTTAAGTTTATCCCGCCTTACACCTTTAAATCAAATTTTATCTAAATCGAACAAAAATTACTCGAATTATTGCGTTCACGGACATATGTATATGCTACATAATATATACATATACAAATTTGAACGAATAGTGTTTATTGTTTATTGATTTAGTGTCCAAAGGAAATTTTGAGTTTCAAGGTTCAATTTTTTTATGTTTTGCATTTCATTTTCAACAAAAACATTGTTTGCTTTTGACTCTCAATGGAAAACATTTCCTGTCGTATTATTTTTCATTTAAACTTATACCTAAACCTTTTATAAGGTACTAATCATGTAGGTTGTTTTACAAAAAAATAGCTTTACTTACAAACTGTTGATCCTATTTTTTAGCCGAGCAAGATCCTGAGAAGAAAACGACTTTGACTACCAAAGTAGCTGAGTACACAAAGAGAGCTGAGGAACTGAAGTCTGTTTTACAACCTCAGCCATTACACAGAAAAACATCACCAGAACCAAGCGTTACCAAAGAAAAAACCACTTCAACTGTTACTTCAACAAGCAATACTGGTGTTACCGTCACAGACTCAAGATCTCCAACCCCCATGGAACTGAGTATGTTTTGCCACAAGTTTTATTGTTTTATTATTTTCACCTTTTGTTCTCTCAATAGCCTAATATTATATATGAAAGAGTTGCGTGCTGGTTTTGTCCATGTAAATACCACGTGACTAATAATTTGAAATTCCACACAAAGTGTAGTTACTCATAACTACAGGCATTCTCCCATTATTGACAGACTCTGCCCCTTCGGGCTTTCAAGGTTCTGTTCTGAGGTAAAGCGTATTGTTTTTGTTGTTTTTTTCTCTTTTTTTTCTTCTACAGAATCAGTTTTAAATATGATTTTTAAAGATTTAAATGTTGGTCCCACAAAGGGACTTTGTCACAAAGACTTCTTCCTTCTGAAGAAAACCCCAGGGCAAAATATCAAATGCATTGTGTTGCGAAGTTTTTCTGGCATCAACTTCTTTGAACTTCTCTTTTCTTGGGTACGTTAGTTGTATATCCATTGACTTAATTTATTCCTAAGCCAAGAGCTCTTTCTCCCAAAAACTACTCACAAGGAATATTTTTTTATTTTATATTTTAATGAGTGTTTTGTAGAAACTGTAGTTGATTGTGGTCTGGTGTTGCAGTGGCCTTGTGCTCTACCACCCCGTCGCTGAGAGATGCTCTAGAGATCGGCCAAGCTGCCCAGATGTACCTGGCCGAGGGCCAGTACCAGCTAGCTCTAGACAAGTTCCAGGCCAGCCTAGGAGTGTTAGTTCCACTGTTGGCCACCGAGCCACTCGGACCTCGCAAGGAGCTGCTCTACAGACAGGTTAGACACTGCACAGGGCCCAGCTATCCTTGATCATTGGGCTTTAAATAAAAGGTTCTGGGTAAAAAAAGCTAATCTCAGTTACTTATGTCATCCTAATTAACACTCATTCTTACCCTTAAAATAAATACCATGGTGTGTCATCATCATAGAAGTTGAATTCTCTATTGGAAAAACAAGTCTTCCTATTTTAGATCCTAAGAAATCACAAATCATGTCTTAGCTCATGGGAAAAGCTTTGATGCCACAAGGGTTTTATAAGAGATGCGAAATATTAGTAGACAGTGGAAATACAATCCAAAATACAATGGTGGTTTGAAATAGAATACAACATATTTTCTCTCATCAATCAGAATGTGAGTGGTTCATTTAACTATTTGAATAAAAATCGGCTACTTCTGGTCCGAGTTGATGCGATTGTCTACTTCAGTATCCAAAATTAAAGGTTTACATTAATATATTTAAAATAGTAAGAATAAGATAAGTACTATGTTGAAGTATAAATTTACAATGGATGTTTCTATGCAGGTTCAAGATTGGCTGAAGCAGGCAGAGAGTGTCAAAGCTCTAATGTCCTGCACAAAGATGGACCAAACACCCATCGCGGCTGCCGAGAATAAAGGTAAAAAACGTAAATTCTTCCTAAGAAAGATTAAAATATTCAAGTTCCTACAAAAGACTGACTAGGCTGTTGAAAATACTCTGTCCAGACTTATTCGCAATTCATTGCTCAATTAGTTAAGTTTTTTGTGGCATTTCCCCTGTAATGTTGTTTTTAGGGTATATTTTGTTGAGTTAAGTTTATTTTTCAATTTTGTTATGTATTAAATACACAACGCACATTATTGTTAGCAATATGTTAAAGTGTTAGTTGTATGTTTTTACTGTTTTTCGTAACTGTTTTTTTAGTAATTTCGTTAATAATTTGGTTTCATCCTTGTTAGTTTATCCAATTAAGAAAGTATTTTCTGATTAATGTATCTACCAAGGTTTGATTGGTGTAAAAAATGTGCTAAATTTACTGTAGTTTACAACTATTTATGAGATCTTATGAGATGTTTACATAACCATCATTAGTTGTGTAATTTCATTGAGGTAAAACTGAATGATGTTGAAAATTACAAATATTGTTTAGTAAAACAGTAGGCACTCTTGGTAATTTAACACGTTCACTGCTAATGACGCACTTGTGCGTCATAAGTATATTAGCAGATATATAATACATGATGTATATAATTACATAATATATTTTAATCCACAATTTATAGTATAAAATTTATTTAATTAAAGATATATTGTCACTCAATTAACATGATCATGTTAATGTTTATGTTTTTTAGCCATTTATAAAAGTATTACATATCATTAGCAGTGAATGTGTTAAGCTCTACCTACCTTTAGCTTTCATTGGTTGCTTTCATATGGTGACAAACATGATGCAATCAAATCTATTATGTAAATAAGGGCCATGGAAAACGGAATCTAGACCATAAATGGCAGTAAAAGCTGCATCACTCCAATTAGATTTTAATGGAAAATCTGTCACCTGTATTTGTAACTAGTAATTAGTAGGGCCATAAGTACAGTGGAAGTTGGATAATTCAAACACCAAGAGACCAGTAAAAATCTAACCAGCCAAAAACTAAAATCAGACAATTTTGACAAGAAAGGACCTGAAAACTGAATAGTGACACTTTTGATTTCACAACTGCACTAGGAATGTATTTAGTAAATGTAAGTGTTTATTACATCAAGAGTCAAGGATTTGTAGGTTGGTTTGACTTTGATGACAACATCGTTGCTTGATTTTACAAAGTAAACGGTACTTTCGTATTATGCGGAGGCCACTTATTTTAGAGGGATTTTTTTTACTGGAGACCAAAAATGACTACATAATTGAAAGGAACATACTTTAATTGACTTAAGAGTCTTCCTTAGTGGAAGCCATGTTGGATTTCTTCCCCATAAGAACAATGTTAAACATTACATCATTTGTGGACACGTAACGGCGTTATTTGTTAAGATATAGCTTTGAAATTTATAATTTGTATTTTTAACATAATAGACTCGTGACTGAGGTTTTTGAATTTTGAAAATCCATTTTCATTTCCTTTCAATAATTAGCTTAATTTTAAGCTAATTAATAATCAATTATTCATTATAAAAATTAAAAATTGTGAAATAAAAATGTCAATCTCTAGAGGACCGCAATTCCTTAAATTTAACTCCTTATCCATAATTATATGACAATTTGCTGATGAGATATTTGGACCCAAAGTTAACATTGTTCTTATGGGGAAGAAATCCAACATGGCTTCCACTAAGGAAGACTCTTAATGTACAAATTTGACGTGATTACGATTAGCGGCCTTTGAGTTCTGCCTCCCAGAAGGCAGCGATGTCGGCAAGGATTAAGTTGAATGTGTCGCCGCCGCTAGCTGCCACATGTACTCCGCTAAGTAGGTATACAGTGTGCTGTGGTGGTTATGTTAGGTTGGGTTATCATAAATATGTTTGTAGGACTTTCCTCGTTTCGTTATGGATCAAACATTACTAGATGAGTAATCACTCAGGACACTAATCCAGATAAAGGCAGTGACAGGTCAACGACCTGACCTTGGCCTTCTTGGAGGGGATTTGGCGAGCCAAAGTATGACTCATCTGGTATCGTTTGATTCATAAGGAAACGAGGAAAGTCCTGCAAACATATTTATGATAACCTAACCTCGTGGCCTCCGTTTGATAAGAAAGTACCAAGTAAACAGTGTAAAAAAATTAGAGTTTTGTAAAATTATATTCAAAATCCCAACATTATCTCACTTGTATTATTTATGGGTAGGTAGTTTTAAATATCAAGGTTAAAATGCAAATTAGAGATATTTTTGTATTTAGTGTGTTGTATTAAGCACATTCCACTGTACTGCAATGTAATTTGTTTTACATTCATGTCCTGAATTGTCTAGGGTTATACGTCTGTAAATTTAACACGTTTTTAGTTTTTAAGGTTTGATGAAACCAAATTATGAAGTGGGGATGACAGTCTAATGAACCACGTTAAGTTTTCAGGAACCCGTCCTTGCAAACTCAATGTAAAAAGTGACAAGTAGCAAGAGTTGCTACTAGTGATTTATTGTATTTACCAAAACTGTGGTTAGTGGTGCAGCTTTTCCTGTTGATTTTCCAAGGTCTTTGGATTAAAAAAAACCAGTGACATATGCTATGTTGGCCTACTAAACGATGGTCCCAATTTTGCTAGTGCAAAAGAGTGCCTGTTATCTAGGCTTACGACACTGTTAAAAATGCATTTTGGTAATACCGGTATATTAGTATACAACTTGTGATATTCAAAATGGTACCAGTGTTGAGTTGTGTTTTGATGTTAGTAGTCACTTGTGATGAAAATCTTGTGTGATTCCTGTTTATTGCCTACATGTAAAATAATAACGCAGCAATAACTAAACATGTAATCTACTTAACTACTTAACCCCTTGGAAGAGGAGTCCCGTAAAAATATGTTACATTTGCAAAGTCTTTTTCAATTTATATCATTTCTTACATACTGTGATGTAGAAGTTCTGAATATATGTTTTTTGTTAAGTATCTCTATTTGATGTAGGCGTACTATGTTAAAAGTGTATTTGTTTTAGTCTTCGTATTTTTGTTATTCAAAGTCAGTGAAAGATCTCCCTAGTTATTTCATAATTATTAAGATTAAGACTGTGTATGATAAATTTAAGGATATTTACTCAACAACTTAAATGCCAATGGATCTTTACCAATTGGTTCAAATAGGTTAAGCAACTAAGGTAATCTTGTAAGGTTGTAATATGTTTGCGTAAGTTATACACAAGTTCATGTTGTAACTAATTAATGTGATTTGGTCTTTTATCTCCTAGACTTTTTTCTCTTTTTTTATATATATACTCCCAAAATATATGCCAAAATTCTTTTCTCTGTTGTTATCTCATGTATCTGTTTCATGTTATCCATATTAAAACATTATTCCAAATTTTTTGCTGTTTAATTTATTCTTTCCAAAACTCATAAAATCAAATTCAACTCACTTGTAGGTTCAAGTCTTACTGGACATCAATTAGCTGCAGCGTATCATACATATCATATGTTACAAAAAGGTATCTAAAAAAAATTATGTTAAAAAAAGTTGCTTTAGGCAGTCCAAAAACCAAAATTCTCATGAAAAATTTCCAAAATGCTTATTTATTACTGGAATCTTTATAACCCTTTTAAAATTATTCGAGCTACATTCACATTTAAGCTATTAGAAATGAGAAGTAGCAATCTTAAGTAATTTTTTTTTTCATTTCAGAAAAAAATTCACAAGTAATAATGTAAATTTTGCATTAAACATTATGATTAAAACAATAACTTGTTGTTCATACATTATAATAATCTGTTGATGTTTTTTTTAAATACCACATTCTCTACATTCAACAAAGTTCCCCAGGGGGCAATATATTGTGTGTTCTATAGTCTACCTACACATCTTCAATGTCTTAAGCTAGCTGTGTGTATTATCCTCTTTATTCTACAATTCAAAATCCAGGCCTAGGGCCTTTCCTTAAACAAAAATACGACTATTTATTAGTAATAGTATGATCCAGGAATTTAAAATCTCAAATACTAAAATAATCTGAATCTTAAATAGTTTTTTTATCAAACACAACGTATAATCAACTTGGAAATTCTCATGAATCTCATTATTTAGTTTATTTTTAATTGATTTTGAAAACCAGGGCTTTCTCACCTTACAAGGAAACAGGTTTTATTAACTCAGTCATGACACAATCAATTACAATATCATAATTTGGAATGTTTTAAGCTGAATATGAGTGAATAAGGCTAAAGCCACACGAGGCGGTTTTTACAGCCGACAACAGCTATGTTTGTAGCTGAAAAAGTATAAACAACGTACGTGAATGGTATATGCCACATTGAGCGTTTAATAACGCAGAGCAGGAATTTCAGCTGGCAACTGTAACGCAAGGATGGGCCTGTGTCCATTTTTGCAGCTGATATTGCCATTGGCTGACCTGCCACAAGGGCAGTGTTCCAACAACGTGACTACGGTTGTTTTAAATGCTTTACGTGTGACAAACTTCTGCTCCTGCAACGATAATTTCCGAGAAAATTGCCTCAAGTGGCATTACACTAAAATTTGATTCGGGTGTTTAAATTATATACAATATTTGCATAGTTTGCAAATTAATTACATCTTTATCTTGATTTTATTAAATTGATTTAACCTCAGCGGGATAGAACAGTTCTGACGACATACAATAAATAAATTCCATCGCGGTAGTTGAGTTACCTCTTGAGGAGACGTTAGACGTTAGTCGCTGACACTAGTTTGCTGTTACCCGATCTATGCTTGATTGTTGCAGTATAATTCTCTTTTTTCTTACACAAACAGTGAAATAGCAATCTTCAAAAGGGCCCTCCTAAAAGTTTTTCACTGATATGAAGTCTTCGAATACTCAAGTGGGTACAGCTCGTGACATCTAAGCTGGCACTTGGCCAATCGCTACTAGTATCTAGTTCAAAAACATTGTGTTCCGTCATGCGGGTTGCATCAACTGTCCTCGCGACCCATATGAAGGCGCTTAAGTACATAATACAAGGGGAGTTAACCCCGTGAGGCAGCGGAAATGTTAGCAGTAGCGGAGGGAAAAGAGAGGTGGGCTTGTGTGTAGACTCTGGGTATTCTGGTGACGTGCTATGGGGTCAAATAATCGTACCCTTCTCCTTCCTTCCGCCCAGGTGAATTTTTCTCTTCCTTGAGCCCCCAACAACGTAAAAAGATAAACCTCTGGCATCCCTGAGTTTGGGCCCATTTAATAAAGGGCGCCTGCTTGTGTGTCTTTCCTGAAAATTAAAAAAAATAGTCAAATAACACTTACAAGTGTTATTTGACGTATTTTTGTACTTTCAGGTAATTCAATAATACGTACGATGCTGATCAAGAAGTTATTTTGTGTGTCTTTGGCATGCAACCTAATTGATTAGCCTGTATCGTTGTTGCAGAGGCCTGCTGTATCCAGTAAAAAACGTTCTAACATGGTAAGTTCAGATCAAGACTGTTAAGATATAAAAATGAATACACAAAACTGCATATTTTACCCAACATATTTATTGGCACAAGATCCAAAATGTATATTTATTTAACATTTAAAGTATACAGTGCAGCAGGGTATACAAACAATAAATATATTATTATTTGAAATACACTTTCTATTTCATGAAATAAACGTGTGTGTTTGTAATTAAAATTAAGCTTGTTGAAGATTGTCTGAATAGCTCAGTAGTTTTTAGTTTTTAGTGATGGCCTTGAAATCTGAAGGTTGTTAGTCATTCCAGTTGTTCCATTATTCCATTCCAAGCGAGATCAATATTCTTCCCCCAGAAGCTATACAACTTTTAATGAATACCAGTAATTAAATATGCTATTTAATAAAATGTAGAAGTTAGATTGTAAAAAAAACACGGATCCCATTCCTTAAAAAAATTCCAATGGCTTCAAAAGCACAATAAGTCAGTAAAAATATTAAAAGTTTAACTAACTCACGTGCTATCCACTTTTAACTCTCCACTGATCAGCTTGATGCTGAATTTGGTTTACAGATAAAACTGGAGTTGGTTCGGCAAAATTTGCTAACTACAGGACTCAATTGACAATATCCAGTAATTTTAACAGTTACTGTAATAACTCTGTGTTTAGTAAAAGTACAGGATGTTTTTTTAACGCAACCCAATTTACAAGTATTGTGAGACACTTTTCAACGACAAAACCAGCTGATGTGTTGGTATCCCTGTATTCTTTACTTCATTGCCAATAAGCTAATATGCATTGTTGCATAGTTGTCTACTAGGTTTAGTGTTATTGGGATTTTATTGATACTAAAAAAGAAGAGGTGGTGTCTGTCTATGTGTTTGTATGAGCTAAACTAAAAAAATACTACAAAAATAAAGCTACCGCTCCGAGGATACATATAGAACTATTCCCCCTATTTTATTATGCTCAAGTATTGAGGCTATTTGTACAATTTGTGCATGACCTTGTTGTTGCAACTCATAGAAAACCGTTAAACGCCAGACAAACATGCATTACTGGCACCCTACGAATTAATTTACTAATAACATGACTGTCAAATGAATTCATTTTGATTTCAAATGTCCAAATATTCAAATATATTAAATACTGCACAGATATTAGAACAGAAAGGGTATGGATCATAAACATAAAAAAATGATGTCACTCACCCAAATGTAAAAATTTATTAAACATCATTTAAATGGAACTGTCAAACCATCTTTTAATTTCATTAGTATAGGCATTGACTAAGACTAAGCGAATTTCCATTTGCCTGATTATAATTTTACTAAAATATGTTAGAAAAATAGTAAAATACATTATTGACAGGTTTGGAACTATTGTGATATATTTTCGATTACAGTGCAAATCATTCAACATGTTATTTGATTATTTATACCTTAAAATCTATCATTAATTTTGTATCCTTGGTAGCTAGCCTAAATATGTGTTCACAGTCTGAGTTAACAAAAACGTACTATTATCAAGTTAAGTAATACAGTTCAATTTTGTTTCTAAATTAAATGGTGAAACCATTTTTAAGCCATTTTCAAAGAACCAACATTGTCTCTTATGCATACTGACCCCGTTGCAAGGCACCGGTATAGCTGCTAGTTGTTAATAAGACTCAATATAAAACTTATAATTGTGGTATGGTTATCACATCCGCTTATTTCGTCGGTAAAAAGTGTCCCACGGCACTTGTAACTAAAAAACACCCTGTACAACTTCTAAGAATATTAAAGTTTATCAACAAAATGCATAAACTTATCTTAAAAATTCTTACTTGCTTTTATATTGTGTTTGTTGTTTGTTACAGTGCCTTGCCTGACTTAACGTTGGTAATTATTTGGCAGCTGCAAAATTGAAACAAGGTTATGGCCAATAAGTACTTGGATAGGGTTGGGCGAATGTGCTCTTCTTTTAATCAATTGTACTACTCAGTTGTCATATAAAACAATGTTTTGTGACATATACTTTATGTACTCATTGTTTATGAGGTGATATTATGATTTTAGGTTGACTTGTATCCAAAATCATAGTTTAAGTTAGGTGTGAGTTTTAATGAAAAGCTAAAACTGTATGATCTATTTCCGGTGTTAGAAATGTATAAATGCCCTTTTTTATTTTTTTTTTTACTTATCCGCTTTGGTTTCTAGATAAAAGTTACAGTGACTGTTTTGCAGCAGAATTTTTTGAAGTCTAGTGAAATAGATTTACAAAGAAACAGATTCAGCCCTAGCAAAGAATCTCTTTATCCAACTGTGGTAGTTACATTAACGTAAGCATAAGCTAGATAAAACTACTCTATAGGATTTTACTGGGCTCTCTTTAGTTGTAACGAGTTCAGTTTCGTAACAAGATGTATATAGTAGGTTATAACCATACATTTGAATAATATTGTTGATTAATCTTAATGTTTGTAAATGCAAGAGTGATCGTCATCATGACAATTAAAGAAATAAATGGCAGCTAAAAGAATCTTCAATAGGATAAGTTTGTCTCAAAAGTGGTTTGGTAGTTTGACTGTAAGTAATGTTTATCAGACTTCATTAGTACTTTAAGTGTCCACAAGTTTATTTAAGGTGCATGTGTGTACATTTTTATATGTAAGACCTTTTATTTAAAGTGTCGGATTCAGGTTTCAATGTTATGTTTTCACTGACTAATATGATCATTAATTATTTAGATTTTTCTCAAAAATTATTGGTAAAAATTTAAAACTCGCTGTCTCTCTAAACGTACTTCCTGAAGTGTGAAATTGTGTAAAAAGTGCATAATTTTCAACAGACTAAAATAAAGTATTTTTAGTTTTAGTATCATAAACATAGTTATATATTTTAAAACTTGTCTGTGCTGAACAGTGTGGCGTACTTGTAAAATTTACAGTGGGGAATCACTTACTATTGTCTAAAAAATCAAACAAAAATGGTATCAGCTATTTGTCACTTAATTCTTTTGATTATCTTGTCAATGACCATAAATTAATTTAATTTTTACACAGTAGGAACAACGTAAGTGACCATAAGCGAGGATAACTCGAGTAAAAATTGTCGAATTTCTTCAACTAAATATGATAAAGCAATGTTTAAGTCTATATGCTTATTCGAACGAGTTTGCTAACCAGCATGATCGGACTATAGGAACAGGTTTTATGGGTCATTTATAAAAAAATAAGTTTTCCCCAATTTCGGCCATCAAAACATAATTTTGCAATTTATTTTTAAACCACGTGGTAGAGCTAACAAAAATAATATGCTGAGGTATTGTACAGGCCTACAGGATAAATTGAAAAGAAAAATTTAAATTTAAAATCTCTTATTAATCTGATGAAAAATAAATAAACTGTTGTACCTTTCTTGTTTATGGATATATTTAGATAAAATCTAGCAAATTTATTTATTTCCTACTAAGTTTTTAATATTTTAATAAAAAAAACACACTTCTTTACCTTCCCTCTAAGATATCCAAAGTAGTACTCATTAAACCTAATGTTATTCCCCCATAAGGAATAAATCTGAATAAAATTTTTGAGGAAATATTTGAGTGAAAATCCAATTAGGCAAATGGAAATTTGTGGCTGAGGTATTTAATATACTCATAGATTAAACTAAAGAATGACCTTTGACTATTAATACATGGTATGACACAAACAGAAGCACACAGGACACGAAGTCACATTTTATGGTGCAACTGATTTTAAACACTAATCAGCTCCAAAACCATAATTATAAATTGTAAATTTTTGGCATATTTATCATTATAATAATACATTCAGATTTACTAGTATACTATATGTATATAAATTGATTTTATTTTGTTTTGTAGATTGTTCTGTTATATGTTGTTAATTTATTCTTTTATGTTTGTTACCTATTAGTTGTTATGTTGTTGAAAGCAAATAAATTATTTTCTATGGCTTTTACTTTATTGCATTTCTTATTTTATTCATTGTACCAGATAGTTAGAGTGTATTGTTCTAGTAATATTTTTGTATGTATTTTTCACAACTGCTTACAGAAAGTAGCTATTTTTTATTACGGCTAATATCTCAGAAAATAATAGTTTCCCAAGTGTTAACTCAGAGCAAGAGAAAACCATACAACTGATTTTACCCTTGCTCTTAATCAGTTCTACACTTTTTGCCCACAACGCACTGATTTCTTTGCCATTAATTATTAATTAACTAATAACTAATCAGTGGTTTTTACGGTTTAACAATCTAAATGTTAACAGAACAGCATAATTGTGTCTTAACCAATATAGTAAAAAAAATAAAAAAATACACTCTTAGCACCAAAAGATTTGATTCGATCAATTAGGAAACCAAATGGTTTAAAGGTTGACAATAACTGTATTACTTTGATTACCTCCAATGATTGTAAGGGAATATGGTATCAGAGGTATTTTTTTAATTCCAGTTTTAAAGTCAATGATATATTGTAGTTGAGAAACGTAAAGCTCTTTTAAGCGTCAAAGTCAGATCTGTCCGGTTAAACTTGAAGGTATCTTATTGTTTACTGTTAAGTGTTTGTTTTCTTGTTCTTCTAAATACATTTCAACAAAATTATAAACTTACTGCTACGAATAAAGTTACAAAAATAAATGAGGTTTTGTTGAAAGTATTTATAGTATTTAACGTTGAACAAGTTCAACAACATATTTATTAATCAAAAGACAATATACACAATTATATGGAATTACAATTACAGAAAATTTGCACTGGACTGAACATATTGATAGTATGATAAAACATTTCAAAGTTGTACACTGCTTAGTAAGAAGACTCCAAAACATAGTTGATCAAGAAGTATTACTAAAAATATATTATGGGTGCTTTCAGAGTGCAATAGAGTGTGTGGGTGTGCTTTGAGTGTGCCTATATGGTGTACTCTTTTGGAGAAATAAGCCCTGATGCAAAGAGAGTTTTTATCCTACAGAAAAGAAATGTTAGAACAATTTGTAAGCAACATTACTTAACACCATGTGCACCTTTTTTAAATCACTGCAAATTTTTACCTTAAGATATCTTTTTGTATTTGAAGCAGCAGTAACAGTTAAGAAATCTCCCCAATGCTTTGTTCAAAATTACAACCATAAAATTAATATGAGACAGAAGAAAAATTTACATGTACCTCAGATTAATTCAACTTTAGCAAGAAATATCCCTCACTATCAGTGTGTAAACATTTTTAATAGACTACCAAATGGGATTAAGGAAGATCCTTCGATGGAATCCTTCAAAGACAAATTGAAGAATATAATAAGGAATCACCATTATATAAAATTGAAGACTTTATGGCAGATCCATAAATATAAAAAGGAAAAAAAACTGACGTCCAGCACAGCAGTGCTTCCAGTGGCAACACTTCAAGTATCAAGTATCACAACAAACTAACTAATTTTGTAGTATATCATGGACTTTGCATTTAATTTATGATGGTAGTCCACAACTCCTCAGGACAGACAAGCAGAGGCTTTTGAATGGATTAAATGGATGGATTGAATGGATATTCAAAAATCCATTCAAAACATTGGTTTAGGAGGTGGTTTAACTTTGATAAAATAACAAGAAACCAATATAAATAAAAAATCTGACATAGGTACCCCAGGTACCCTGTTTACTATTGACTAGACTAGGCTAATATGATTTTACCCAACTGAACCTGAAGGCACAGAAAAAATGTCAGCTGTTTTTAAATGTCGTACTTTTACATCATAAGACAATAAGACTTAAGTCCTGAACACTTAAACATTACTCCAGGAATGGCCTGACTGTTTGCGGGATTATCACATGGATAAATCCTGTGGCTATTGGCGGGATAAACACCAGACACCAAAGCCCCCACACTCTACTTTTACACCAGCTCGCTCACTCCCTGGTCTTCAGATGGTCATTAAGAATGATAAATCTCCATTACCATTACGAGTATGTTTATGCGTTAACGCTATTATTAGGTGTATTTTTATGGTTATTTATGTGATAAACGGACCAAAGAGAAGAAGTTTGAAGTTGCCGGTTCTCGTGGTGAGACGTGAAACGTTGTCGTCGTGGCACCTGTACGGTTACTTACCGGTATACGCCAACCCGCCTTGGTGTTTTTGTGGTGGTGGGTTGTCATCTCTGACCGAAACACCGAGGGTGCGGGTATTTGTGGTGGTGCCTTGATTGTGACCTTTTTAAAATTACATATCTATTTTATATAAGATGGGGACGAAAGAATGTGCGTATTCTAACCCAAACACGATTGAATAAGTCAACAAGGCCTACTACAGTCTTGATGAAATATATGTCTAGGCCATGTGCATCCCTGAAGAGGAAAAAATCCATACATATATTATAATAGCAAGAAAAGTATAAAACCTGACGACCACGTCGCTGATGCGATGCCAGTGGGAATACTCCAAGTATCCAAGTAAGTGAGATTGATGCATTGACGTTTCCTTGTACTATGCTTTCAGGAAATAAATCATTCTCATTCTCATTCTCAAGTAAGAATAACGATGAGTGTAGGATGAGTGACGCGATCTTGTAGTCTTATTAGTGACTAAGGTCGACATGTTTTTTATACATTGGGAAAGAATCTACGGCGGACTGAAGGTTTACATGAGAAAAACGATACTTAAACACGTTATTTCACATTTGATTTTTCAGATTGGAAAACACAGTATGCTCAACGCTCACCCACCGATCCTGATCCTGATTCCTGCCTGCCTGCCTGATCTGAGATCTGCTTCTGCCTCTGTCTGCCTGTTTCTGTTTGTTTCTGATGTGAGTGAGTGTGTGTGTGTAATGATGGTGATCGTGCATCATTAGAAAATCAGATCACCTAGTTTAGGTTAATTTAATTCAAATATTAAAAATATCTTTGAAACTGAAACGCAAACAAGAAAATTCGATTTCAATGGCTGAGCTATTCCTCAGTTCTCTTAGTGAGCATTTGAATGACATAAATGTTCCGAGTAATCTAGACAAAATATACAAAGAAGAATGCGTGTTTTCATTTGATACGCCGGTAAGTTTTCATCTTGTTTATATATTTATTTTAAAACCACAATCATATAACATGGTTTAATAATTACATATTGAAGTTATTTATCCTGTATACCTGTATAAATAATTCCATTTAGTTTTTAGTGAAAGAAACGTTCTCATTGCAACATTTTCCTAGGCCTGCAATGTGATTCTGTGAAGTACAACCTTTTAATCCATCAATATCAATAATAGGCCTCTGGCCTATAATCTCTGAACTCCTGTGGGGTCCCATTGATGCTGCCGCGCGTCAATGATAGTACAGTAACACCTTTCCTACTTATACTTACTTGAATACTTGATTCCTTCATCCTTGACCAACAAACGTTGGATAGATTGCGTCAAAAGAAGAGCAACTTATAAAACACTATTATAAACATATATATATACAATTTAAACTGTACTGACGGATGTGACTCGGATTTTTGGAAAGTCGAGTGGATTGTCAATCAGTTCCTTGATGGAGTACAGAGGCCTACTGACTAGGCTCTGGCGAAGTGCAGACTTAAACTGCTTTGGTTCTAGGGTCCGGATGGTTGTCGGTAGCGTATTGAATAATTTTATCGCTAGAGATGGATATGAGTTAAGCGTGTGGCTAAGTCGACAACGGGGTGCATCCAGGTCATAGGCTCTGCGGGTTCCATAGTTGTGCTGCATGTTTCTGGTTGAGAAGTTGTTTATATTTTCTCTCAGAAGAACTAGGGTGTTTAGCGCATACTGGCTGAAAACTGCCAAGTTCTTTAAAAAGAGGTCTACAGTGATCGGTAGGGCCAGAGGATGTTATTAGTCTTAGCGCCTTCTTCTGCAGCAACAGCACACTCTGGGTCGCGTAGCAATGGCCCCATACCACCAGTCCATAATTTATGTGGCTATGGAATAATGCATGGTACATTATGACTAGGTAGGGACGTGTAATCTCATGCTTCAGTTTCCTGATCAGATATAATATTCTGCTTAGCCTGACGCACACTCTCTCCACATGGAGGTTCCAGTTGAGTTTGGAATCGATCCAGAATCCTAGCAGTTTGACCGCCTCGTCTTCGATGCCCTGTTTGAGGGTACACGTGATGGATTGTGTTTTATCGTCATTGATTTTAAGGCGATTCAAAACGAACCATTCTTTGGCCTCATCCAGCAGAAATGCTGCCTCGGTTCTCAGGTCGTTCAGGTTGCCGTGCCTGGTCAGTAGTGTTGTGTCGTCTGCAAAGAGCAGCGTTTGTCTATTTAGGGACAGATCATTAATCATTATGACGAACAGGACAGGGCCCAGAATCGATCCTTGGGGCACGCCGTGGTGTATTTGCCTGATACTGGAGGAGGCTCCCTGCAACGAAACAATTTGTTTCCTGTTTTCTAAGTAGCTGACTATTGATTTGTGGACTACTCCAGTGACGCCATATTTGCCAAGCTTGGCAAGAAGGATGTCATGAGAGACCACGTCGAATGCCTTGCTAAGATCACAGAGACTGAGATGGACGGAGTCATTAGATTCAAAGGCATCAGAGATGTTCTTGACTAAGCTAAGGAGTGCAGAGGTTGTGGATCTTCCGGCCCTAAACCCATGTTGAGAATCGTTAAACAGGTTGTTGTTCTCGAAATAGGCCACCAGTTGCTGTTTCATTACTGACTCCAGAACCTTAGAGAAAACAGGAAGAATTGATATCGGCCGAAAGTTTGCGGGCTGTGCCGGGTGAACTGTAATTTCCTACCTGGCGGCCAGGGGCGGCTCCAGGAATATTTTTTTGGGTAGGCCTGACAAGGACCAAGAAAGAGTTTAATTGGGTGACAAGAGGTTTGAAGGGCTGTCCCCACAAAAAGGGGTGAATTTTAAAATTTAAATGCAAAATATTTAGTTTGAATGCTTTCTCTTTATTTTCATATAGGCTAATTACCTAAGTTAAATTTATTTATTTATTTTATAATTTTGAAATATCTACCACAATTTTGGGTAGGCCCTGGCCTAAGTTACCTGGCCTGCACTCTAGAGCCGCCCCTGCTGGCGACCAATGTAGAAACTTGCACGGATTAAAAAATCCCTGGCTGAATTTTTTACATGGGCATTTAGCTTCTTAGGCCTAGGCCGATTTGGTAAATTGTATTAATTGGTTGTAAACTTAGCCCTTAACTGTTTTACTCATTAACCTACTTCAGGCTAAGCCTAGAGGGGCGTGGCACTATCACATAGATCTAGGGAGCGGGCTTGGACTGGAAGGTAACCTTTTTAATGGTATCTGACATGAAGGGTAGTAAAAGAGGAAAGGATGATAAGAATATGCCTAAAAGGAGAAAGCATAGGAGAGGGGTGACCTTGACTGGGTAGGCTACTGTGTGATGAAGTGTGCAGTAGGGTGTGTTTCAACATTGCTCAGTGTTTTTAAAATGCAATGTCTAGGAACATTGGATCTTGTTGGGAAAGTCACAGATTAACCATTTATATAATCTATAATTTATTTGTGTTTGTCATCCAATTATATCATTGTAAATTAGCAGTAAAATATAATCATACATAGGCTATACATATACTGTACGGTAAGTTAGTGTTATAAAATCATTGTAACCTTGTAGGCTAACAAATTATATTTTTTCACACTACCTACAGTAAGTTATTAGCCATGCTATTATTTTATACCCTTGTACCTACCCTCAGTAGAATCTGTGTGAACTGTTTTTTTGATTATATGAGGTAGGCTACAGTACACTCAGTCTATTACCTCAGTTATTCAAGGCTATGTACTTAGGCTACCTATTAAATATGCCCAAGCAGGATTGTAACTTGCCCTTTTTCCTTAAATTAAGGGACTCGCTAACTAAAACTTTATATTGATTAATTTGTTTAATCTTTTATAACTTGCAGTACCTACCTTAGTTAAGTTACCTAACTTTAAAAACGTTTGTGTGTTTTAGGAAACTGATACTGGTCTCTATGTATGTCTTAACACATTCTTGGGGTTGGGTCGAGAACATGTTGAACATCATTATCAAAGAGTGAAGAAGGCTGTATATTTACATATAAAAAGGGAGAAAACTGAGGTAAGTTATATTTCCTTTTAAATAGGATAATAGTAGGCCTACGAAAGTAAGTATGCACTATTTGTGCAAAATTAATCAGTCACACCAGGATATAGAGCTTATAATGCTAGGCTAAATGTTTTTTTGTGATCTGTGGATGCTAGTAGTTTTGTGTGTTTTTAATGCTTTTTATAGTAGATAAATGCAGATTTTACTGCTTTAAAGAATTTTTGTGAGGGATGAGTTTAATAATGTGATTTGTAGTGTAGACATAATGTAATTTTATAGGCTCCGCTTTCAACTGCAAAAAATGTTTCATATTAAAAAGGCATGGGGAAATGGCCCATCTTAAAGAGTGTTCAAATTACCGGAGGCTTGATTTCAAATCTTTCCAATAAATAACTTAGTCTGAAACATTTTGCTAAAAACCAGTGAAGTGGTTCTATCTATGTTACCTTAAGCTTTGGATTTAAGTCTTATCTCAAAAACAAAATTTTTTTGTAGGGATGGTCAAGTCTCGAAATTTCGGGAAATTTTCGGGAAATTTTCAATCTCGTTACACGAGACGAGATTACTTTTTGGCCGAGATTTTTATCAAGACGAGAATAAAAAAAAAAAAAAAAAAAAAAAAATTGAAAACTCCTGCAGAAAGTCAATGCAATACCCGCAATACAGGAGCGTGTTGTAGTTGCGTTTCCTTTTCGAAGGCGTTCTTATTTAATTAATTCTTTTAATGTAAATATTACTTTAATTCTTTTAATGTAAATATTACTTTAATTATTTTAATAATATTACTTTAATAACATTTGAGAAGTTTTGTTAAGTGTAAGCAGTGTGAGGAATGTTTTATTACTATAAAAAAAAGTCAAAACAAGTAACTATTTTATAAAAATTAATATTGCTTTTATTTTATGATTTATTTTATTTTAGGATAAGTTGAACTCTATCCTAACTGATATCACCATGTTTCCTAATCGTAGGCATTTTTAATAAGTTAGGCGTGATTAATAAAAAAATGTTATGCTGATGTTATTTAATAAAAGATTGTAAATATTCTTGCCTATTATCATTATTTTAGTATTTAAACAGTCATCTAACAATGTTACAAAATCAGGTAAAAATTTCGAACGTGCATTTCCCGTTGTGTATGAGAAGAGAAATCTCGTCTCGATCTCGTCTCGAAATTTTATGAGAAATAAAAAATCTCATCTCGTCTCGTCTCGAACTAAAAATCCAATCTCGTCCATCCCTAAAAATTTGTATCTCTTTCAGTTTAAGAAAAGAAACATGTCTACCTAATTTCTACCTTGTCGTTTCCAAAGATATTTTAACCTTTTGGGTTTCCTGTAAATTTTCAGATTAAGTCATCCACCGTAACCGGAGATGCTCCTGAGAAGAAAGTCACTCGTCTTGCGATTGGTGTAGAGGGCGGTTTTGATCCGGAGGCTGGAAATAAGTTTGAGACCAAAGAGACTTATAGTGTGGTTATATTGCCTCAGTTTCTGTCTCTACCTTGGCCTAACAATGATCTTCCACCTAAGGTGAGCATAACAAGATATATTCTTTGTGTGAAACTTACATTGATAGGCTACTTGTAAATTTGACTTCAAAACATTGCATCTGAAAAATAACCTTTGTCTACAGTTAATGCTCTGAATAGGCCTAAGTATGTAATTTGTCTAAAATATAAGTTTCTATCCTAATTTTTAGTGTTAAAACCATTTCATTATTTGTTGGTTTCTTCACACATTTTTTCAAGACTGATCAAACATTAACATACAACTAGCCAATAGGCCTACCCTATGAACCATCAATACTTTCTAATAATATAATTGGGAATTTTGTTTTAGTTACGTCCTGTTGATTAAATTATATCTACAACAAGATTCTATTATCTATTTGTCCCCTAAGGTTCAACAAAGTGTTCAAGCAGTTTTGGACTCAGAGTCTGCCACCAAACTAGCAGAGCTTGAAGCCTTAGCTGGAACATGGGACGGCGAAGTTCGTCAAGTTTCCAAGTATGAAAATCTATATTTGTTTTAAATATTAATAGATTTAGAATGTCTTAGGCTAAGTGTATGTTTGCTTTTGACTTTGTGAAACAAATGTATTGGTTAGAGAGATTAACGTAATTAAAAGGCGAAGAAGATTAAAACGTAAGATGGTCGCCATTAACCATGGTTTGTAAATGTAAGTGGGTTCAGCTGTCTCTGATCATCGGGCCATTGTAAGTAATCCAAGCAAAAGAGTCAGCTGGTCTGTTTGTAAAACTTTTACATCATTCATTCTACACTTTTACTTTGTTCATCTCAGCCTAAGCACCACAAAGATGTGTGAAATTTGGTACAAACGTGTAAACCTACGTTTATTTGAACGAGTTCGCGAACCAGCATAATCGGACCATGGGAACCCAAATGACCCCAACTGGGACCCATGGGGGTTTATGAGGGGTTTTATGGGGTAAAAATTAAGTTATTAAGACACCGTTTGACATTCTGCATCTCCAACAGGCATGCAGAGAACCTGCTGCAATTGGACAATGGCAAAAAGATTCCCCCGAGTGGTTGGCAGTGTGAGAACTGTGACTTGAACACCAACCTGTGGCTAAACCTGACGGACGGATCTATCCAATGTGGCCGCAAGTTCTACGATGGCACTGGTGGCAACGACCACGCAGTCCACCACTACAGGGAGACAGGTGAACCTCCCTCACCAAAACACTTTTATCTTAAACGGTCTAAAATATTTAAACACACCCACTAGAGAAAATAAACAATTAAAGGAAAGCTAGAGTTATACTCGGTTCACAACATTTAGGTGGTTTGAGAGGAATTGTTTTCCATTCCCCATTGAGACGTCACCCAAACTTGAAACAACAGCTGTTAGCTGATCAGTTGATACATTTTTAAAGCTAAAACTAGAGTTGTTGGGCGGGTGAACCAAGGATACCTTCCCCTTGAATCGTCTAAATTTTGTGGACTATAAATGTGTAGGTGGGGCCTAAAGGCTGGCTTGCATTTTTTAAATACAGTTAAAAGGGTGACAAATGAGGATGCCTTGACACACCTTAGTATGCCATCTCAGAGATTTGATCAATTGCATGACATGTCACATTTCACAGAATCTCCTATAACCATATAGAGCGAACATTCATTTCTTTAATTGTATTTGCAGATTTATTTGTTGAGCCATGTGCTGCATTATCTGTAACAGATTGATGTTGATGAAAATACTTTTAGGTAAAACCGAAAAGGATGAAGTAAAGCGAACAGATGTCAGTATTTGAAATTTTGTTTGCAGGATATCCATTGGCTGTGAAGCTAGGAACAATCACCAAAGATGGCAAGGGTGATGTTTGGAGCTATGTGGAGGATGACATGGTGGAGGATCCCCACCTCGTGAAACACTTGGCCCATTGGGGAATCAATGCATCTGTACTGGAAAAGGTAACTTTGGAAAGTGTAGAAGGAGACCTTTTTCTGTATAACTGAAATACCCGACAAAATGAACCCAGTAAATCAGTCCCAGTCTAACAGTGCCACCTAAGGTAATAGCTTATTATAAAGGTGAATTTGATAAATCCATGAGTTATGAATTGCTCATTTAATCAATTCATTGAATTGAAATGGGAATACAAATTTGATTGGGATAAAATGTTAATGGATCAATATAGAGAACTAGTGAGATAATAAGTTTATCTTTAATTCTTACGACTGACTCTTGGTGACATTTCTTGATTATTAGCTCAAAAGAAAAATGGAGGACCTGGAAATCAACAGTGTGATGTAATTGTGGGTGTTGTGGTGTTGCAGACAGACAAGTCCATGATAGAGATGGAGCTGGAGTGTAACCAGAGGCTAGGGGAATGGTCAGCACTACAGGAGAGTAACAGTGAGCTGCGGCCGTTGTATGGTCCTGGATACACAGGACTAGTCAACCTAGGCAACACTTGCTACTTCAACAGTGTGATGCAAGTAGTATTCTTTGTGCGGGACTTTGTAACTAGGTACGTATTGTACTTACCATCTTCACCAAATATTGTAATTAAGTTGCATGAAGTCTGGATTTTTAAAATACTTATTTAGTAAGGGTCTGTGGAACTCCGATATTTTTGGGTTGGGTCTGGCCCCAAAGGGTCAGTTTGGGCTTATTCTTAGCCCAAGCTTGGTTGGGTTGAGCAGAGCCAAGTTTTTCATTTCTGTAACCACAGAAAACGACTGTGAAAATACGTGCGTTCTGCAATCAAGAGTGATGTTGCCGTGATTTCGCTCTGGCCAAAAGATGTTTGCAATTTCATCCTAACCATATAAGATGTTCTCGATTTTGCTGTGCCCTCGATATTGATTTTGTTATGTCCGCAGAAGACGTTTATCTTTTGTGGTGGTTCCTAGGGATTTTAAAAAATCTTGTCCTATCCACATAAAGATGATAACAAATGCACCAAGAGTACAAAAGACATCCCCCCTTTGTAGTATTACGTATAAATATATTTTTTTTAAATCAATACCGTACTTTCCAAAGCAATCCAATATTTGTGGGAGACCCAAGGTCCAAAATTTTTTGCCCGACCCAAAGTAATAAAAGTTTGGCCTGCAGACCCTGAATATTTAGTGTAAACCACCAAAAGATGTTAATGAATACGAATACTAACGGAATGGACTATTCCATTAGTATTTAAATTTGTGTTGTCATTTTAACTTTGATATCCAGTCTTGGTAAAAAAATTGTTTCTCTAATGCTATCAGTTTCTGGGGCTATTACACTAAAAACTAACAAATGATAAATATAATTCCTGGAGATAGATTTTACACTGTACCTTTTTGCCTCAGACATTTATCGAGAACAGGTACATACACTGACATCACTCAAAAACAAATTCCTTAGACTAGAGGGATTCTAAAATGAATATTTCCACTAATCAGTAAACACTCAAATCAATATATTACAAAATGTAATTTTTGAAACATCAGTACATTATTATTTGGTGTTTCAGAACTCGCACTTTGAGTTTTTATTTCTAAATGTGTTTGTGTCAAAGACATAATGCCATTAATTTTTTTTCAGATATGTAGATTCTTCTCCTAATATATTTGACAACGCACCCAGCAATCCTGCTACTGACTTCCATGTTCAGTTGTAAGCATTTTAGTTTTATTTAGTTGTAAGTGCTCTTGGTTTGAATGTCGATAAAAATATTTCAATCACATTAACTTGAAAATGTATTCTATTCCTCTCTTAAAATATCCTAAAAGATACCTTTTTACCCACCTGTACTTTTTTGAGTTATTAACAGTTAGTTTGTATGTAGGCCTACTATTTCATTGAACAAAATTTAATTTTGGAAGTAGTAGAACTTGACTAGGTAAATCTTGAGGAAGGAAAGCATGTAGGTAAACATCTAACATACCCAAGAAAATAGTTATTTGTGCAACTAGTGAGCAAAGGGAGCAATTGACTCACTCGAGAGAAATACTTACTCACGAGCCGTAGGCGTGTGAGGAATGGCTTCTCGAGTCAGGCAATTGCACTTTACACTCGAGTTGCACATTATATTTTTCCTACAGTTACCATAAAACAAATAAATTGGTAAAGAAACACGACATATTTTTTACAGAAGTGAACTTTTAATATTACATTTAATGACACAACAGTACAACAGCTGACCAGCTGATTTACAGCCAGTGCTGCCAACGCATTTCGCGCGCATACGACCTTGTCTGCATGTTACATGCTCACTATTTTGTGCCTTCACGTTGCAAATCTGGAGTGAGTGAGACAAAGTAATTAGAGTGAGACAATGTTAACACTGTCTTACTGATGAGCGAATTGGCCACTTTGCTTTCTCAAATCAGTGAGAGAACATGCACATTGTTAGGTAACTGTGGGAAAAAAGTTTAAAGCATTTTATAAGCATACAAAACAACACAATGAATTTGATATTTCATATGTAACAGTGGGTGTTGGTGTTGTGTGGATGAGTTTTATTTAGTTATTAGACAGTGATGATAATAATCATTGACGGAGTTTAAACAGTGCCAGTTTTTAGCTGTCAATCTACAAATTCCTTCTAAAAAATCCTTGAAGAGAACCTTGTGTAGGAAAATATGAAATGTATTGTGTTGCCTTAATGTTGTGTGCTATGAACTGTCTGGAACTGTTTCTTGGATGAGTTAGTCGTGTAATCCTACTTCCTCAATAAATATTTTAAAAATTTGTAAAATCGGTGATTGCAATAAGTTCCTGTACTCAGCTGCTAAGTGTAATTTTTGTAGAGACATGTATCATCTCATTGATACTTAGTAACATTGCAAAAAACCCTATGTTTCCAGTAGTATTTGAGCTAATTTGATCAATACTTTTTGCAAGGGTAGCTAAACTAGTAGAAAATCCCTCCTGTGTATTGAAACAAATTAAATAGCTTGCAAAAAAAATCAAAATTTTCTTGGAGTATGAACATAAATAATTATAAAAATATAGCTTTAGTATTAAACAAATCCAATTTTATCTTAGTGGCATTTTATTAAGTCTTGAATGTAGAGTGAACCAGCTACTCATTCCCTTGTTAAATTGTGCCAGTGACAAAGTGTGCTGATTGGGAATTATGTGACTTTTAACCGGAAGCTAAACTGATAGGAAATTATGTAAATACACCATCTTTTATGTCACGTCTATTATCAATGTTACAAACAGTAAGGAATTAAACAGAACTTTAAGGCTATAATATCACACTCGTTTAGCTATGTTCATTGTCAATATAAAACTGGCTACTGCTGATATTTACTTTCTGCCTCAGGGCCAAGCTGGGCCTCGGACTGTTATCAGGCAAGTACTCTCAACCCCCGCCCGAGGACGCCAGAGACAAGTGGTGCAAGGGTATCTCACCTCACATGTTCAAGAACCTGCTGTGTCGAGGACACCAGGACTTCTCTACCAAACATCAGCAGGACGCGCAGGAGTTCTTCCTCTACTTCATCACCACCTTGCAGGTCTGTACAGTGAAAAGTACGGTTCATAGTAATATCAATATCAAAAAAAAAGAAATACGCTTAAGCAAAAAGAAGAAAAAGACGAAAAAAATCTAAATTTCAACGAGTGACCGTTACTTACTATTATGGGTTTCCTGTGATTGTGGGAAGCTATTGCCGAGATTTCGAGATATACTCACGGTTTTAATCAGTAAACAGTACTTAAAATTTTAATCAATCAAATGAAAGATATGCCCACGGATGTTGCTTCAATCGCAGAAAACAATCAAAACCATTAAAAATTAAGTAAAACTTCATTAATAAAATTAAAGTATAGTATCTAACTTTCCGACTATCCAAAGAAATTCAGGTTAAGTGTAAGAGGGCCATGTGGTCCTAACTAACTTTGCCTGTATAAATAAAGAATTTTAATTTCATAAAAATAGCTATTCTAACACCCTTAGTAACCAAATGATTCAGATAATCAACGATTTACTGTAGTAAAAACTAAAAAGTAAAGGGCCGAGTATAGATTCTTGAAGAATTCCACAGTTTTGTCATGGCTATCAATGTTTGTTTCAGAGACACTGCCGTTTGGCTGGACCGGACCCCAGCGAGTGTTTCAAGTTCCAGGTGGAGGACAGGTTCGTGTGTGGAGCTAGTGGCAAGGTGAAGGTGTCACATCGTACAGAGTACTGTCTGCCATTACCTATACCTCTGGAGGCAGCAGAGAACCACGCAGAGGTTCAAGAGTGGCAGCGGCGCCGTCAGGAGGCAGAGACCAGCGGCCTCAGGCTGTGAGAAAAATGCACTTTATAACTCTAGACAATTGTGAGGAGACTATTGGTGATGGTCATATCAAGGAATTTTGAATCTTAAATCCTACCCCTAAAAATCTTGAATCAAAGTACAATTTATATCAAATTATTTGGCAAAGCTTTAGGCAAAATTTTAAGTTTTTTGTAGTGGATAGGCCTAGGGTGGAATGCAAGCTTGCTTTACCAATGATAATTGTAAGACTGAAGCATACAATCTTTAGAACTAATAGGCCCTAACTTCTTCTCAAAAATATATAAATTTTGTAACTACAGTACACTTTTGATTATCTGAGCCCCTGGGTTATCCGAGGTTGTTTAAGGCCTATATATATATTTTTTTATTTCCAATGGGAAAACAATAATTTATCTACTAACCTCAATGTACCTGTTCACATTTTTCATTACTCAAGTCACTATATAATAGCAATACTGTCTAGGCCTATGCATATTGTATTTGTCAAATTCCAACCTATTAATTGTTTACAGAGACCCTAATGATGAGGTGAGACTGAGATTGAAACTTGCCAACTGTCTTGAGGCTGTGTTTACCAAGGAAGATACCGTGGAGCAGTTCTTCAGCACAGCTCTCAATGCCAAGACCACAGCTAAAAAGTTAGTTCTTTTGCTGCCTGAAGGTTAATAACTCTAAATAGCTGTTGCAAAGGTTTGAAGTTGGTTTTTTCTATCGTAAAACGTTTATTATAACTGAAATATTCAGTTGAATGTTGCATTATTGTTTAGGTACTTTCAAAATAAAGTAGCAGGATTTACCAATGTTTTACCTTATTTATCAAGAATGCTCCAGTATCTTGAGAAATTTCTTTCAGTAAATTGATAGTTGTTCTTGGGTACATTGTGTTGTGTACTAAAATTAAATCTAAGTGCATTTTTAATAAATAGTAGTCAAGAATAGGCATACACCAGAAAAATTACTAAAACACAACAAACGTCATAAAATAAAATTAAAATATTGATCATGCTAAACATTTTTACAGGACAACGAAGTTAGCAACTTTTCCTGACTATCTCCTACTACACTTGAAGAAGTTTACAATGCGAGAAGACTGGACACCCATAAAGTTGGATGTGGCTGTGGACATGCCTGATATGTTAGACCTGACACAGTACAAAGGCAAAGGGCTGTTGGCAGGAGAGGAGCCCATGCCTGAGCTGCAGGGTGACCCACCCCCACTGGCCCTGGACCAAGGTGTGTGATGTAGCTGTGTAGAGAGGGTCTGCTGTTATGAGAGCATATTTTGTACAAACTATAAATTACTTAACCGTTTGGGTAAAAGTACTAATTTATAGAACTAATTAGGGCCACCATTTCGGACCTAAAGAAAACTCTCCCTTAGTTGAAAATGCTGTCAGTGACAGTGAAATATTCTAATGTTGTGTATATAGTGTAAAGTTTTGTGTATCCTGTACAGTAGACTTCCTCTTATCTGGACTCCTCGGGACCGAGGCCAGTCCAGATAATGGGTTTTCTGGTTAATCCGACGTCCCCAAAAACCCGTTATAACAGACCGTTTACTGCGATATTCGACTTAAATTTAGGCATTGTATTTAGACACGTGATCACTGGTCTCAAATCTTTCCCACGAGAACAGTGGTTACAGTACCGTCCACTTCCTGCCGATCTAGTCCGGTTAAACCAATGTGCTGATAAAAATTGTCCGGTTAAAGAGATGTCATTTCTGCCGAGTGTAGTCCGGTTAAACCGATGTCCAGTTGAAAATTGTCCAGAAAAGAGGGAGACTACAGTACCAGTTTGGACTCTTTTCCATTCAGATAAACCTGCTATCCTTATCAAAAATCCTTAAAACCTAGGCCCCTTGTGCTCTATGTCAATGTTACATCCTTTAACAACTGTTTGGTGTTTTCCTTACCATTTGCTTGATCCATCTAGTTTTTACAACAATATTTTTTTAAGTTAGGCTACGTTGGAGACTATATAAACTGTATTGAAGATGAGCATTCAGTTGCATAGAAGTTTCTTTGTCTGCAGGAGTTGTACAGGCTCTGACTGACATGGGCTTTCCCCCGGAGAGTGCCAAGAAGGCAGTGTACTTCACCGGTAACCAGGGCCTGGAGCCAGCCACAAACTGGATCATGGAACACATCGGTGACTCTGACTTTGCTGACCCCTTCGTTCCCCCGGGCACCGACAAGAGTGACTCCCAAGGTTAGAACATACATTTCATCCCCATGTTAAAGTTGCCAGTTTTAGAACCGCAATTGATGTAGTTAAAGTCTCTGAAAGAATGCGCTGGTGAATAAGGTGGTTTATTACTCATCAAACTGGTAGGACGACTTAATGTAAGCTGTAGTATCTTTTATCTTTTATGTCACATACATTCTTGCAGTAACAATAACTAAGAGAAAAAATAATTTCAGACAATATCACTCTGTGAGTTGCTCATTTAACTAAATATTTAAAATAATATAAAATAAAATAATATTAATAATAATAAAATCTGTGGGGCCCCTGCGCAAATAGCATATTTTTAGGTTTCAAAGTTTATTTCTGATTCAAAACGAAATTTACAACATCCTTTTATCTTTCAAACATTATATTGTTTCAGATTGTTTTCGCTACACTACTGTGAAATGACATGTTTTCGTTGCATGTTTATCACCTGTGAAAATCTATCATTATACATTGTTTACTAGGGCAAAATAATGTTTACCATGCGAATGTAGGCTAATGTTTAATGTTTACTATATATCTTTTTTGGATTTTGCCAACATAATCAAATATTTGTTATTGTTTTATCAACTGTATTAATTTTCAACAACTAAAATAAACATTCATTTTTAAATTGAAGACATAAAAAAAAAAAATTCGATGAGTTTTGTAATGAGGAAAATGTTGAAAACAGTAATAATAGAGATATATTTATTTTATGGTGATGAATGGAGCTTTAAGAGAAGTGCATTTTATTTTGTATTTTAATATTCTTTCTTTAACCGGATGTTGTTTATGTTGAAGGTTTTGTAGCCAATGAAGAAGCCCTCAACATGATCATGACAATGGGCTTCAACAGATCTCAAGCGTTGAAGGCGCTGAAAGCAACAGCCAACAACGTGGAGCGAGCAATTGACTGGATCTTCAGCCACGCTGCAGAACTAGACAATCCGAGTGCTGAGAGCCCCCCTCCACCACCAGAGTTCCGGGACGGCAACGGAGGTGAGGGAATTACAATATATTTAAGTGTTTCTACTGCCAAATTGTTGAAAGATAATTTTTGCATGCAGCACAGTTCCAACAATGAATTTGATTTTAAAATATCAATCAACATTTTTTTTTGTCATTTATCAGGATATCAATCTACGATTTAATCGTGTACTCTTTGCTGCTACAATTAGTTTTTTGTTGTATATAAAAGACACAAGAAATTTTATCATTTAAATTTTGAGACAGTATAGTTACGAATTTTGTAACATGATAACAAAGCTCAACTGGTCAAATTGTCATATGCCCAGCCAGGGACAGGTAGTTTAGAAGGCTTTCTGTACGTATGTTCTCCATAACTGAATGATTTTCTCTCTGTTCCAGTTTACAAGCTGGTGGCGTTCATTTCTCATATGGGATCATCAACCATGGTTGGCCATTACGTGTGTCACATCTTGCGTGAAGGGCGCTGGGTCATTTACAATGATGAAAAAGTGGCTCTCTCTGAAAACCCACCTCGTCAACTTGGATACTTGTATTTATACCAACGTGTGAACTGAACAAAGTGTGATGAAACATTTTTGCTACGAATTACAATTTTGAAATTGATCAGTGGTCTGTACATTTTTTTACACTCGTGTAAACTTTCTCAAATCTTAAAAAAGGGTGTTGTGTTGTTAGAACCTTTGTTGCGTTATTTAATATATTGATAATGTATATACAGTATATATCATTTGTATGGAACACATTCTTGTGTTTCATTATTGATGTTCGAACATTCGATTAAAATTATGGCATTTACAGTTTATATTTTTGTTTTGTGTTTTCATAGGTCATCCTAAAACTTGTAACTTGATTCTTAAATTAAACCTTTTGCTTTTTGAGTGTGTTTGTAAACCTTTACCTTCAAACTGATGAGTCATACCTGTTAAGTGTTTTCAGACTATAATTATAAAGAAAGGCTGGACTAAAATTATCACTAGGCAAGGTCACACTAATAGAAGACATGAAGAAAACCAGAAATGGAGTGAGCCCCGTGGGCGTAGGCAATCTCAGCCTAGTTCAGGTGAAGTGTCACAAGTGTTGCTAGGCTAGTGAGAAGATTACTGGAGATCCTTGGTGGGTACTCTATGGCCTTGTACTCTAGGATTTTCCCACAGTACAGGCTGGCCACCTGTGTGCTTAAAAACATTTCCCGCCACTTCCTAAAAAAGTTACTAGGTGTTTTATGAAGAGTTGGATTTTTGCACACCAAATTTGTTCATGTCATGTTTCACGTTCATTTAAGCTAAGCTGGTGACACAGTTTGCTATAGTTCGGCCGCTTAGAAAGCGACCTCCTCCAGCATTGGTCTAGCATTAGCGCGCAGGTCGTTTTCTAAGTGGCCGAACTATAGTGTCTTTTACTAGTCCACTTCCCTACAACTCCAACCCAGAGTAGCCAGGCTTTCAGCAGTGGTTTGAATTGTTATTCCTTCCCAAATTGCACTTGGCCTGTACAACTTTGTGGATGGATGATCTTCCATTTTAACCATTTGTCATAGCAGATACTGATACTGTATTGATGATACCTTGGGGGAAGATTTCACTGTGACCTGTAAGATATATTGTGTCCCCCAAACTAGTCTCCAATCTTTGCCTAGAGAACCCCCTCCAATCCTAACCCCCTATTGAAGCGTCAGGTGGGGTTCTAACTGCGGAAAATCTCCAACTGCTACTTGGTGCATTCCCAAGCTCTTTTGGCTCTCTATCGCCCAACTGAATCGCATTCAGCCAATAGATGTCTGGGTGTTTCTTCACCTGATTGGCAGAATCGGCAGTCACATTCCTGTACGATTTTGATATTTTTTCTCAGACGACCTCTGAGCCTACAATGTCCAGTTAGAAACCTGTTAACATTCTCAAACCTTTCTATTCAGCAGATCTCTTTTGTCACCCTTTTTCCCTTTCTAGGCGCCGGTTTGTCCTGCGCTGCTGATGCCTTCCTTTCGTCCACTTTACTGGCTTCATCAGGTTCCATGCGCTTTTCTAAGAAGTGTAGGTACCAGCAGGTTCCTGCACCGCTCAACCCCACTCTACGAGGTTCGTCCTTTCCACCAGGCTCTCCTGGTTTCGGGTAGTTCTTCAAAGGTCGGGGCATTTTACCTCCCCTTCCAGGGCTTGCGGCACTATCCCGCGTTCCCACGACACGACAAGCTTAGGGATCTGAAGCCAACCTGGACAGAGCCCTCCATGCCCAGGCAAGGCTACTTACTGCAGGAGGGTGCCTGGTATCCTGCAGGTACCGTTCAGGCTACAGACACCATATAAAAGAGGCCTGATGCCATATATCCACCCTTCAGAACAGTCCACCTAAAACCTTGGGTTGGCCTGTAACAGAATAAGGAAAAGAAGGGGGTGGAAGTTGAGAGGAAAAGAGAATGATTAAGACAGTTTCATGCTTTTGTAAATAAGATGAAAACATGGAGTGAAAGGACAAACCCGGCTCAGTAGAAGAGTAGGGAGGCTGATCCGGGCCGTATTTCCCTAACGGTTGCCAGGGGCCTCGGCCCAGGAGCGGCCTCAATTTTTTTCTTGATAAATTTATTTCGCCGATAATCTATTTTGCCACGATTGCGGGAGACGTTGAAATATGCACAACCGCAACAGATCTCCACTATTTCACCATTAACGTAAGAGTTGTCACTATTAATCCGCGATCGGGTAATATGTCCAGGATTATCGTGACCGTGGGAGCCGAAGATCCATGTCCCCGCAAACTCGGAAGATCTTAATTCACGATTTCGTCATGATCTAAGGAGATACGGAGATGTCGTTATACGCTCTGGCAAGATGTTAATTATTTCTCTGCGGTCATAAGACATTCATGATTTCGCCGCCATCGCAGAAGGCGATGATGATGTCCCCGCGATCGCGCAAGATGAATTCACTATTCCTCCGTGGCCCATGAGATGTCCATGATTCTGCCGTGATCGGTGAAGATGTTCAATATTACTCCGCGGCCATATGAGACATTCACGATCGCACACAGGAAGACGAAGATTATGTCTCCGTGATCGCGCATGATGTTCATGCACTATTTTTCCGTGAACATAGATGTTCACGACCCCTCCGCGACCGTGGCAGATGTCCAAGATTTTTACTGTGGCCATAGAAGACACTTTTTTACAATTTGGACGTGATTAAAGATTTTGTATAAACTGATTATAGTATATCAATTAATATATGTATTATTTTAAATTAATCATTTCCAAGACTACCCGATTTTGATCCGATGCCCGATATGGTCAACACATTTTTTTTTACTCAACCTGAAAATAAAGAAAAATGAAAATGTCTTGCCCCGACGTAAGACCCCTAATATTGTTATCAAAAAATTAAAACACCAGTTAGAAAGTTTCTTAGGTATTTTTGCCGATTAGATGGTTGGAAACAAAAAGTCAATTCATTTTGTTAGGCTACCACGAGTATTTCTAACTAAGCCCTTAAAGTTCCAACCAATGAAAATCAGAATTTAGTTAGGCCTCTCTGGTGAGAGCCGCCGGGGGCCTCATCGATTCTAAATACGGCCCTGACCTTTTTTTGCCTTATTTTGTTATCCTGTTGTTCCGTTCGCAAAATTTAGACGGGATTAGAGGAAGAAATCTATCCCCTGCACTTCTGTCATACCATTGCTGTGATTTGTAATTTGTGTTGTAAACATACATGTGATGTGTAATTTGAGACTTGTTTTGAACATAATATTGAGCACTTTACTTGACTTTACTGCATAAATCGCCCAGTCAATGGCAATTTTCCCATGTTTTTATTCAATCACTAGCTGGCCCGACAGACATCGTCCTGTCCTAATGTGGTTTTATGTCAAATGCTCGTTCATTTTCAAGATGAGCTCGTTCGCATGGCTCAATCACGTCCTGGTTGAAGTTCGTTCGCTAAGCTCACTCACCTTTAGGTTGGAGCTCGTTCGCTGCGCTCACTTGCCTTCAGGTTAGCTCGTTCGTTACGCTAACTCGCCTCCAGGTTGAAGTTCGTTCGCTACGCTCACTCACCTTTCGGCTGCAAATTAGCTGTTGTCATAAATTACCAAAAAATAGTGCTGCACCCTGATGGTAAACATATTAACTTTTTAATGCTATTGAAAATCACAGAATCAAATTGTTTAGTTGAACCAGCTGTTAAGATTCTTTAATTCAATTTAAATATGAATACTCATAAGGTTAACATGGGAACCTCCAGAGCCACTCGGGCGGAGCCCTTTTGGCGGATCTGCACCAAACTTCATACAAACCATCCTTGAATAATGCTTAATAGTACCTGAAAGTTTCATTACAATCTGTCGAGCGGTTTCGGAGTCCATAAAGGACAAACAAACATACATATTGGATTATATATATATACTAGCTGACCCGGCGAACTTCGTATCGCCTAAGTTATAGGTTTCCCCTAAAACAGACCGATGGAAAGAAAGTACCGTTACGTTTAATCTCAAGATGATCTCGTTCGCATCGCTCAATCACGTCCTGGTTGAAGTTCGTTCGCTACGCTCACTCACCTTTGGGTTGGAGCTCGTTCGCTACGCTCACTCACCTTTAGGTTGGAGCTCGTTCGCTGCGCTCACTTGCCTTCAGGATAGCTCGTTCGCTACGCTAACTCGCCTCCAGGTTGAAGTTCGTTCGCTACGCTCACTCACCTTTAGGTTGGAGCTCGTTCGCTGCGCTCACTTGCCTTCAGGTTAGCTCGTTCGCTACGCTCACTCGCCTATTGAACTTCATAGAACAGAACCAACTTGTTTAATTGAAACAGCTGTTAAGATTCATTAATTCCATTTCTCATAAGGTTAACATGGGAAACTCCAGAGCCTCTGGGGCGGAGCCCTTTTAAGAATTTCGAAACGGGAAATAGTTTACGTCCGATTCGCATACCTACAGAATTTACACACCAAATTTCATAACGATCGGTGAAGTCGTTCCGGAGGAGTTTGCAGACAAACACTGTGACACGAGAATTTTATATTAGATAGATATTGTATGGACAAATACCCCCGCCGCCGCAAACCTGCAGACTAAGTGAATTTCCATTCACCTGGCTCGATTTATACTAAAATATACCCTGAAAATTGTCAGATTTATTTCCTATTTAAATAACATTAATTTTAATGAGTACCTATAGGTTTGCTGCTACAGGGAAGGTATTATGAGGTGTGTTTTTATTTCAAATGTTGATAGCTTAGTATGAAATAAACAAAGTTGCCAAATTTGATTAAAATATATCCATAAACAAGCAAACTACAATAGTTTACTTATTCTCCTTAAAGAATAACATGGGAATTTTGAATTTACAATTAATTTTCTCCGTAACCAATAACCATACAAAAACACTTCAATATACTGAATTATTTGTTTTTTGAAGCTCTTCAAAATGGTCTAGAGGAAATTTGGGAAATTTTATGTTTTGAGGGTCAAAAATGAGAAAACCCAATTTTTACCCCATAAATCCCCCCATAAAACCCCGTTCCCATGGTCCGGCGATTATATGCTGGTTCGCGAACTCGTTTTAATAAACGTAGGTTTACACGTTCACATGTTGGTACCAAATTTCATCGAAATTGGATCATTTTTGCTCGAGTTATCGTGCTAACGGACACACACATATATATATATATATATATATATATATATATATATATATATATATATACATATATATATATATGAATTTGAACGGATGGTGTTTTTGGCTTCTAGGGACATAAAAATGAAAAAGTAAATCTGTCCCAGGACCAAGTCTTACCATGAGACCTACGGTAATAGCTTATTCCCTATAGGGAAATTCGCTAGAAGTACAGCATAAAAAACCCCAATAGAGAAAAAGAAACCCTTGGCACAAGGTAGACTTGAAAAAGAGGACAAGCGGAACCTTATTAATCAACATTTTATTGAAAATCTGCGGTGTTGTATGGGAAATAGTTATTTATGCAACTAGTGAGAAAAGTGAGCAATTGACTCACTCGAGAGAAATCCTTACTCACGAGCCGTAGGCGAGTGAGGAATGGTTTCTCGAGTGAGGCAATAATTGTACTTTGAACTCTAGTTGCACATTATACTTTTCCTACAGTTACCATAAAACAAATAAATTTGTGAAGAAACATAACCTATTTTTACACAGAAGTGAACTTTTAATATATGATTTACACAGAGGATACGCGTCCGGTAACCAGACGTGGATTAGGCGTCCGGTAACCAGACGTGGATTAGGCGTCCGGTAGGGGGTCCTGGAACGCCATTACCACAATGATACGATGTTCGGCCATCAGTGTTCGTGGTGTAGTGGATAGAGTGTTCGACTGATATGCGAGAGGTCCCCGGTTCGAAACCCGTCGGTAACTTTAACTTTTTGTCACAGATTTTGCTTTGAATGTAATTTCTTCTTAACTGTACATCTTTTGTTAGAATTTTTGGCATTTATAATTTTATGTTATGAAGAGAATTGAACCTTCATTTGATTTTTTTCACTATCAGCAAGTTTGGTTGGTTAGGTTAGGTTATGACAGTAACTGCCGGACGCCTAATCCACGCCCGGTTACCGGACGCGTATCCTCTGCGTATCATTTAATGTGAAGTGACAAATACAACAGTACAACAGCTGACCAGCTGATTTACAGCCAGTGCTGCCAACGTATTTCGCGCGGATACGAAGTTGCCTGCATGTTACGCGCTCACTATTACGTGCCTTCATGTTGCAAATCTGGAGTAAGACAAAGTAATTAGAGTGAGACAATGTTAACATTGTCTCACTGATGGTCGAATTGGCTACTTTGCTTTCTCAGATCAGTGAGAGAACGTGTACATTGTAAGGTAACTGTAGGAAAAAGTAAAATTTCGTAGTAGATTTACTAAAAGCATAATGAGTCTTTTAGCGTTTATCATGGCATTACTATTGACTATTGGAATTGGATACTGATAGTCAAAGGCATTACACAACAATACAGTGTTATTTGTTATTTATTGCATTGTATTACTGCCTATTATTATTATCTTTATTGACTATATAGTCAATATTATATTTACATAAGTTTCGTCTAAGATTGCATATTGATGTATCTAATTAAGTAATTGTGTTGACCGTTGGAATAAAAAATAAAACATAATAAATAAATAAATACCGGTAATAAAATCTAATAAATAAATAAATAATAAAATCTAATAATAAAACAAGGCAGTATAGAAACTATTAATAGCTCTGCCTACTCAATAAAAATTATCTAATTTGCTATATTCAATTATAATACTTTATATAGTACAAATATTTGTTCTCTATGGATATTCCTGCCGAAGTCTTTCAAACGTCGGACAATCACGGTGACGATGACCTAGCGTTAATTTCTCGCTGTCGCTGTTTCAATTTCTGCTCCGTTCTCCGTAGTCTCCAATCGAACATGGCGGGCGCGATGTTATTCGAGCGATCCATTTCACAACAAAGTAGTCAAGATTTACTCAAAATTCCTCACAATGACCCTAGTGATGACGGTAATGAAGAACAGATTCGTGCGAAAGAACAGGGAATACTTCAACTCGGCGAGAAATACAAAAATGAAGGTAAAGCTAAAGAACTTGCAGAGCTCATCAAGCAGACGAGACCCTTTCTCAGCATGATAAGTAAAGCTAAAGCTGCTAAATTAGTGCGATCTTTGGTTGATTTCTTTCTTGATTTAGAAGCTGGAATTGGAATTGAGGTGCAGTTGTGCAAGGAGTGCATTGAATGGGCTAAAGAAGAACGAAGGACTTTCCTCAGGCAGTCCCTGGAAGCTAGGCTCATTGCTTTGTATTTCGACACAGGCATGTACACTGAGGCGTTGCAGTTAGGTTCTACATTGCTTAAAGAGCTTAAGAAACTTGATGACAAAAACTTGCTTGTTGAAGTTTTATTACTTGAAAGCAAGACATACCATGCTCTCAGCAATCTGTCTAAAGCAAGAGCTGCTCTTACCTCTGCCCGAACTACAGCCAACTCCATTTACTGCCCACCTAAGATGCAATCAGCTTTAGATTTACAATCAGGAATCCTTCATGCAGCAGACGAACAGGACTTCAAAACAGCCTACTCATACTTTTACGAAGCATTTGAAGGCTATGACAGCATTGAGTCTCCCAAAGCGTTGACAGCCCTCAAATACATGTTGCTGTCAAAAATCATGCTGAACACTCCAGAAGATGTACAGCAAATCATCAGTGGTAAGCTGGCCGTGAAATATGCTGGTAAAGATATTGAAGCTATGAAGAGTGTGGCCCAAGCAAGTCACAAAAGGTCATTAGCAGATTTTCAACTTACTCTAAAGAACTTCAAGAAAGAATTAGAAGAAGATGTCATCGTTCGAGCTCACTTGGGAACACTATACGACAAAATGCTGGAGCAAAATCTGTGCCGTATAATAGAGCCATACTCCCGTGTGCAAGTTGATTTTGTGGCTCAGTCCATCAAACTACCCAAGCTGCAAGTAGAAAAGAAGCTTTCACAGATGATTTTGGACAAGAAGTTCAACGGAATCCTAGATCAAGGTGAGGGTGTGCTTATAGTCTTTGAAGAAACAGTTGTGGACAAAACCTATGAAATGGCTCTAGAAACCATCAATAGTATGGGAAAGGTTGTAGACACTTTGTATCAAAAGGCAAAGAAGTTATCATAAGTATCGGTTCAAAGTGTGTATCTAGTTCTTTTTTTTATTTAATAAGGTTTGGACTATGTTTTCTTAATTATATTAACACTAAGTTATGGCATGTTATTTGTAAATTGGTATAGTTCAAAATAAAAACCCAAATTAATGTAAACAAATTCTTGTAGGCTATTTTTCTTTGTTTGTTTATATATCGGCTATGCCTAACCTTGGTAGCGAATTCAACAAATTGTCAACCAATTCTAAGCTTTAAACAAAAATCATCAGCCTAAATCATACCAAACCGCAATTGTAACTTAATTTGTTAATAGGGGTTTAAAACTTAGCTGTGCTAACTTAAAAAAAAAACTCATCCTTCAAAAGAGATCATACGGTAGGCTTATTAAATAACTTAGAGCTTGTCAACAAAGGCAGATGGTCTAGTGCATCTTTTTTTAATCCCCAGTATGGTAGCCTACGGTAGGGTATCTAATAGATCATAGACCCAAACCACTTTGTCTAGTAGCCTACGTAAGTTACTGTAGTTCATGGTACAAAGCTCTCCATAGTCTCAATAATAACTACCGGTAAGTAAAATAAACTTAATCTAAAAAAAACCTATTTCAAGGATAATTTTTACTAACTAAACTTAGCCTAGTGCCACTTTTGTACTAAAACAAATTCAGTAGCCTATTTTTATCTTATACACCCTTCTCCAGGCCTTTTTTTATATTGAAGGTTATGGTTACAGTAAGCTATAAACTTTTAAGAATTTGTCAAGAAATTTATCTTTTTTAATTTTATTTGCCCGATTTTTTATTACAAGGCCTAAGTTTACTTAGTAACTCCAGGAAAAATACAACTTGTTAGATACAGTACCAAATTTGCCCCGATAATGGGTCAACCAGGTTACCCTCTACCCCCTATTTGGGAATAAATGGTTCTGGTTAAAGAAATTGATTAACTCCTAATTATTTAAGCGGAATGATTACTAAATGGCAAATGTGTGAGTGAGTTTAAAACTAGTTTCCATCGATTTCAACTTCACCCTCTTCTTCGTCGAATTCTTCTTCATCTGCTGTCGCTTCCTGATACTGTTGATACTCGGACACCAGGTCGTTCATGTTGGATTCTGCCTCGGTTAACTCCATTTCATCCATACCTTCTCCCGTGTACCAATGGAGGAAAGCTTTGCGTCTGAACATGGCCGTGAACTGTTCTGAAATCCTCTTAAACAGCTCCTGAATGGCCGTTGAGTTTCCAATAAACGTGGCCGACATCTTCAAGCCTCTGGGTGGAATGTCGCACACAGCTGTTTTCACAATGTTGGGAATCCATTCCACAAAGTAGCTGGAGTTCTTGTTTTGGATGTTTAACATTTGTTCGTCCACCTCTTTCATGGACATGCGGCCTCGGAAGATGGCAGCCACGGTGAGGTATCTGCCATGACGAGGGTCGCAAGCGGCCATCATGTTTTTAGCATCAAACATCTGCTGAGTGAGCTCGGGAACTGTGAGTGATCTGTACTAAACTTAGTCAGTCAATGCTACACAAGGCATCTCATCCCATTCTACACTACTGGTAACCTTCTCCATTAACTTGGGCATTTAAAAATATACCCAGTGCTTCCCCATTCAGGGAAATTGGTAAATAATAAAAAGTTTTAATATTAATTTTTATCTTTTCCACACTGCTGATGCTTTGAACAACTGCTCGTCTCCAATCTTTTATTTTGAAGAAAAAAGTAAACATTCTTACTTTTATTTGTTCAGGTTTGTAACTTAGTTTTTGTCAAAGCTTCTTATCATAAAGCTTTTGGAAAGATAGGCCCCTAGCTTAAATTATGTAGGATGCCTATAATAGGCCTATATGCTAAAATGTTAACATGCAAATTCAAACAAGCAAGACTTTTTGATTTATTTTTGTGTGTTTTATACATCAATGGAAAGTATTTTATGTTTTCAAAAGGAAACCGTCCCAGGTCATGTTACTATCTAACATCGACCTTTTTGTTAGTTAGCATTATTAGTTCATAGCTCAATTATAAATAAATGGCATCTGGGTATGGAAACGATCTCCCCAGTGACTTTTAGATTTGACGGCGAGTAGGCTACTAGCCCATAACCACTTGGCTACCCAGACAATTAAAGATTCAGATTTTCACCTCAATAATGTTACTAACAAAAGGTATTTAACATGTGATTAGGCCTAATTATTAAGTATATTTAGCGAAAAACTGCAGATGAATAGGAAGGTACTGTATGATTAGCCTACTCAAAATTCTAATATTTATCAAACAATTGAAATCATTTTCATAATTTTGTATTTTATTAATTAAATCCCAATTCGACCATAGGTTTAGGGAATGTGCCTTGCTTGGGTGGAAGATCCTGTTGTTAAAAGAACCTGTAAGACTGACTTTGGTTACTTTGGTAATAGCTATTCTCTTGAAATTCGTGTTTATTCATTAATTAATTGTAAAAGTAGCCTATATACTAACCCAAAAGTTAACAGATTTGAATTAAATTAAATTTTGCGCTACATGGATTTAACTATTAATTTTGTTCTAAATGGGCGGATAAGTTTTTCTCTGTTTCCTTGTCACTCCAACATTTTCCAACTGTACATAAGCTTTGATAACTATATAAAAGACTTAATAAGCCATAATTTGTCACTTTTCTTAATTTTTCTCTGACTTATGTGTACTAAGTGTTTGTTGGCGTCCATTTAAAACATACTATTACTTGACCAAATATCATTTTATTACTATTGTGTACCGTACCTTATCAATAATTTTTTTTTTGTGAGGCCTAGGCTGTTTAGAAAGTTTCACCCTTTAAGTTATAACGTATAGGTAGTTGGGGCCACCTGAGTTGATCGTTATCAATTCTGAGATATCAGAACCTAATTACAAATTGTCTTAAGTTCCATAAATATTATATATTTTATTGAAAATTGTAGGCTAATATAAGCTCATGGTGTCTCTATTTAAAACGTTCTTGTCTAAGGTTAGGGCTGCACAAAGTTAAAATAAAAGGTTTACTGTGTTTGCTGATAAATCATCTAAAATATTTGTAATCCAACAACATAATTGTATATACTAGCATTTTCTTTTTGTTTTACTACTAATTTACAGCTTCATAATACTAAATGTTAATTATGAGAAATGTGTAACATTGTATGGGAGTTTAACTCATTGTTTTTATTTATTTTACTTCCATTTTCATGAAGCATTCTTCAATTGATTCAAGTTGTAAATCTCTAACTTTTGATTTAATAAAAATTTATGTACATAATTGTTGTTTTATTGAACCTACAAATTTTACAGCTAGCCTATCAACAAATTAAAACTACAGTAGGCCTAACCTAATAACATCTTGTTTGCATTTTGAAATATGAAAATAATGTTGCCTGTTAACCTTTGCCAATTGGTAAAGGTAGATGAATTCTAATTCTGATGTCAAAGTTACATACATTTTTGGAGTAAACAAAAATTGATGTTGGTACAGTAATTGAATGGATGTTGTGCTACCAGCAGATTGGCGCTACACGCTACAGCTTCATGTAAAGATGGTCTACTTTAGATGAATTCTAATTCTGATGTCAAAGTTACATACATTTTTGGAGTAAACAAAAATTGATGTTGGTACAGTAATTGAATGGATGTTGTGCTACCAGCAGATTGGCGCTACACGCTACAGCTTCATGTAAAGATGGTCTACTGGCATAGCATACTGGCATAGTATAGCGCCTCGTTTTCCTCTTCCAGGAACTGATGAGAACCTCTTTAGAGAAGGAGTGGGGGGCGTGACGTCACTCTTCTTTTGAGGGAACATTATTACCGTAACGAGACGATATGATTCCATCGGTTTTCGTGGCGTAGCTGAGATGTGGTAGTTTGAAACAACAACAGCAGTACCGTATAACTTTTACCACTATTGCAATGGTGCCACCCATAAAAAAAATGCTGCCTTACACATTGTACATAAAACATTACACACTGTATTTAGAAAGTGATAAAACAAATAAGAAGAGTTCAAATACGAGAGAGTTTATATGAATTAAATGTTAGCGAATTTCCCTATAGGGAAGTAGCTAATTACCGTAGGTCTCATGGTAAGACCTAAGCCCGGGACCGATTTACTTTTTCATTTTGATGTCCCCAGAGGCCAAAAACACCATTCGTTCAAATTTTTATATATCTATATATAGATATATACAGGGTGAATTTTAAATGAGTTCCCCCCCTACTTTATTCTACATTTCTTAAGATATCATCTCCGGACCACGTCAGATCATTGTTTAGTAGTAAGTACTTCATTTTGACTGGGTATACATTTTTGGCCGCCATCTTGGATCCGCCATATTGGATACAAAGTTTTTTTTTCAAATGTAAAGGTAGGGTTGTGACCCATTATTTTAAACTAGAATTTTACGCTGATTACAATGCCGCAATTAGTTTTTAAAAATCTTGATTCGTTCTAAAGTTATGAGGACTTTTTATAACTTTATTTTTAGCGCATTTTAACATTGTGCATTTACAAACTAAGACCATAATCTCAAAATAGTGCTAGATAAAGATAAGTATACACCACCATTCATTGTCGACATATTTTCACTTGGTTATGACGGATGTAGTTTTTTCAGCCGCCATCTTGGATCCGCCATTTTGAAATGTGATCAATTAATTTAAATATGAAGGTGGTGTTGTGACCCACCATTTTGAACTACTTTTTTATGTTGAACTCAATGCCGCAATCCGTTTTTCATTTGCATCTTTGGATTTTGAAATATTGAAATTTTAAATAAGAGTATTTTAATATTTCATCATGAAAGCTTGATAACCAAAAACGGATTGCAGCATTGAGTCCAGTATAAAAAAGTAGTTCAAAATGATGGGTCACAACACCACCTTCATATTTAAATTAATTGATCACATTTCAAAATGGCGGATCCAAGATGGCGGCTGAAAAAACTACATCCGTCATAACCAAGTGAAAATATGTCGACAATGAATGGTGGTGTATACTTATCTTTATCTAGCACTATTTTGAGATTATGGTCTTAGTTTGTAAATGCACAATGTTAAAATGCGCTAAAAATAAAGTTATAAAAAGTCCTCATAACTTTAGAACGAATCAAGATTTTTAAAAACTAATTGCGGCATTGTAATCAGCGTAAAATTCTAGTTTGAAATAATGGGTCACAACCCTACCTTTACATTTGAAAAAAAAACTTTGTATCCAATATGGCGGCCAAAAATGTATACCTAGTCAAAATGAAGTACTTACTATTCAACAATGATCTGACGTGGTCCGGAGATGATATCTTAAGAAATGTAGAAAAAAGTAGGGGGGGAACTCATTTAAAATTCACCCTGTATATATATATATATGTGTCCATCCGCACGATAACTTGAGTAATTTTTGTCTGATTTTGTATAAAATTTGGTTTGAAGGTGTAAGGCGGGATAAAATTGAATGAGCTCGCGAACCAGCATGATCGGACTATGGGAACGGGGGTTTATGGGGGTTTTATGGGGTAAAAATAGGTTTTTCCCATTTTTGACCCAAAAAAACACAAAATTTCACAATTTATTTTCAAACCATTTTGTAGAGCTTAAAAAAACAAATAATTTAGTATATTGAAGCGTTTTTATGCGCCTAATTGTTACGGAGAAAATTCAAAAAATTGTAATTTTAAAATTCCCATGTTATTCTTATGGAGAATAAGTCAACTGTTGTAGTTTGCTTGTTTATGAACATATTTTGATCGATTTTGGAAAATACTTTTATTTCTTACTAAACTATTATCATTTTATAAAAAAAATCTTGTTTACCCTCCCTGTTGCAGCAAACCTAAGTACTCGTTAAACTTATTCTATTTAAATAGGAAATGAATGTGCTATTTTTATGGAGGCATTTTAGTGTGAATCTAATCAGGTTAATGGAAATTCGCTTAGTCTGCAGGTTTGCTGCGGCGGGGGTATTTTGTTTTTTCAGAAGAATAAACAAAACATTTAATTCATATAAACTCTCTCGTATTGGATCCTACAATTTTAAATTGACAGTATTCGTGTAGAGATAATTGGAGGGATTAAAATACTTATTGTTCTCAGTGGAGGATAGTAAAAAACACAGCAATGTCAACATGTTTATTTTCAGAACCAAAAAAAACCTTAATTTATAAATCACTACTTTTCCATTACAAATTTTATTGAAATCCGAATTTCAATTTGGTTCTAGTTTCATCAACCAGTAAAATTCAAAATTGTGAAGATGAGATCTATTTATACCACATCTAGGTCGACAGATGCATTATTTGTAGCATAAACTTGTAAACTGGTGACTTGCCAGTTGTGCTCAACCTCAATAGTTGGTGTGGATAGTGAAAGGCTGGCAATGTTCCAATATGGACATGCTGAGTCATAGAAGGCCATAGACTTGGAGGAAGAGGAAGATGAAGATAAGGAGGTCACCCTCATGGACACAACTCCCAATATGTGAGAAGTTGGTAAGTTTT